GAAAAATCTAGAAAAGAGTTTTTTAGACTTAGGTTTTGGACTATGGACTTGGACTTGGACTTGGGTTACGGATTTGGACTTATGCTTTGAACTTGAGTCAAGTTTAATTTCTAACAGCGTTCTTAATTATGATGCCCACGTTCATTCCAGAAAGAGAGCCTTTCGATTTGCGCTTTGACTTCCTCCTCAAATTCTATAGCTTTTCCCTTGCCTTCCTATGCAAATTCTATAGCTTCACCTTTATCTGTGTTTTTATTGTCACCTCTGCGAACTCTCTTCTGATCTTCCATCTTCTTAAAAAGGGGCTAAGTTGGTATGAAGCTTGAGCTTACCAATCCAGATATCTCCCATTGCTTCAAACAAATTCCGAACATTCCCTTCCATGGAAAAACGAACAAATCCGAACCTCCTTCCAAGCCGGCTGAGCTTTCTCGCGATGTAAATTAACGTCAATGACCTTCCCCAGCTTTTCAAAAATTCTACGAAACTCCCAAGCATCACACCAAATGGGGAAGTTCTAAAAGGAACAACTGCTACAAAAAGAAGGTAAAAAGGTTTAAAAACGGAGGCAAAAGGTTGATTAGAAACTCTGGGAGAGGGTTTCGTGGAGGGCTAGGCATATGCAGGGGACGATGATTGTTTTTGTTTGAAGAAGAAGGGAGCTGGAAGATGTCTTCATACCCGCATTCATGTGATGCTGTACATATATTTACACCATAATTAGATATGCAAGAATTTTTTCATTCTTTTTTGAACTGATGTGGAACTTTTGGAAACATGAATTAATGTGAATACGAGAGCTGTGAAGGGAACCCCAAAATGGTTGCTTCAGGACAAGAAGTAAATTAAATTCTAATTCCAGAATGTGCTACGCTTGAAAACTAAATTGCGTTTCACATTCCTGGAGTATTATACAACTTACTAGAACAATGAAGCAACATGGGACAAAAATGAATTAATTCTCAAAAAGTTTTATTTCTTGAAGATGAAAATCCTTTTGCAAGATTTTTAAACATCTGTCAAGTAACTCACAAGTCTTTCTATATAACCTCATGAACCTTCATGCAGAAAGTTGAAAAGGTAACAGAACTAATACTGGAAACAAATATTTGAATATTCCGATCGAAAAAGCTTGTAATATACAGGATGTTGATGCTGTTAGCTTGCAGTCCACAGCAGTTTCCAAGTAGGAGAGCCACGTTCCAGTGGCCAAGTACTTGTAAAAAAATGTGTTCAAGGTATCTGCTGGCGTAATTAACAATGATCAAAATGTGTTTTGGAATATCCAAAAATATATTAAAATCTGTCAATATAGAAAGCCAAGCACTCACCCTCTGACCTTCTCCATGCACTCTGCAATAAGGCCCATGAAGACAAAATCGAACAATTATTATCTTTGCAGCTACAAAAGATCATGACCATTTGAACAAATTAACGGATTTTGGTAAGACTGCTACCTTAATTCCAAATCAATATAAGAAAGAAACGCATTCACTAAGTTGTAATTAAAGGTCGACCACAGCATGAGCAACAAGGTCAAAACCAACTGCTTTAAGAATAACGTTAATTGTATTTGCATATGCTAATGGATTGGAGGGGTACTCCTTATCATAATATAACCTACAGTAAATAGAATATTCCCCACATAGATAATAAATATATTTCTCAAAATAGATGACCAATATTTACAAATTGATAGAGTAATTATAACTTAAAATCTCCCTGATTTTATAAAGTTGTCTATAGGTTATCTTTTACTGCTATGATTGGTATGTAATTAAGGCTATAATCGTTCATTTATATATAAGCCAATTGCCATCATTCTGGAGATTCTAATACTATAATGTTGACCCATTAAAAATAGGTATCATGCTTCACTATTAGTGTCATGCAACTATTACTATAATTCAAGGGGCCATTGATATTAGGTATACTGTCTTAGGCCTCCCCCATGGTTAAGTTTCTTAGGCCTCCCCCATATAAGAAAAAACATTAAAGATGGGAGTGAAATGAAATTGAATAGCTTTGTTGCTTCTTTGGCGGTTGGAATGAAATTGAATAATTACAGAAAATGAGAATCCTCAATTTTCAACAAGAAGATCAGTTGTAAATGAAGATTCAGATAGCAATGAAACACGTGAAACTGTGGAATATATGTCCTTACAGGAACTCAAATTGCTATTTTACATCAAAATCAAACAGCTCCTAGCTCAAAAGAAAGAAAGAAAAAACAATGAGGATTAAAAAGACCAAATTAAGATTCTAGTTAATAAACACATAAATCAAATCTTTTCTATCTGAACCTCCGCTGTGACTGACCAAATTAAGATTCTAATTAATAACCAAGGATTTCTAATTGTTTTCCATTCATGAGCTTGGAGATAACCTAGAGAACAAAAAATAATATATGAGAAAACTAGCTTGTGCTCAGTTCTCCATAAACGATGCCAACTGATGAGTCATGAATTGACTTGTCTAGTAAAACTAAAAAAAAAAAAAAAAAGGCTCACGTAGATGGTAATGATGATTTGATGATCACATAGAATGGTGGATGATTCTTTTATGCTAGATGCCCGCAAACAAAGTCCCTTTGGTCTGATAAGAAACTCTATTACGATCAATCTAGTAGTCAAAAAGCGACGAATTAGTTTGAAAAAACTCTTTTGAATGAAGTGTTTAATTACATGTGGATAATTTAATAGATAAAAGGGAATTTCACAAGAATTAAAACTTGTTTAGAAATTATTTTAGAATAAAAAAGTAGAATTTTTCTCTTTTAGTGGTTTGGACCTTTATATAAGCAATCGTGGGTAAAACTTGCATAGTAGGAATGTCCTTTCCCTTTAATTTTAGTGGTTAAGCTAATAAGTGATGGTGTTTTACTATCATGTACTTAATCTACAACGACACGTATGTGATTATGATCGTGATGATTTGATTGACATCATCATTAAAGGGTTTACATGAAATGTTTTGTCCCTCTTAATAATAGTGAAGGAGAGTTAAGTTTTTCTCCCTTGAGGTCAAATCACCTTAGAATAAGAGACTTTCTAAGCTTTTTCTAGAAGGCGACCTGTCTTGTAGGGGTAGCTATTTTTTATATATTTTAGGCCTACTTGAAAAGTTATTGCCCTATACTATGACTTTTGGATTTGAGCAGGACCTGATGGATTCCATGTTGTGTGTAGGTATAGCAATCTAACCTGTCTCGACGTCATCCTGCCCCGTTTGGGGTAGGGACAGGACACGAAATTTTGCCCCGACCAAGGCACAGGGCAAGGATGAGTGTTTTTTTTTTTTTTTTGGCAGAGTGGGATAGGGATGGAAAGCGAAATTTTGCCTCAAACTAGACAAGGGATAGGGATGGTTTTTTTTTTTTTTTTTTTTTTAGGGATGGGGCAGGGATGGGAATGGCGATCCCCGTCCCACCCCATTGCCATCCCTAGTTTTGTGTTTATAGATTTTTCCTGTTGGGATGCGTTGGGATGAGGCTGATGAGCCTATCCCCATCACAAAAGAAACTCGCTTGTTGGTAACTAGCCAAGAGCTGCAAGCCAACACAAAGCTTCTACTTTTGGAGGGGAAAAGACTTTCCAAACGTATGAGTTTCCAGGCTAAATGTTCTTTGGGGCAACATTTCTCGATTTTTATTTGAAAAAAGAAAAAAAAAAAAAAGGTTCTTGGATTCAAAGAAAAACAAGGCAATGAAGCATGGCAGGACAAGTTGGCTAAGCGAGAAATGCAGAGTGAATTTGGCACCTATGGATAGTATGTTGGTGCATGAGTGCTCTCCACATGAGAAATATATAAGCATAGTTCTTTCGTCTTCTTCTTTTCTTTTCTTTTCTTTTCTTTTTCCTGAAGTCACAGTTGTACGTACACTAAGCATAAGAATCAACTTACATACGATAGATTCTGTTTAAAAGAGGATGTGCCTCATAGATGCAAGCAAAGTGACATGACACTACCCCTTCAAAGTTCACTATTAGTCCAACGAATTGTGCATGCTTTGTCTGCGGATGGTCATGGACTCAAGATGAAGCCAACACTGATACGTCTCAAGAATGCAAGTTTTTGTTCAGTTCAAGGAAATGGAAGAAAGCTTTCATATTTACATTACTTGTTACAAATATGAAAGTGAATTAATTGAAGTAAAATGAAAGGATATAGAAACTCACATCTGGTGTTTTTCCTGACAGTTCCCATGTTGTTTGATAGAAATGATGTATCGGATAGAAATACTTACAGAACATGTCAGAGGTGGAATAAATTTAATTGGTGCAGGAACGTGCATAAGCATTAACCTTAGATACTGACTTTTATTTTTGATTGTTTTACTCATGGATTTCACTATTTCAATCTTTCAGAGGGACATTGCGATTGCTTGTGCAATATGGTCTATTTATCTGAATAATTTGTTAGAGGTAGAGAACTTCCTAATTGTAAGAGTAAAGATTTGCTAGAATTGTGTCAATCTTTTTTGAACTGATGCGGAACTTTTGGAAGCATGGATGTGAATATGAGAGCTTTGGAGCCGCAAATAGGCTAAATACTAAATTGCTGGATGTGCTATAGATTTTTTTTTTTTTTTAGCCTAACTTTGGTTCGAAACTGAATTGATGTTGCTGATATGATGATGTGCTAAATAGTTGTATTAATTCACCTATTATTTTTTATTAATTCACCTATTATCAGTTTCACAATCCTAGAGTGCTATACAACTTACTAGAACAATGAAATTAACAAAAGACAAAGTTGGATTAATTCTTAATAAGTTTTATTCATTGAAGCTAAAAATCCTTTTCAAGATCTTCATACATCTGCCAATTAACTCACAAGTCTTTCTAACTTCATAAAAAAGTTGAAAAAAAAAGACCAAAACATAAGATTCTAGTCAAGAAACACATTCTTTGCCATCTAAACCTTCGCAGTGACTAACCATTATAGCAAACCCCAACATCATCTGGAATACTTCTTTTAGAAAATGGAAAGGCTAGAATCTAAACCTCATCCAATGCAGCTACAGCAATGCCAGTGGACTTGTTCTTGTCTGCGGTATCTGACTTCAGACCTTTAATCCGATTAATGTGCCAAAAGTATAATTCCAATAGCAACACGATGAACCCCAACACTCCTAATACAGCAATGTAGGCAGTCCTCCAAAAATTTGCAGATTGTAAAATGCCAAATCCTACAAATATGTTGGATGCGCTTAGGATAAGTGTTGAACAACCGACCAAGAAGTGGAACCAGTTGAAGAAAGGCCGATACTTGCTATCTTTGTCAGGTCTCAACAAGCCACCGACCACCTGTGCTATTGCAAGACAGAATAGGACAATGCCGATTATTTTGTGACAGGTATGTTCGATTCCTTGAGACCTCAAGCCAAGAACAATTCCAGTCACAAATCCAGGAAGAACACCAAGTATACAGGCCAGAAGTTGACAAGCGACATGCAAGTAGAACCACAAATGGTTTGCAGATTCGAACTTTTTCAAGTACCTTGCAATGATGGCCCCGATAGGCATTAGAATACCCCAGCTTACTGTGTTCAGTATTCCATGGACGATTTTCAGTGTGCTTGAAGAACTTCTTGTAGAAGTAATCCTCCCCGAAAGGAAGTCCAAACTCCCCACGGATTTAACATTAGGACTGGATGGAGCAACGCTATGGATCGTGGGAGTGTTGCCAGACATTGGACCTACTTGCCAGAGATGATTGACTGTAGTAATGTTTCCTTGGAACTGTAAACTGGCGTAGATTATCATCTCATTGTTCTGATTAGTAGCCGATAAATCAAAGACAGGAAAGCTAAGATTTCCTTGTTCCAATCGTGTTCTGTAACTTATTATTGGTGAAGTATAAACTGCAAGACTTCCATCAGTTCTTGGAAAAGAAACGATTGCTTGCGAACCTATCATACCTCCTGAAGTAGGATTGATAGCCCAAGCAATCCATCTGCGATTGCTTACACCAGTATGCCTGAAGGCAACATCAACTCTGTTGGATGATGGATGGAAGTTCCAATGTAGAGAAGAACTCAGAACAGGCAAATCAATGCAAGAAGAAAACTGTTTGTTGTTTGAAAATTTGTAGGTTGCGCATGGTTGTTGTTGTTGAGCTAAGCATGAGCATGGAAAAAAAGCAAGAAAGATGGTGATCAGAAGAATAACTGAATGAGCCATGCTAGGGCAACAGAAGGGCTTGAGAGAGAACAGCACTAACTACTAACTAATGATCAGAGAGCTCAGGGGTCAATATATAGATAGCATTAATTTTCTGTTTCCGTTTCAGATTTGGAATTTACTTTTCCTAATTGGATTGGGATTGAAGAGGTAAAATAAATGTACGTAGGCATTACCTTTTTTATTAAGAGTTTGTGTTTAAACATAATACTTTTATTATTTTACGCGGATTGAAGTGGTTATGAAACCCAAGCTAAACGTTAGCCTCTCCTTCGCCAATAAATGCCCTAATTTTTGGACACGAGGTTAGATCTATCTCAGTAGTGGAACAAAACCACACTATCCATGCATGTTATCTCTAAGGAATTTATATGAAATTAAAAAATTTCCACAGCCTTTTATTTTTGTTGTTAGGGTTTTACGCATTTAATCTGTACGTGAAATTTTTTATGCAGTAGTAGCCGCAAAGAGTTCGATTCATAGGTGGGAGAAACAGGCTGATCGCAGTTAGTGCCAAAGCAAACTTGCTAGCATAAGTTGCTTAAGAAATTCAAGAAACGTCATGGAGGCAATGGCACTGGCACTGCTCTGCTAATCTCTGGCTTTTCTGGCGATACAATGAGATTGAGCACATAAAGACGCAGACCAGAGAGGCCAACGCACCAACTTGGTAATGGTAATCAGAATCTACATGAGGATCTGGTTTTTGACTTTGATTTTCTTGCTGTTGAAAACTAGATGACCTGGGCTGACCTGGTTTTGATTTAAGTATTTGTCTATGCAACATGCTTTTTAGTGTACACTCTCTTATAGCAAATAGTTGTCAAAATGAGTCTGAAACTAATCTGACATCGAACAAATCTCAAATTTCTTGCATTTTGAACTGATATGGAACTTTTGGAAACATGTATGGAAATATGCGAGCTGAAGAGCCTCAAAATGGTTAATAAACAATTAATAGAAAAGGGATCCAATAACTCTGTACATTCACCTAATTTTAGTTTCACCTAAATTTCCTGCGAGCAACATGTTGCTGGAACAATTAATATAGGACAAAATTAGATTCTCAAAAGTGTAATGTTTTTCAAGCTGTTTGTTGAAGCTGAATTACAGCATTAAAGCTGAATTTTTCATCTGGTTCAAATGCATCTTCAAGATCTTCAAAGCTTTGTTCAACTCTCAAGTCTTTGCTAACTTTTAAGCCTTCCTATGGAAGCGAAAAGATAGTGTTAATGCCAAATATTTCATTCATAGCGAAAATGACCTCAGAGTACAGGGGAATGATGCAGTTGACTATACCACAGCAGTTATTATGTAAGGAAGAATCACATTCCAAGAAGCAGCATTTTTCACAAAGAACACACAAAAGGTCAATGATTTTAATTAAAAATCAAAATTGCCAGTGTAAAGAATGTAATAGTGGGTAGAACTATTGGCTCAATCAAACTTTCAACTACACCATTCAAACTGAACAACACTAACACAGGTGTTGGTTCACGATTTAAATGTTGGTCAGGACATTCATCAAGGTGTAAAAAAAAAATGAAAAGAAAGATCGACTTAAGTGCTCCATTAACATGATTTATGATGTCAGTTTCTGCAAACTTGTTAACTTTTATACTGATTTCTTTCTTTGTAATATTTTTAGTCATGTGAAAAAATTATCTTCTTGAAATGTTTCCCAGAACACAATTCATTGGTTAATCACAGCACCAGGCAGATAAAATGACTTCATTTAAAACCATAAAGAAGTTGAGCAGCATTTTCTAATCGAAGCATGTGCAAGAAAAAAAAAAAAAGAATAAGAGAAAGATATCTTAATGCCAGACATAATATGGCACTGGTTACCTTATCAACATATTCAGCTACAGTAGAGTTTATCACTTTCTTGATCACTTCCTTGTAAACTTTTGAAGGTCCAAGAACTTCTAACAAAATGTCTCTAGGTATCTGCCAGAAACAAATAATAAGAAATCACAATGGCTCCTTGGTGAACAAGAAAATTCTATATATATGTGTGCATGTGTTTGTGCATGCAAATGTATAAGAACATGCCTAAATATGTTCTTGTCTGCAGTCTGCATGCATAGTATGTAATTGTTAGCTCTCTAACTTTCAAGGAAAAGTCATCGCTGGCTGTTGTATCTTTCTTTGTGCATGTGCTTTACATCAATAGAACAAAGAAAACGAAAGGATGCCCTCCATTTATTCTTCTATCACCTGTTACAAACAAAAACCTCTGCATATACTCTTGAACTTTGATCCCGTGATGGATCCATCATCCAAGAGTTAAATTTGCTTTAAAATTCACCCCTGAAACTCCCCTTCTTTTTTATGTCACAGCTTCACTCTAATAAGTCTATGGAGAACAGAATTAAATGATTTTACTCTTTGCAGCATCCATATATGCTTTATTTGAGCAAATTATTTTTTTTAAAACAAGCCCCAAGCTCATGAGATAGCAGTTTAGGATACTCTGGCTCAAGTACTTGGATCCAAAGGAGAACATGGCAATGAAGCATAGCAGAACAAGTTGGCTCAGAGAGAAATGCAGAGTGAATTTGGCACCAGTGAATAGGGTGTGTGTTGGTGCATGTGTGCACATGAGTGCTCTCCATAACGAAAGTTTCACAATTTATTATCAAAAAATATATGAGCATAATTGTTTCCTTTCTTTTTTTTTTCTTTTTTTCCGAAGTCACAGCTGTACACTGAGCATGAGAATCAATCTAGACATGTTAGATTTTGTTCAAAAAAGGATGCACCTCATAGTTGCAAGCCAAGTGACATGACACAGCCCTTCAAAATTTACTACTAGTACTCTAGTACAACGCATTGTGCATACTTTGACCGTGGATGGTCATGGACTCAAGATGAGGTCTCAAGAATGCAAGTTTTTGTTCACTTTAGGGAAATGGATGAAAATTTTCATATTTACATTACTTATTACAACTAAGTAAATGAAAATGAAGTAGAATTAGAGGATATAGAAACTCACATCTGGTGTTTTTCCTGACAGTTCCCATGGTGTTTGATAGAAATGATGCATCACAGAGAAATAATAACAGAAAATGTCAGAGGTGGACTAAAATTAGGGAAATGAGAAAACATTACCAAAGAACAATCATTGAAAAGCAGTGCTTTAAAGAAAATAAGATCAGATATTGCTTTAGAAGGATAGTTTGGCAAGTTACTTGCAGGAATGGAGTTGAACATTATTCTAATTGGACTACTAGGAGTGTGGTGCCATGTTCTTGGATTCCAAACTATTGAAAAATCTATAAACTATTTGAAGATAATTATAAGTAGGCTCGAGATTCTAGAACACAGCACTTCTCCACTAGCAATCAGATAGAGAATTCAGATGGTTTACCTCCTTTTGCTCTTCGAAAGCCTGGGATTGGCTGGGCTGCAGCAACCATTTTTTCGAAAACATCGTCAAAATTTGCTCTAGTTTTGGCACCAGATACTTCCACTCTTATCTGTCCACAAAAGCTATAAATATAATAGATTGCTAAAATTATCAACCACCAAGCAATCTTGAACTTGCCTGCATACCAACAACATGAATCCAGTATCTGTTCATACCTTCAATTCTCGATCTTCATTGGTACTCATAGTCATCACCGTGAAATCTTCAAACTGAGAGGAAGATACTTCAACATCTTCAGCAGCTAATTTATGCAGTCATTAAGTTATAATCAAAGGTCAACACAACACTAGCAAGAGGGTTAAAAGCAACTAATTGAAGGAGTAAAAATTTGATTTGCACCAGATACTACAGCCGCAACAGGATTAAAACATCTAGGATTTTCCCTGTAAAATCAAAATCCAATTAACAAATAAATAAGCAACCTAGCCAATTTCTACTTCTTGTTACAAAAACCCAACAATGACATCTACATCAAAATCCAAATATTATAATCAAGCTCAGGTGAATGAAGCTGCATTACCTTCTCCAAAATCCTTGAGTCCCACATCTCATTTGATGGGAAAAGGATGGCATTTTGCTAGAAAGATTTGGAGTAAAGACATCAACTGTATGCTTGTGACTTATTAACTGCAAGTAATACCAAAGACCAAATTATTCAACTAAACCATCATTCATAATTAAAGTTAATTCAGATTGAGATTTAAGGGTATGACTGATAACAAAGAAGCTAATGCCAGTGAAATTATTCGGCCAAAAAAAAAAAGGGCATTTGCGCAAAACCCATGTCAATTACTTCAGTAAAGATTATAATTTTCCAAGGTAAAACTAAAAATCAAACAAACACATAAAAAAGGAAGTGGATAAAAACGTAATGCAGAAGTGTGTAGATTGTGGAAAAAAGAGAATCACTGCATTGCCTGTCAACTTACAATGAAGAGAACATGGTAAAAATGAGAGATGGGTGTCAGTCATACTTGAATTCAAGCACAATAGTAAATTTATGAGCACCTTATAATAGAAACCAATAACTACTTTGAGACCCCATATCTTCTATAGAATGAAATAGCTAGAGTTTGGCATAAAATGAAAAGAACAAGTTCAAATTATGGTTGCTGAACTGAAGACTTATAGAAAGAAAACAAAGATGGCTGTACCTTAGGGTTTAAGCCCAGGAAGAGGGTTTTAGCAGCTACTAATTCCATTATCTCCTCCTCCTCCTCCTCCCTCCTCTAAACAATCAGTAATTCAGAATAGCTCTCTTATCACCAACTCAGTTTTAAGGAGGAGTAAACTATTTATAAAGTCCCTATTGTTATAAAATATTTACAATATAATCCCTTATATTGTAAAGTTTATAATTTCATCCCCCAACTTTGCCAACTGTTATCTTATTTGAACAACTATAGGTTCTTCTCCAAATGCACAGGATGTCCATGTTTCGGTAAGAATTTAAACTGTGGACTTAGACATTTGAGATTTAGAAAAAACACCATATGTTTTTATAAATACAACAATGAGCTCACAAGAGTTAAGGGACTACATTATAAATTTACAAAAATAAAGGACTAAGTTAGGTTCATGTTTAAAACCCAAGAACTAATTGTTAATTTAATTACTCTTTACAGTTTCTTTGTCAAGATAGACGACATGACATTCACACACACTTTGCATACTCCAACAAGAAACGGCACGTCGCACATCATCTTTATCATAACTAGCCTGAACGACGTGTCGGTGAATCCAACGACGCGCTCTTCAACGGATTTATAAAATTGAGTGGACGGAAATGATAGAGACAAGAGAGGAAGGAAGGAAGCACAGCAGCAAGCTTTAATGGCGATGACGACGACGATGACAGCATCATCTTTACAACTTCAACATCTTCGAAACCTCTCCTTGTACAAAGTAAAAACTTGCTCCATTTTACGTGCCCATCATGTTAAAGATTTCTTGCATTTTCTTGGAGACAAAACATAAGCTTAGACTGACTTGACTGTCCACTTTTGTCTACAGTGTCTTTCTTTGAGAAACAACAACACAAATAGCATCAGTTTCTTTCAATCACACTTTTCTTGTAATAGGTAAATTACAAAAAAAAAATCCACTTAACTTTATTTTCCTTAATATTTTTTGTTTTGTTTAATTAAGTTCTTGTTTTTTTAAACTATTTCAGGTTATCTTTATTTTATTCTGATCCAGATATGAGAGTACTTAAACATGTGGGAGTCAAGCCAATATCTGCTGTTGGGTCAGGTTAATACTTCCTTGGCTTCGAATTACAGTTATAGAAAGGAGTTTGATAATGTTAGTCATTGAAGTAATGTGGCATTTTGGTGTGTTCTTTTGTTTTTAAAGGTATGGAGGCATCAATCGCAGAAACGAATGAGAAATTAATAACATTGAAAAATGTTGAAATAGTTGTTGAGTCTCAAGAGGAAGATAAGATGCAGGTGGGTTTTTGTTCTCTAATCTCTTGTAGCTGATAACTAATGCTAGTTTGCAAAATTGCTAAATGTGGTCTATGGTTCTGTTTTATTTTTAGGTAAGAGTGGAATTGAGTGGAGATGAGACTCAGAAGGTGTTCAATAAGGTATTGACTAATTTGGCTCGTTCGGCACCTCCGATTCCGGGATTTCGTAGAGAGAAAGGAGGTAATTGCTATGCATGTGATTTCTTCTGTATTTATATATAACTGAATTTGACTGCCCCTGTCAAATTCTGGAGATAATGTTCTGCATTTATGATGAGAATGAAAATAGACAGAATAAATGTAGCTAAAAAGCACACTAATCTGTATTGATTGAATTAAGTCCCTGCCTAGCCTGTTTATAAGCAACCTATGCTACAAAGTTTCTTTTTTCAATGTAGAACTGAATTCAATATCAAATATTTGGTCACAATATGAATCACTTATTGTTAAATCTAAAAGATCTTAGTACAATTTTGATTGTACTTTAGTAATTTCTTGATGATAGTCTGGAATTATCCTGTAAGAAGAATCCTTAATTGATGGTGGTCAGGGTGAGATTTTTAAATAAAGAGATGCGGCATCATGCATTTATTTGTTAATCCGAAGAAAGATGCAGTGAAGTACTATTCTGTTGATGCATAGCTCATAGATGGTTCCAGCATTTAGATGAGTCGTGTGCTTTTCAAGCTTGATCAATTTGACCTGTTTAGATCCGTAAACCCAATTTATTCTATCTGTGCTGTCTTGGATCTCTTGATAGTATCTCACCGTTATTGTTTGTTTCATTAATTTTTGTCTCTGCAGCTTGTTTACTCGTCAATCAATGAATTCTAACCATATTTTTTTTGCATGCATATTGGCTAATCCAGGAAAAACAACAAAGGTGAGTGATTCTCGTTCAGATTCCACAACCCCAAACACCCCCCCCCCCACCCCCCCACCCTTCTGGAACTCAAAATTTCATAATGAATTAGTTTTGGCTGTATGTTTAACCAGTACTTTATTCCCCAGCATAATGCATGTCTTGCTTTAAATCTTCAACTTCTGGTTTGTTGTTTTCTGTTGATTACTTCGAAATGGAATTAAAGACGCAAAATTGAGAAAGTTCAAGTCATGTTTTCTTTCACAAATTAATTTGAATTTCCATACAAGCACTCTCCTACAGGAAGTAATTTATTAGATTCTTCCTCGGTTTTAAATGCATAACTTGGTACTCTAATAAAGAGACAAGAGCCATTCTTATTATCTGTGATGTATTTGCAAATGCCTGTTGCCCCTGCTATATCACTATGTTGTAGATACCAGGTTGTAGCTGGTCATGTCCTAAAGTATCTTCAGTTATTTGCTTCTCATGCCTTCATGCTTGTGAAGGAAATTCTAGGCACTGAAAGTACTCCATTAAACATCTATTGGAAGTTGCATAACTTGCATTATGTTATGCGTACTTTTCTCCTCCATCTTAAGATGTCTAACTCATAATGTCGATAGGTTCCGAAGGATTTCCTCCTACAAATCCTTGGAGAAGATCGTGTAACTAATTTTGTGATACAAGAAATAGTCAGCTCAACCGTGGCAGATTATGTGAAGAAGGCAAGTTGTTTTTTGCAACCCTTAATGTTGGTCTTGTTTTGAAGCTGAAGTAAATATTGATGATTTTCTCCATTCAAAACAGGAAAACCTGAAGGTGAAGGAAAACAAAATTACCACTACTCAAAAGCCAGAAGAACTCAAGAAAGTGTTTGTACCAGGAAATGAATTTGGATTCAATGCTGTTCTAGAGCTTGAAAAAGCCGAAGCTGAAACTGAAACTGAACCTGAAACTGAGATTGAAACTGAACCTGAAACATCAAGTTAAATTCATCAATTTTGTAAAGCACTCATGCTATGCTAATTTTCAGAGTAATCAATTCGTTTGTAACTGCCTTTAGACTGTTCCTTCTGTTTTAATAGATGGTGGCTCTAATCAATTCTATGCACTGTAATAAAAGTTAAGACAGATGATCATTCATATTCCTTAGTGTAGGCAGGCAGCATCAAGATTGAATGGCTTCATATCCAATGACATTGAAATTTGTAGATAATCAAAAAGACAATGACTTTGGTGCTTGCCATGAAGAAACAAATGTCCAAGTTTAGAGCAGTTTCAAGAACTGTAAACAGCACTGCCATCTGCGGCCAAACCATTTGCTGTCCATAATGTTGGCTAAAGAGCTCTTTCGAAGTGTTCTTTTCAGTTGTATTGAAAATCAGTCAGTGGGATAAATCCTGCGATACTCTGAAATGTTGAATGCTAGCTGGAGATTTGTATATAGCCAACCCTATAACTAGGCATTTTTAGAAAACCTGTAGGGATAGTTTTGTTCCTATACAGAGAGCCATGAACTTCTTCGTGTCAATGAAAAAGAAAATACAGATATTTTTGATAGTTTTCTTGTATCTACTGGTGTTCCTTGTATATTTATTTGAACAGCATTCTCATCCCTGTTTCTTAAACCCGGATTTGCTGGTATGAACGCTAATCTTACTTCGGTTAAGATTAATGTCTGCAATAAAAGTAAACCGAAGCAAGCATTTTCAATTAGCCAAGGCTAATTCTCTTCGAAGGAGACATGGATCAACCTAAGTTGCTGGGTCACAGATTATCTGGTAACGTTTTTCCCTCATTTGACTGGGTTTCTAGCGAGTCCTGTTTTGTTTTCTTAAACATATTGAATGCTATTAGGGAAACTTTTGCCCTTTTCTTTTACATGTTTCCTGTTTAGACATTCACACTACCATTAATCAAACATTGCTAATTTAAAGCTTTCGAAAAATAATTTTCATTTTACTATTTTATTCATAAATTTAAATAACAATCATTCCTTATATAACGGGTTTAGAACATTCAGTTATCGTTACTCATTATTATATAAAAATAACAATCATTATTTTAGTACTGCGGTAAATCATGATCCACGATCAAGACCACAAATATTTCGAAAACCACGTTCGTAATTTAAAATTATGATTTTATTTTTATTCTTGTGTTGTTTTCCTATTAATAAAAGTTTCCTAATTTCTTAAATAGTGTTTGTTTTCTTCCTTTTTGATTGAGGCTTAGAATTCTATATAAACAGGACAGTAGTGAGGTCAATTACAACTTCAACAATCAGGATTTTTCTTGAAAGTTTTGGCTTTTCTCTTTTTGGATTCCAACACAAAGTGCAATGGCCTCGGGACTGGTAGATCTCTCTCTCTTTACTTTGTATTTTTCTTGCATCAATCGTCATCATCCTTTCCCTAGCTTCATCTGTCATACAACATGGTTTTTTTGTTTAATTTTATTTTTTTTCATTAAGACTTACACTCTCGTAGACAAAGATAACGCTTCTAATTGGTGTGAAGGATTCGAAAGAATTCTTGACCGCTTTCCAGGTTTTTTTTTTTTTCAACATGGCTATGCTGTTTCTTGGTTAGTATATATTGAATAAAATGAATGCTAAAAGGATCAAACCTTTTTCGAACTTTAAAAAAAAAAAAAAATCAATTTCTGAATTTTAATTTATATTTTTACCTCATAGATTTTTTTTTTTTTAGATTTAATCCATCTTTCAATTTTTTGTTATTTATTCCAAAAATAACAATTACATAAATAACTCTATGATGAAAATCATTCAGTAAACTTTATCTACAGCTTTCAAAAAAAAAAAATAAGAATCATTTTGGGTTATTTTCCATTTTTTCTGATTTTTTATATTCTTGCTGTTTAAAAAATAATCAAATATAATTCCCAACTTTGAAACATTCTGAAAATCTTTTAAAAAACTGATTGAATTTTTTTCAACGTGTGTGCAAAACTTCATATCAAAATACCAAAAATTGAATGTTTTCAAATAGGAGAGGTGATAGCTGAAAATTATAAAATTGACTAATTTTTTTTTTAAGCACTTTTAAAGAGGTCAATACACAAATTAAAAATTTTTAAATAAACAAAAATTCAGATGAGGTTTTGTCCTTTAAAAAAAAAAAGTATTTATACTTATTTTCCTTTTCTTTTTTTTCTTTTTTCTTTTTTTTGACAGATACGTTTTAGGAGCGAACAACAGTACTGATTAAAATATAGGGAAGAAAGTCTGATATTTACTTATTTTCCTGCTTTTTTTTTTTTTTTTAGACTTATGTTATCCTTTTCAGAAATGAAATAGCGTTCATGAAAAGCTGAGGAAGACATTTATTAAGAGCGACCATGACCCGGTGGTCATTGTTCAAAAGTCGAAAAAGATTAAAGTCGTCATTGACCTACGCATTGAGTTCTGAGAAAAAAACATGAAGTCGGTGTTTAATGATGAATTTAAGTTCTAAGAAAATACCTCTCAGATTGCTCTAAATTTTTTTTGAATTTTGATCTTTTCAACTAAAGTTTTTTAAAAATTATAAATCAGAATAAATTTGATGATATTTATGAAATTATAAGCTTAGAATAATTTGTTTATCTCATTGTTTGTCAATGCAATGTAGCATGCTTTTACGTATGTTTTGCTTCCCTTCCCTGAAACCAATTAAAATTCAACCATTAATTCCTGAATTTGTACTCGTCCAGCACAATTCTAATCAAAGTTCTTTCTTTAACCCAAAAAAATTTATGATTTTTTTATCAATTTTTTTGTTATTGAGGAAACCTAACATGCATGATTTAAATCCAAGGATATAAAGAAACTCGTCATCGTCATTATAAATTGTAAGACTACACTGCCATCTGTGGGATAAAATCCTGCGAAAGGAGGCGTTATACTCAGTTTACAAAATCCAGCAGAGTTCGCAGTTACCTATACAGACAATGACGCTCTATGATGAAGGCATGTCTAATTGCCTCCATTGACAATGGATCAGATCACCGCGCTTCAAGCTTCTTCCACAACTTGGATGCTCTTCTGATGATCATATCAGCTGAAAAGCCTTCGGCATACGAGCTAACGGCAGTCAAGAGGTTTGAAAATTTCTCCCCATTGTCCTGCATCAGTCAAACCAAAAATTCAGCATTTCCCAGTTGAATAATAGCTGAAAAAGCTGTCCCAAAAAGTGGTCCATGTACCAGCTAATGTCCCAAACAATTTCAGTAGTTAATGGAAGCTTCATCTTGCATAATAAGATGCAGATGAAACACTAGAGCAAGGTTAAGTTGTTGCGATAGCCGATAAAGAAATTGTAGAATAAAGCATGAAAGATAGTTATTGGAGCTGAATAGTACAGTAGGTTTTGCACTTTGGCAGGCGAAGAGTACAGCAGAATTTGAATAATTTGCCAAGACCAAAACAGCACTCGCTAATAGGAATGCCAATTATGCAGTTGGAAGGTCCAAAAAGGACCGCCATAAAAAAAGCATGGAATACCACAAAATAATCATTGAGCTCAGCTATCAATGATGAATGTGGCCCTAAGAGGAATAAATTACCCACGTCAAATAATTCAAACAAGACATGCTCTGACAATGGCTGCTTTGCGAGTGATGGCAAATGGTATAGGAAACAAGCTGTCAATAAAAAGTAAACAATATTGCACTGCTTGCAAGGAAACCCACCATTTATAACGGAAGGCAATAGATCGCTGAAATTAAACAGTGAATTGTGCAATTAAAACCAACAAACACGTCATGAACCAATAATAAAATTTCCTGAGATTCATCATCTCGTCAAAGAGGAAATTAAACATTAACACATCGAACTTCTGACTGGGAGACCCTGTGTGTCTGTTCAACAGTGTGAATTGTCTTAAAAAAAAACACTATAAAATGATATCTTTAGCCAAGTTTCGAACACAAAGAGGGTGCAAGTGTTTAAAGCCTCTCTCACTAAATTGCACATGTACCTGTATATGGATAGAGAACTTCAAAAAATGAAAGCAACAATTTGTACAGACCTCTGGTTTCTTAAAGATCAGATCTGTGGCAGCAAATGGGACCATGTACTCTGGAAGCTCACAACGTAACTTTGCCTGCCATTACATAAGATATTCAAGCATCAAACAAACTCCAAGGACTAGGTGCCTACAACCATAGAATAATAAAGCAACAGCTGCAATACTGTCGTGGAGTCTTTCAAAATATAAAGAACCATATCTTAGTTTTAACAAGTCTTTACATGGCCAGTCATGAAGCTTCTGCCTTTTCAAGCATTTGAAAGAAACTTTGGTCCCTAAAATGGTTAGAGCTCATAGATTTTAGGTTCAGTTAAACAAGAAACATGAAACTTTTGACATTCAAATACTACCATATAAAAATGTGGGCAGAAAAATTCACAGAACAAATGAGAAGGAATTTGAGGAGAGAAACTAGGGCTATGCTGGAAAGGGGAAAGAATAAGATGGTCTTTGGAGAGCTAGAATGGAGGATAAAGTTGAAAACAAAGAACTATTAGTGAGATCACAGATTAAATTGTTATAGGTTAAACAGTTCGCAATTGTCAGGAAACCATGATGACCAAGTCAAGCTATAACTGGCAAGGTCAATGCAATTCCAATGAAAACTATTCACATTAAAATAAGAACCTAGCAAAATAGAACTTTTAATATTGACCACAATGTCCATAATAATTGTGTGAAGAGAAGTGTATGGCTAGGTTATATAACTATTACCAACACTGCCCAAAGAACAAAGGAAAAGGAAATCTGAATTCATGCCAGTGTATTTATTGAAGCATCTTCAGCAGTGATGCACAGAATCTATAATATGAAAAATAGATTGCAATCGACAAGTAGGGTTAAGTTTTGGAAATTAAGACATCTTTTGATACTCGATAAAAAAGATAAGACATATGTCTACAGCATTACTACTGTATCAGTCATGCACTATTATTCTTGTCAGACCAGTCTTATGAACATTATGCATGCATTACAAATAGGGCTGTGTGTGTTATATTTATCCACTAAAAAAATAAATATTCCACAAGAAAATATAATAAGAGCAAAGGAAGAGGTAGGAAAATTACCAACTCCTTGCTAAGAACTGCCTGATTTGCATGCTCTCTCAAGGCCTACAAGAGAGGGTGACAGGAGGAAAGTAAGATGAGCCAGCCACATAAATAAGAAAAAGACGAAACAAAAAAACCTTCAAAAATCAAGTAAATTCTTGAATTTATTTGTTAGTCACAGACTGACAGTCCACAAGAATGGTCACAGGTCCTTCCACAGAATTTTAAATGAAAGCTAATATCATGTTATATTCATCTCAAATTTTATGAGCTCTAGATCATGACATGGTAAATTAACTTATATTTATGTGAAGTGCAATATCCTCTGACAAACTTCTAAGTACTCTTTTCTGACCAGAAAGTTGAATTACACATGACTAATCTATAATAGATGCAGCATCTCCAAGGGCATGGAAGAAGAGAAAGCCACTACAAGCTCACCCCCAATAGTTGCTGAATAAGAACCTGCAATCAGACTCCACAGCAACCCCCATAACAAACATGCACAGATGGATTCTAATAAAATGACTAGAACTAGCACAATTGATTTGATAAAAGTTGAAAGAAGATATTCATCTCATTGCAAGTGTCAAACAATGGAACACCCAATTAACCATGAAAAGATGAAAAAGGAAAAGATAAGAAAATAAATTTAGCAAGCATTTGATTCATGTTGAAGATTTCTACCTTTCTAATGCTCTCCCCTTCTACTTGATCAACACATTTCAACAAATTCTCCAATGTGCCTGAAAAAGAAGTGAAGATTATAGCAAGTCGGTATATCAAGAATAAACTTATATGAGCCCAAAAAGGAAAAAAAATCTCACATTGATAGACAAAAAAAAAAGTGCAATCACTTTTGGAAGAAAAAATGAATAGTCCATAACAAATTTCATCACATAAATAGTCCAACAACATCTTCACCCTATAACATTTTCCAATGAATTCTAAGAACTAATACAATAACATACCGAATCTAGTGATCAGTTCCACAGCATGAACAACTCCAATTCCTTCAACTCCTGCAATTAATAAATAATGGAACATCAATTACCTAACCTTTATCATATTTGAATCTCAGAACAAAAAAGAGTTGCTTAAAACTTCTAGCAGATTGCTTCATTTCAGAGAAAGTTTAAACAATTTTTTGCTCATTTCCTTTATCAGTACAGAAACTGAGCAGAGGCTAGATTTGTAGTTTTAGCTGACCTTCGCAACATTTCACCGAAATTCTGTGTTTTATTGTTCATTTTCTTCACACCAAGCATTTCTCCAGTGAAAAAAAAAAAAAACAAAAAAAACAAAAATCTTGAGCATCACATAAAAGGAAATTCATTGAAAGCCATTGGCAGAAGATACAAACCTAAAGAATTTATAAAGGAAATGAAATTTGTCTGTCAATGAAAAATTCATATCATGAACATTGGACTATGTATTAAACTATTGAGAGAGATGCATAAATCTTGAGCATTTCTCCAGTGAAAAAAAAAATACATAAATCTTGAGCATCACATAAAAGGAAATTCATTGAAAGCCATTGGAAGAAGATGCAAACCTAAAGAATTTATAAAGGAAATGAAATTTGTCTGTCAATGAAAAATTCATATCATGAACATTGGACTATGTATTAAACTATTGAAAAAAAAAATTCATATCATGAATATTGGACCAAGCATTTCTCCAGTGAAAAAAAAAAAAAGTACATAAATCTTGAGCATCACATAAAAGGAAATTCATTAAGCCATTGGAAGAAGATACAAACCAAAAGAATTTATATAAAGGAAATGAAATTTGTCTGTCAATGAAAAATTCATATCATGAACATTGGACTATGTATTAAACTATTGAGAGAGATGCGCGCCATAACCTGGAATATTATCAGATTTGTCACCCATAAGAGCCACCACATCAACAAACTGACAAGGTTCCAATCCTCCATATTTTTCAGCAAAATCCTCCATTCCAAATGAAACCATCCTGGACAAACCAAAATATGAAGTTACAGCACTACTCTATAAAATCAGATCAAAATTCTGAAAAACCAAGCCATGATTAAAGAAATTAAGTTACTCAAGGCAGCACGAAGCACAATCACAACCCCCTAAAAGTAACTAGACAGGTGACTTGTTAATTTTCACACTTCTGTTCAACTCGTTTTATTATATCATTAATTCTTACATGACCTATTAGGTAGGGGTGCACGCTGTTTGGTTCAACCCGAAATTGTTCAGTTCGGTTTGAAAACCAAACAAACCAAAATCCGAAATTCTTTTTTTCAAGAAATAGTAATAAAGATGATATGTTTTAAAACAGAAAATTTTACTTGGAAAAAATTGACACTTGAAAACTGAAAACTGACCAAAAACATTTTGGTTTTACACAATTCAGTTTTTCATAAATTCAGTTTGGTTTCAGTTTTTAAAAACCAAACCAAACCAATCAAACCATTTGCACACCCCTACTATTACTGTACATTGCCTTCAAATTTCAACTGAATTTGAAATTATATTTAGGAAGAACCCATAAGCAAATCAAAATTTAATTGAGCATGACATCAGCATGAACAGTCATGTCACTGTATTGCAAGATTAACACCAAAAAGTTCATATTACAAGATCATAAGCAAAAAAGGTGTTTGGTGTCATGGCATTGAGACAGGTGGGAGTAGGCTCCAGATATTGATTGTAGCAATTTTTTAAGGCAAAAAAAAAAGAATGAAACTTAAATTTGGAATAAACAAATGCTGGCAGGCAAGTATTAGTTCTGCATTATCCATATAGAATTTTGATTTCATATATTTTGAGTGTATGTTAACAATTATTAAACGTAAAACCAGCTTATGCAGCTCTGCAATTTTTTTTTTTTTTTTTTTTTTTTTTTTTGTGCTGTTATAAATACCAAGAACACATGTAAATCCTTTCTTCACTTTTTGTTGGTTCTTGTATTTTCAGTTTACACCCAATTGCTTTGACCATAAAATATATCTTAACCAAAACCAGCTTATGCAGTTACACAATATCCTTTAACTTTTTTTTTTTCCCTGTTCCAGATACCTAGAACATATATAAATCTTCATTCTTTTCATGGTTCTGTACTTTCGGTTTACATCCAATAGCTTTGAACTTAAATATCTTCGCCTTTACTAGTTTTGAAGATTGTTCATTAAGTTGTCTAATCAGCAAATAAAGTCAAATCCACTAGTCAAATCATAATAAATGAAAACCAACTCATTGCAACCAAAATGGCATTATTTTTAATCACTGCAGGATGAAAAAAGTTGATCACAGCTTTGTATAACGTGACTTTATAAGATAAAAAAGACCATATTCACAAGAAGAAAAGGTTTCAGAAAACTCCAACAATTTCTAATTACTCAAACCTCTAGTTTTAACATAAATAATGCAGGCATGAAGTTCCAAGTTGAATAGTTACTAACTCAAGACCGCGTGGTGCAATTCGTAGAAGACGTAATGAAGGAGAGAGAATCTGAAAAAAATCTTTGTCCGGAGAAACAACTCGTACCTGTTGCAAAATAAGCTCAATCATGAGACACCAAATGTTGCAAGAAAAAATAAAAGAGGACCTTCTAGGCAAACAGTACTTTTAAAGGAACTCGGTTTTAACTATTTAAACTGATTATGAAAATCAAGCAAAGAAAGCCATGCATCCAAAAGCTGAAAGACGAATGTGATAGATGTTCAGCTAAAAGAATTCTGTGTTGTACGGTACAATTGTCAGAATCCCAACAGCTAAAGTGAAGAACTCAACAATGCATGAAACAAATAAGGGTAAATTACAATAAACCCCTTGAGGTATCATAGAATTACTGAGACCACCCAAAAGTTTGAAGATATTGCATAAACCACCTCTGGTACCCATATGCCCTTAATATTTTAAAATTTTCCTTACTATTAAAGGGCATGGTTTTGAAAATAATAAGGACATTTTGGGTACAAGAGAAAGCTTTTGTAATATTTTTTTAAATATGATGGGGTTTCTGTCAAATCTTCAAACTTTTTAGTAGTCTGTGTAATTTCACCATAAATGAGGAGGGCTATTGTAATTTACCCAACAAATAAAACAAGTTTCAAAAATCATTTGGGAGGGAAAAAAAAAACAAAATATACAATATAACAAACAAAACAGAGGTTCAGTTTATTCCTAAAGCAAAATCTTTCATTTGTGAATACTCCAGAAAAAGCTTATTAATGCTATTATTAACAAAAAGCTGAAGCCTAGCAATTGCAGGGCTTAAGATTAGATATGTTTGTCTGGGTAGAATTTATCTCAAAAAAAAGAGAGAGAATTTTCCCTGTTTTTCACGTGAAAGAGGATAGAAGGGTGGCAGAAGGTGAAAATATTGATAGAGTTCATGAGAAAATAAATCAGGAGGGTGAGATTCAACAAAGAGTGAAAAAAATAATAAATATGCATAACCCATCAAACAAGAGCAGATCTTCTCCAGGGAGTTAAAAAAAAAGAGAGATAATTAAGATGGACACATAAAAAGACTGATTATCGAGTAAGTATATGTGAAAAGGCAAACAGTAGAGGAGCTGAACAGTGTCATTGACCTGTAGACTAGAAGACATATACGAAAGGCAGTTGAGTAAATGAAAAAAGAAAAACAACAACACTAAAGCAAGATGCAGCCCTGTTGAAAGGAAGCACTTAACCTACTTACATTGTGTTCCCATAGCTATGTAAGCAAGATATTAGACAATTTATTAGTTTAATTGTTTCTCTTGATTTTATTCCATAAAGGACGAGGGAGCCCACAACGACTAGACCCTTGGGAAACAGTGGAAATCATTTTCAAAAAATTATCCATCTTCTTCTCCACCAAAACAAAATCCATGGAATTATTGTGGTTAGATTTCATTATAATCTCCAGTGTTTGAGAAATAGAGCTTGGATAATTACCTTGAACCCATCCTTGACACTATTTACAGCCAATGTTCCAATGACATCATCTGCTTCTACCCCTGGTATCTGCCTTCACATAAAATCATGATTAGTTACTGTGAGAAATCAGAGTTGACCAATTATATAAAACTGCATGATATAGCTACTTACCTCAATCACCTTAACAGACATAGCTTTGATGGCAGCTTTCAAGTATGGAAGTCCCTGAACAACAGTATCAGGTGTAGGAGGGCGGTTGCTCTTGTATAAAGGATATAAAGTGTGACGAAAATTCAATCCTTCAAAAAAAAAAATAAGAATAAGAATATGATAAATCCAATCAGCTTATTTTCATTTACAAAAACGAACCTGTAAAGTACTGCCTATGCAATACATGGTTAGACAAAGATAGAGGATAATGTAAATACGCATCTTCAATGCCAGACTCAACAAATACCACATCACTTGGGGACTTTTTTTTTTTGTTGGGGGGAGGGGGCAAATACAAGAAATGTAAATGTGCAGCTGCAAGGGGAAAAACAACAAAATTTATTTTCATGAACACCTTAACAGAGCTAAGCACAGGAAAAGGAACTCTGAACCCAATCCCAAGCAGTTGCGATAAAAAGCCTCATTTAGTTGATCCTAGTCAAGTTTTTTTTTTTTTTTAACAGAAACCTAAAAAATCAACCTTTTGCCATCCAAACGAGCTCTATACCATTTTATGCAGCCTACAGTGGACATGCCCCTCCACTTGCACCAGCTAAAAAAGACTTCTATACATATATATAGGTGGGGCAACAGCTAAAAAAGACTTCAGTACAGTTGCATTAGCGGAGATAGAAGTCTAGGTGGCAACCTAGTCTGTGAATATATGGACTTCTCTTTTTTTATTATTATTTTTTTGTTCCATTGTATTTGAAGAAGGGATATGAACTAAACATTAATCATTAGGAATCACCAAGTAAAATTCACTCGAATGTCTAATCTTTTGCCTCTGTGAATTAAGTTGGGTGAAAGATATCATGATTCATTTTTTGTGTTTTTTTTTTTTTTTATGACTGTTCAATAATATTTAAAAATGCATTTCAGGTTTGATCTGGGATCATGTATCCTGGTGCCCAAATGATCATGTATCCTGTGGCCAAATGAACATGGCTTGCACACACGGCACAAATAATTAACAGTTGAAAAGGCAAGCACAGCAGAATTAAAACAGAAATTTCTTCTTGAAGCTTGTTTGTGTAAATATAGGATGCATGTTATCTTAAAGTACTAGAAGAAATTATGGGCTGCTGCCTTATGGTTCATTTTGATTATAGAAGTTAAAAAGACTACATGGAAACCAGGAAAGAGAAATAAAATAGTTCTGTGGTTTAATTGATCACTAGAAGGCCCGCAAATGGTTTTCCATGTCTATCCAAATACCTAAGGACCATGCACTGAATTCACAGCCAGTCAGGCTGAGCCTCTAAAACTCCTCACTATATTCATTAACTAGAAATGGATTCATATGACCCCCATCAATCACAAATTGGCATTTCTGATCCATCTACAGCGTAATCATATGCTGCTTAAGTTAAGAGAATCACAAACCTGCTCTAAGATATATCATAGACTCTCTCTTAGTTGCATCTTCCAACAGTAGATGAACTAAATGTCACAAAGGACAAACATAACAATTCAGAGTAAGTCAAGTCTATGTCAATTGTAATCCAAATTCATTGAACGTTTTTAGCAAGTAAATGTAAGAGGTTTGATGCTGCCAGTTAGGCTCAACAAAAAATAAAATCTAATGAAATCGATTGTGTCCCAGTCCATTATGCAATCAAATCTACTCAAACATAATCGCCTTATCATTGCTTTTTTGCTTCAGGTAAAAAGTCTAGAATCAGAAACATAAGAAATCAAACAAATTTAAACTACTTAAACAAACCTATATTAATTAAAGCAATTTATGAGCAATTCAAGACCAAGCATGATCAAGAAAATAATTATCTTTATATGTGAGCAAGTTTTGGCAAGCATGCTTGAGCAGATCTTTCACATCAAGTTTTGGCAAGCGTGCTTGAGCAGGAAATTAAAAAAAAAATGCTGAATTTGATTCTAATGTCAGACACTTTGCAAGTGATTTCAGAAAACACATGAATTGCCTACGCTACAATAATGTCATGCCCTATATTTGAATATAGTTTCTTCTTTCTACACTGTAGACTCTGAATAAACCAGCAAACGTCATCCATAACTATCTAGATTAACCTATAAATGTAGTTTCTTATTTCTTACAGATCTTTAAATTAATTATGAAAGGATTTTAAAGAATTATAAACTGACATACCTTTTGCCATGACATTTTCTTTGGGTGAAACACTAGTTTTTCCATACGGTACTCCTGAAAAGGAAAAGTAAAAGTGTGGTCTATCAAAATTCCACATTGAACAGCAGTTTCACTATCCAAATACCACATAACTAGTGCAAATTGACCACTGACTAGAAAACAGAAGAACGTGCTGGATGGCCCAAGTTTAGCATCTAAAATGTGAGACACCCTCCTAAAGACTTCTAATTCTGAAAGCATTTTCACCCAACTTAAAGTTCCCATTTATATAATGATCAGGAACTAACAAATTGACAGAGTTAAAATATCATGTGCAAATTGACCACTGAATTTGGTTATGAAGGGTTTTACAGTTTTGGGATGAAACAATTCATGTTCGCTCCCTCTTGACTTGTGAACTAGACAAGGAGATGAAATGTAAGGAAATCAACAATTTTTTATTCCTTTGAATAATTCTGGTAAAAAGGACGAGGAGCCCTCCAAATTCTAGGCAAATTAAGCCCTGACATTTTGGTACTCATTGGACCAAGTATCCTGCAAGGTATTTTGTGGATAAATTTTGTTTGGTGCAAATGTAATAACTAGAGAAACCTCTACCAATTGTGAAAGAAAGATGTTTGTGCTATAGCGGGTTCTTTCTGTCTGTGAAAATAATTCACCAAGCCTCCAGCTATGGTTTAGACATTGGAAAAGGTGAACTTTAGCAGTCAACCCCAATGCAATTTTCAATCCCTTTACTGTAGCACTATGCAAGTGAAAGATATTGCTGCTGCTTTCTCTGTTCATTTAGCAGCATTTGGCAATGCAGTGCCAAGAGCTCGCTGTGTTTAGATGCAGCAACCCCAACACACAAGAAAATCATGCAGCAGTCCCAGTCAACTGCAACATTGCATGAAAGCCTCCAGTCATAAGGTTCTGGTTCCAGGCATTTGCTAAGATCAGAGAACACCGGTTATTGGGATTTCTTTTGAGTGATGTTTGCTATTTTAAAATCACAACATTGCCTATCTTTGATACCCTAAGCTCAATAGGACATGCTACCACTAATACATGGAAAAGTTTTCATTCCTGATTTCAGTTTCTCAGCCACTATTATTAGCAAACTCTGTAAAGATCAGTTCCAGTTCAATTCATGGCAGCATAGGAAACCCTGCTCTTAACTTTTCTATGAGTGGGTTAGATGCTGCTCGTGCTATCAAAGTAAAGCACCACTTTTCTTCAAAGTGAGAAGACTCAAGAAATGGATGCCTACAGAGCTAGAGGATTGTTTTACTCTGTTTAGAAAACTTTGTTTTCCACAAGTATAAAACTGAGCAAACATAATAACGCAGCCAACAACCTGGAATCTCTCTTTCTTGTCCTGTATCAACTAACCTTTGTGCAATTTAATTTATAAGACGGCAGCGCAGCACACCGACATTTAGCCTACAAGTTACACTGAATCTCGACTAGATATTTGTCAGTGTCTATGCACTCCCGATGTCCAGCCTATTGTATGATGTTAAATCGCAGATTTGGGCTCTCATCTCTTTCCAAAATTCTAACTTGAAATGCAAAAGAATGAAGGGATAACACTTCAGCAACAAAACATGAGGAAAGCACAAGAAAAATAGAAGAGTGAGATATAAGTTCATTGAAGGGGAACTATCTTCCTTCATAGAATATACAGGTTTTGCATGCTCTGAACAGAAACTAAATCTCAAACCCACCACAACTCCATAATTAAATCTGCAGAAAACAGAGACCTAATGTACCAAAAGCAGACATGGGAGTTTAGGGTCATCATGCCTAAGGGCACCAGGAATCACAGCACTCACTAAACTCACTTTATTGCAAATTCACCCAGACAAAGATAAAAATCATCATGGTCAGCATTAAGAGGTTGATATCATGTAGTTGGAGATTCCAAGTAAAAATCAAACAGTTTGAATTACTTTAGAGCATGTCAAGAAGCACAAACAACAATTGAGAGACTCAATTACTAATAAAAATATCATGTAATTGGAGATTCCATGTAAAAATCAAGCAGCTTGAATTACTTTAGAGCATGTTAAGAAGCATAAACAACAATTGAGAGAATCAATTACTAATAAAAATATCAGAGAATCTATATCTCACCATCATGATCAAACACCACCTGCAAAGAAAATAATAACCAATGAATAAGTAATACCACATTAAGAAGAATGATGAAAAGAAAAGAGAAAACAATGGTTTAATATGCAAAAGTAGTAGTAAAACCCTTGGATAAAGAAAAGGTGCTGACATTATTATGAAAAATAATATGCATAGGCATATTCATTGTAAGTTAAAGGCAGATGCTGTATATAGTGGTATTTATATATCTGATATTGCAAATATAGATGGAAACTAACATCAATGTATCCAAGGTTGAATGACAGAATCATATCTTTTACAAACGGATCTGGAGGACATAATGTTCATATTCTGACAGTAAATAATCTCTAACCAAATACAACACCATGCATCAGCTACTATTCAGAATCTGAAATTCACAGTAACAAGTTATGAAAATTTGATTTATCAGCTACAAGAGTCTAAATCATAAGTTTTGGGCTTTAACAATAAATCGTTCATAAGAGAAGCAATATCACATTTCAGCGAGATTCAGCAAATCAAATATCAGAGGGTGAATGTTGTGTTTGAAAGAATTGAAGACAGAACCTAAGTGTTTTAAACACTAATAACAAGCCATGTTTGTGTAAATCTTTGTCCAGACTCTTTTACACTGAAAATAAAATTTTTGAGCCTCGATGGACCCCTATACTTTTTAAACCCATTCCACACAATTTGGCTAGTCCAACCAATTGAGCTATTGTTAAACCACTAACACAGGGATGAATACAGTCTAAATCTAATGTATCCAGCATGTTTTTTCTATGAAAATCAATTTTGTGCGGATTCAAAGGAAACTTTGATCCAGCAAATTACTAACTTTTATGCATGTCAGACTGTAAAATGTCGACACTTTAGTAGCTCTCGCCTCTTGATATCACTAATAACCCCTACTATCGTTACCTTAAAACACTCCTTCTTCGAACAAAAAGGTCAGACAAAATAGAAATGCTAATGCACGAGTTTTTTTATCTTCATTGTGTAATGTGATTTAATGAAATATACACATATAAGCATAATGCAAATGTCATACCACCGCATGGGAAGGCATAAATTCCAGGACATCAATTATCTGCAAGAGAAATAATAGAGATATGCTTTAGACATTAAGAACTTGAACAATGGGTTTAAGTTGATGATTCTGTAAGTATTTATGCACTCTTATCAAAATAATATAGAGGATTATCATGTGACTTTTGATTTGTGTTTGTCATGTGAGGTTTGAGTTATGTGTGTAGTGTGTGATTATATCTCTTCTTTCCTTTCTCTCTCTCTAGAGTCTAGACTCTACTCTGCAGTGTCAGTACCTGTGGCCCAGCTCACAGGACTGTGGACTGCAGTCAAACCAGTCTCTAAATAATAGCCAATCATAAGACCGAAAGAATACCACTTACGAAAGATAGTGCAGAAAATATAGTTAAAACCCAATCTCCGTTGCCATCTGCATGTGTTAGATGGCCATGGTTCACCTTCGCTGCTCACAATCAAAATAAGACAAAGTCATGATAAGCTGAAATACAAGACTGGTCCAATTTAAATATACTAGACCTAGGTTGCGCCCGGAAACTAAAGGTAGCTGTTGTTTAATAGAAAGCCAATGATCACAACAAATCCAAAATTCAGAAACAGATAAGTCATATGCTGACATTTCAACTTTCATCCTAAAATCTGACACATCTTCTCTACTGCTATAAGCAATAATTCATCATGAAAAATAAAAAAGAAATCTCAAAATAGGTGAATTGATTTAGAAACTTCATAAATTCATGAAGTAAAAACCAGCCAAGAAAATTTTCATAATTTATAAAGGCAAATATAATTTCAAATATTTTATTGGACTAAAGACACAATGATGTTTGAAAGACACAATACCTTCAAACATTATCATTCTGTTCAAACCTCCAAAACAGAGTGTAAATAAGAGACAGTCAACATGCAATGACATTAAAGGTTATTATTCTCTTCAAATCTCCAAAACACATTATTACGCTCAAGAGACAGTTAGCAGGTAGTAAATTTGAAGACAGTAATGCTTAAGATAGAAAGTCAACAATAAACACATAGAATCATTAGAACTTACCTATATTTTCAACAGACTTTCCCCATTGCTTTGGCAAACTGATTGCCAAATACGTCCTAAGGTATCTATTAGCTAATGTCATTATCTAGTCTAATCTCATATAAGCAGTTAAACTAATAGAATAGCCCTCCGGCCACATGAAACTTTGAAATCGCAGATGAAAATCACAAAATAAAGGCATACATACAAATGTCACCACAACATAAACGGTCAAAAGGTATAACAATAAGTTCCTAGTACCCATCAAACAATCCACAGCAATAGCAAGAGAACATAAACTTCAGTTTTGCCGTTAACAGAATAATTTGATATAAATAAAAAGATGCAGCCAATACCACGATGTACCTAAAAGCTTGAAGTAAGCTCTATAAATCACTGATGTGCCATCTATAAGCATTACTCTGCCATTGGAAGGATTATTAGCTTCCACTGCTTTTTCTTCCCGCTTGACCAAATCAAGAGGTACCTCTTGGTGGACCTCATGATCACTTTTGGAAGAGGTTAGTGGTTTGCTTTGAGGAATTGCAGAAACAACTTGAGATAAACTACAGTAGCCCTGAAGAAAAACAAGAGCCAAAAATGAAAACAGTATCCCTGAAAAACAAAACCAAGTATAGAATAGAATATGAATAAAACCAACACTCTAACGACTCATTCAAACAAAATGAAAAACCCCCTAACTCTGAATGGACACAAAGAAAAAGATAAACGACCTTGCATAAGAATTATTTAGTGAATTAATATATAACCAAAAAGTTGAGCGTTTTTAAAAGCAAAAATTTTATCAAAAATGCCAGTTAACAATTATTACCTTCTTCGATAGGGCAGGCGAAGGATGGACCAGAAAAACCCTCTTAAAATTCGACAAGCTTTCCCCAACTATCCAATTTGTTGCCAAATTTCCTCCCAGATAATTAAACCCTTTCCACAATGAATTAATGTGGAGATTCAATGACTTGTAGTGTGCCATAAATTCATATCACTCCTCCTCAGCAACTACGGCATGGTCCAAACTCTAAATCCTCCAGAGCAAGCAAATACCTGCAATACAAAATTCAAATTGAGGATTTTTTCTGATAAAAAAAAATATTTATGCAAAAGTGTAAATTTTAAAAAAATCAAACAAACACTACAAAATCTATTTTTTCATTTCACAATTTCCACTGCCAAATCCCATTCCTAAACATAATTAATTAACACCACGTTTGTTAACAATCAACTTTCAAATTCTCCTTTCTGGTGCTCCGTACAGGAAAAAAAAATCATGCGAGCATTATTTTCTTCTAGCTGCATTTTTCTCAGTAACCAAAAGCAAAATAGAGCAAAATCCAACAGTTTTTGTTCAAGAACTGAAACATACCTCTGGTTCTCTTCCTTAGCCCGCCAAAAAAAAAAAAAAAACCGAAAGATTTTTTGGGTTTGGAGTTCTGGGTTCGTTTCAAGATAGCCGAAGCCGAAGGGACAGATGAGTAAGGGAGTGAGCGGCTAAAAGAAAAAACGAAAATGGTTGCTGGGGGCACTACAAGTGGGTTTTCGTAACTTAAGTGGGCCTAAGCCCATCATTTGCTATCTGTTTTCGGAAGGACTATGCTGATTTTTCAAAAAAAAAAAAAAAACCAACCGCAAAGAGACCATATTAAACAATTTTTAGTGAGTATAGACTGGTCCTAAATTTCGGGATTTTAAACTTTTCATCCTCTTGAAATCGAAAAAATATGCATAAAGCTTATGGTGCGGCTACGAGAATGCGTGAAAAGTGGAATTCTAATATATAATTTTTAATTGAAAACCCAAAACTTCCACCAGCTAACTGCTCAATTTTTGTAGTTAGAAGAACTATGTTGATTAATGTTTAATACATGTTAATTGAACTAGGTTATCTTTGTCATTTTCAAGCCTTTTTTTGTCATATGCTTGTGTAATTTTATTCCAATACCAATTTCATATTTTAGAGGTGGAAACAGATGATCATTAAGTTTTGTCAGTTGGTTAAATTTACATAATTTACAAATAGAGATAGAAAAAAATAGCTATGCTAATTAATATTAATGGTTCAAAGTGACCAAATTATTTGTAGAAGGATAATTTTGACAAAATGTCAATAATAGAGTGACATATGTATTTTTAGCCACTAGATATCATAAGAATAAATCTCCATAACTATTTAGTTGATTTTTTTTTATATATATTTGGTCTGCATCTTGATTTGAAGTCGTTGTTGCAAGTCTCTTTAATGTTTTATTATGTGTAATGCGATATCAACATTTGCAAACTCCAGGGAATTAATCTTTATTTTTCTAGCTGTGTTGTCATCCGTGCGATTTTTCAATTTGACTTCCAAATATTCCAATAATTTAAGGTGACACTAAAACAAACAAAAATCTTCTGCAACTAATTAACCACAGATGAATTCAATAATTAGTTTGATTAGTGGTGAATATTTGGTTTAAGAAACTTAAAAGAAGAAAAAAAAAACAAGAGAGATACGTATGCAGGGATGGCAATTGTTAACCATGGTTATGGTTTTAGATATAACCATAATCATAACCAAAATGAAAATAAAAAACCATAATCATCATTATCTATTTGACTAACCTTAATCATTAACCATCCTTTAAAAAAAAAAAAAAAAAAGAAACCTAAGCGAATAGATAAATTTAACGAATTCAAATAATCACATGTCAACACAAATATTAATAATAAAAAATAAAATAATAATAATAATAGTCAAATAGGTGTTGTACATAAAATATCTTAAATCACACAAAATACTCATTTATAATAATAATAACCTCATAAAAAATAAACATGAAACAAATGTGAATACCACTATACAAGTTTAAAAATAAGCATCCTTGAAGCATTAAATGAATTACTAATTACTTATAATTAATTGTAATTCTAATATTAAAAGAACTATCCAAATATTATTATAAAAAACACTAAAACAAAATGATAGTTTACTATTACCTAAAAAAAAAAAAACTAAATGAACCGAGATAAATGAATAGTAACTACGGTTCATCTACCGTATCCCAGTTCATTGGTTTGATTTTTTTTTCTTTTCGACGTTGAATAGCAACCGAGCCTTGACTCGTTGTTCAACCCAACCACCACCTTTTTTTTTCACATCTATAACTCTTATTGTTTAAAATTTATTTATTCAATTATTTGTCTCTTATTAAAATTCTCATCAAATTAACTTTTTGATATAATTTTATTTGTTAATAAATTTGGCTTTTTAATATATGAATTTTGGAATAAAATTTTAGAACATTGTGTTTTATTTTTAAAAATATATTATTATAATTTATACAATAAATTATTTTTATGCTTTTTAAATGAGTGTTTTATTTTTTAAATTATATATATATATATATGAGAGAGAGAGAGAGAGAGAGAGCTAAAAGTATGTTTTAGATAGTTTGACTCAATTTTTAAAAAAATATTAATAATCAATTACTAAAAGTCACAATTTTTATTTGCTTTTTTATATATATTTATTCAGAATTTATCGAACTAATTGTGTTATAGTTTTTATTTTAATCTATCGACTTCAATATATGTCATACAATTTAGGTGGATTTTTTTTTTTGTATATTTTTCTATTTATTCTATATACTCCGAATCTATTAAATATATATATTTGTTTTTTTATATATATTTATTTATAATTTATCAAAACCAATTTTACCGTGGTTTTTATTTTAATCCATTGACTTCAATAAATATTTGTTTTTTTATATATATTTATTCTATATACTACTGTAATTTGTCATTTAAAAAAAAATTCTCATCCAATTAACTTAAAATTATATGGTCCTCTATCTTTTTATACATTTTTTTCAATTATAGATTTTAATTGTATTGTGATTTGATCCCGTTATGTTTTAGTGTTTTTTGTTAATTAGTTTTATTATTTAAAATTTACTACTAAATTTGATATTTTTTTTTACATTCTCATCTAATTAATTTAAGATTATATTTACTGATAATTTTAATTTATTTTTCTATATGTATAGATTTTGAAATAAATTATTAGAACATGATTACTTTTTCTTTTGAAAAAATCGATTTAGATAATTTTTAAATTATAGTGGTATGATTAATGTATATGATTTTTCTAAAATACATTTTTAGTCCTCAATTTTTCTATACCTTTTTTTTTTAATTTGAAACTTTAATTGTATTATGATTCGGTCTCATTTTGTTTTAGTATTTTTTGTTAATTATTTTTATTATTTAAAATTTACTATTTTGATTTGTCATTTTTTTTAATTCTCATCCAATTAATTTAAAATTATATGATTCTCAATTTTTCTACATATGTTTTTTTCAATTTCAAACTTTAATTGTATTGTGATTTGGTCCCATTTTGTTTCGGTGTTTTTTGTTAACTATTTTTGTTATTTAAAATTTACTATCTTAATTTATCATTTTTTTAAATTCTCATCCAATTAATTTAAAATTATATTTACTAAAAATTTTGATTTATTTTTCTATATGTATGGATTTTGAAATAAAGTTTAGAACATTATTATTTTTTCTTTTGAAAAGTAGATTTATATCATTTTTAAATTATAGTGGCATGATTAATACATATAATTTATCTAAAATACATTTTTAGATTAAAAGTGCATTTCAAATAATTTTTTCTCACTTTTTTTAGAAAAAAAACTTAAATTAGCTAATCAATAATTGAAAGTCAAATGTGAAAAATGAAAAGAAGATTGTTGCTCTGCTAGTGAGGCTCGTATTCAAGGACTAGCCATGGATAGCATAGAAATAAATTAACTTTAATTGTATTGTGACTTGATTCCATTTTGTTTTAGTATTTTTTGTTAATTATTTTTATTATTTAAAATTTATTACTTTAATTTGTCATTTTTTAAAATTCTCATCCAATTAATTTAAAATCATATTTACTCGATAGTTTTGGTTTATTTTTCTATATTTATGAATTTTGGAATAAATTTTTAGAATATTATTATTTTTTCTTTTGAAAAATAGATTTAGATAATTTTTAAAATATAATGGCATGATTAATATATATAATTTTTCTGAAATACATTTTTAGTCCTCAAATTTTCTGTACTTTTTTTTTCAATTTCAAACTTTAATTTTATTATGGTTCATCTCATTTGATTTAGTGTTTTTATTAATTATTTTTATTATTTAAAATTTGCTACTTTAATTTGTCATTTTTTTTTAAATTCTCATCTAATTAATTTAAAATTATATGCTCCTTAATTTTTCTATATATTGTGTTTTTCAATTTCAAACTTTAATTTGGGTCCCATTTTTTTTAGTGTTTTTTGTTAATTATTTTTATTATTTAAAATTTACTACTTTAATTTATCATTTTTTTAATTCTCATCCAATTAATTTAAAATTATATTTACTGATAATTTTAATTTATTTTTCTATATGTATGAATTTTGGAATAAATTTTTAGAACATGATTATTTTTTCTTCTAAAAAATTGATTTAGATCATTTTTAAATTATAGTGGCATGATTAATATATATAATTTATATAAAATATATTTTTAGATTAAAAGTGGATTTCAAATAATTTTTTTTATTTTTTTTAAACTCAAATTAGTTAATTAATAGTTGAAAGTCAAATGTGAAAAATAAAAAGAAGATGGTTACTGCTGTGTGTGAGGCTCGTATTGAAGGACTAGCCATGCATAACATAGAAATAAAAAATTATTTAAGGAGGAAAAAACAATGAAAAAGAATTTACATGTCCTATTAATTTGTTTCTTCTTTGTATAATCAAAATTAATCAAAATCAAATTTCTAATAATTTTTATTTTAGTCTATTAACCTCAAATTTAGTCAAATAGATTCCTTACAAGTTAATTTTTTTATAGTATTTTTTGTTTTAGACTGAAAACTCTAAACTCACTTAATATAGTTAAGGTGTGTAAAAAAATATTGAATTATTTATTTATTTTTTTAGAAATTAACTATGCAACTACTACTACGCTAAGCATTTACTATTTATTTATTTATTTTTGAATATTTTAAAATTCTCTTATTTTAAATTAAATAATTAAAATCATGTTTTGGCTTAACCACTCAATTATTCAAATTAATATATTTTTTATTTTAATATTATTCATTATTTTATAAATAAATATATAAAAATTAAATTCATATTTTTTTCAAAAATTGATATTCTCATCATCATTAAATAAAAATAAAAATAAGTTATTTGTTCAATTCTATGTAAGCTTTTAATCATTTTTTTTTTCGACACAATATTATGAAATACTAAAGCTTTTTAAAAAAAATTAATTTAATTTTCTTTATAGTTAATAATTTATGGATTAATAAGGATAAATCCTTTTCTAAATGAGAAATTATGAAAAACACAAATAAGAAATAGTTAAATACAAAATTATTTATTAAAAAAAAATTCACCTTTAGTTTCGTGCATTTTTATAGATTCACGCTATCAAACGGACTATTAAACCGAAATGATTTTTATAAACGATTTTATATATTTTATCCAACCCATAACATAAAGCCAAGTAAAAGAAACTAGCATCATACGAGGCACAAACACTCCCTCTAAAAAAATGAAGGAGAGTTTAGGCAGGTATCTTAAAATTGAAAGTTTAAAGACAAATATAAAATAAATGATACATGTGACAAGTATGACACCGCAATGCAATGTCACCCTATCATCACCTCTATGCTAATCCATCATCACTAGTAAAAAAGGCAAACTTATTTTTCTCTCTAATATTGATAAAGGAGGAAAGCAACAAAAAGAAAAAAGCAAAAATAAACGAAAAAAACTAAAGAAAATCACTTCCCGAAGAAGATAGAAAGTTTCTTTGAGGAGGGTTTAAACTCAATTCAAAATCGACTTACGACATCTATACATCCGTACAAAAGAGAACTCACACTTTTACTTAACTAGCACACTTCATTGCTAGTCACATCCACCAAACTACTAGTAAGTTTCTCAACTCTTAATGCCATGTTTTTTTTTTTTTACACACTTCATTGCTGGTCCTATCCATTTTGGCTCAATTAAAAGTGACTTTTTTTTGGAAAATATCACTCATTCTCAAGGGCTATCTATCTTTTTTTGGCTATCTATCTTTTTTTTTTCCTTGTAATGCATTTTGGCTTTGAATAGATTTATATATCTAAGCATATTTGATTCTTCGATCTTTTGTCTTTCATCGACTATAAAAAAGATAAACTTAAAGCCGAGGCATTTTAAAAAATTGACTAGGAAAATAAAGATGTTACCGCAAGAATTAAAAGTGATTTTTTCTAGAAAATATCACTTTAATTCAAGTTTTTATTTATGTAGAACCTTAATTCAATATGAGAGTTTTAACATAAGTAGATCACTTTCCAATATTAATAAAATGTCTATCTATTTGTTTTTATTTTTTTAAAGTATAATTAATGTGCAAGTCTTTAGCTTTTTGCGGTTGAATTTTGAGTGCTTAATTTGTAAACTACCGTAATAATGACTTGCATTATGAAAGTATCGTTGCAAATTGTCCTTTAATTGAACAATTGAGTCACATACAAGTTAATACTCATTTTTCTTAAATGTTTGTCTTAGTTTAAGTAAAATTTGAACTCAAGGTTCATGGAATGACACTAGGAAGGCGAGTTGGTTCAAGGAATAGGGGGAAATGAGTCCAGAGAGTAACTTCTCCACTTGAAGTTCGAAAGTAGCAAAAATTGTATTCAACCATTAATTTTATTTTTTCAACTCGTTTTTAATATTAGTTACGTACCTCAAGGCTACTAATTGTGCTTGTAATAATTTAATGCCTAGACGATTTAAGTCATATGAGCATCAACACAAAGACATAGCCCTTAATTCATGACAATTTTAGTGTTACCCAAGCAAGAAAATTTTCGTAACACGTGTGCATTTTGAAATGGCTTTCGTTTCATAAGAAGTTATTTTATAGTTCATATTTGGTGTTTTTAACCTTTGTGTATGCAGATTTTTCTTCTTCTTTTTTTCCTATCTCAAAGGATGTTATATTTAGACAATATAGCTATGATGCAATGATAAGTAAAAAAAGACTAACGAAGTTTTGACCATAATAATGTGAGCGTTAGCTTACATGCTTGTGATTATAGTGCATTTAGTTCTTTAATCATAACTCGCTTCTTTAATAATATCTCGGTTTTTCAAATACCAATTTTAACTAATGTTACAAAACAATCTCGTTGATTAAAATTTTGATGCATCGTATGAAAAACCAAACAAAAAATCTTACAAGCATCTATAAATCTTATAATGGTCTTCCATATTGATACAAGGAAAAGGAATTGTAAAAAAATTTTCACCATCAAAAGAAACTAAACAAAATTAAGTTAATGCATTTGACCTTTTTTTTTCATATATGTTGCTTTGTCCAACTATAAGCTAGCAATTTTTGTTGTCTTCTAAATAACAAGTAAAACCATTCCTAGATGTTTGTGTCAAAAAACCATCTTAATTAAAAAATTTAAGCAATTAGATGAGGTCCTAATATATGATTTAAACTCGGTTAAAAGTTGACTAACAACTTCCATACAAAAGAGAACTCACATTTTGTTTCAACTAGCACACTTCATTGTTGGTCACGTCCACCAAACTACTAGCAAGTTTCACAACTCTTGATGCCATCTCCTAACCACACACACACACACACACACACACACACACACACACATATATATATATATATATTGACACACTTCATTGCTGGTCCAAGCCACTTTGGCTCAATTAAAAGTGATTTTTTTCCGAAAATCAAGGGGGAAATAAGGGAGTGGGGTAGTGGTTGGGGTTGGTGGGGGTGGCGGTAGCAGAAGAGGAGAGGAGAAGGAGAGGGAAAAGGGGGAAATAAGGAGGAAGAAGAGTTTGTAACTTTATAGGGTTTTAAAATTAGCGATGTGTTTTTATTATTGACAAAAATAAACATCGGTAGCTAATTTGAATTTCAAACGATCGCTCGAATTGCCTAGAAAGATTCAGAAATTTACATAATTAGCGAGGGAATAGTCGTTTTCATCACTAAGTTGAATTTTTAACCCACTCGCCAATGTTGTTATAAAATTTTTTGGAATTTACGCATTTAGCAACATAATAATATATGTTGCTAATTAGTGATGGGTAGTTTTTGTTGCTTGGCCAATGATGCTTTTACCGACGGAATAGAGTTCGTCGCTACATTACCTTGCTAATCCATTACAATTCCATCATTGAATTTGATGTGGATGTTTGTCGCGCTCCAAAGCGATAGAATTGTTTCCGTCGTTACATTTTCGTTGCAAAACCGTCACCGATCCATTGCTCAATAATGTATTTTCGATTTCATCGTTAATCAATCGCTATTTAGCTACTAAATAGCGATAGATTAAATTTTATTTTTAAAATTCATCGCTAATTGCTTATTTTTTTGTAGTGCTTGCTTATGATAAGTTAGAAAATCACATGAAAAAAATGCTTGTTGTATGACATAATATTTTGAGAAGATGATGAAATCTATGAGGATTACTTGATGAAGTGTTAAAGAGCTAATTAAATAGTTTATTTCTATGGTTCAAGATGAAAGAGCGAGCATCCAATAGCCAAATGTTCAGAATGAAGCAATAAGGGGTATTGTACATTAAAGCATGTCAAAAATGCTTATTTATTAGAGCAATATAAATGCCCTAAATATTAATGTTCGAGCATTAGCACCGAGAATGCCAAATATTTTCCATACAAAGTTTATCATCAGTCAAAATAATTGAAGAAATGGAAGAACACCCTATAGAAGAAAAGTGGAGAAATGCAAGGATGATTTAATTGATATGTTCAAATTTGAGCAAATACGAATAATCATAAGTCCATTTCTTCATAAGAAAAAAAGCTTGAATATTATTCCATTGTAACTTTTTGATTGTATGTGTAAGTCGTTAATTCTGGATTTTTGTACTAGCTTTCAATCACTACCAATCTATCTTCAAGTCAATCACCCTTAGATCATTACTAGTTTTTTTACCTGCAGTCGTATCGGATTTTTGTACTAGCTTTCAATCACTACCAACGTCTATCTTCACGTTAATCACCCTTAGATCATTACTAGGTTTTTTACTCGCGCTACGCCGTGGGTTGGATAAAATATATAAAATCATTTTAAAAAATCATTTCAGTTTGATAGTCCGTTTTACGATGTGAATCTATAAAAATATATGAAATCAAAAGTGAAAAAAAATTATTTATAATTTTTTAATCAAACAAATTGTATTTAACTTTCATGTTCTAAAAATTTATTTCAAAAATCCATATATATAGAAAAATAAATAAAAACTATCAGTATATATAATTTTAAATTGATGAGAATTTTTTTAAAAAATATCAAATTAAAGTAGTAAATTTTAAATAATAAAAATTATTAACAAAAAAAACTAAAACAAAATGGAATCAAATCATAATACAATTAAAATTTAAAATTGAAAAAAAAATTTACAGAAAAATTGAAGAGCATGTAATTTTAAATTAATTGGATGAGAATTTAAAAAAAATGATAAATTAAAGTAGTAAGTTTTAAATAATAAAAATAATTAACAAAAAACGCTAAAACAAAATGGGACCAAATCATAATATAATTAAAGTTTCAAATTGAAAAAAATGAATTTTTTTAAAAAATGACAAATTAAAGTTGTAAATCTTAAATAATAAAAATGATTAACAAAAAACACTAAAACAAAATGGGATCAAATCATAATACAATTAAAGTTTGAAATTGAAAAAAAAAGTATAGAGAATTTGAGGACCAAAGTGTTATAAAAATATCATGAATAGTGAAAGGAATAGTGATTTATAAGTGTGTGAATAGTGTTTCAAATAGTGAATGAATAGTAAATTATTTTACTTTATTTTTTAGTATAATATCTCTATGATTGTAGTAAGTTGCATAAGCTATCCGCAGAAGCAATTTTGAGCACCTTGAAGTCCTTGATACTCACCGTAGTGGAATTCGTAGTTTTCCCATAAGAAATTAGGGAATTGGCTAGTGTCTTAGTAGTCATGTCCATGATCATAATATATAATGTTGAGATAGAATCACATTAGATGAAAATATTGTGTCTAAAAATAAGTTCAGGTAAAGCTTGCTAAATTCCTTTTGTAACCCTACTCATCTCTATTTTTCTCTTTAAATAAGCTCTTTTTTCCATTTAAGACTCATGAATTAATTCGAAAATCATATATTAAATTCATAATATATCGTGTTTTTTATTTTATTTTTTGAATTAGTCCCCCTGGAACCAATTTTGGTTGAACTACAAATCAAATGCGTTGACAATAAATTAAACTCAGTAACCTAATATTTGATTAAGTACGCGTTCATATCCACAAGTTTTGAAGCTTAAAGCTCAACCAAATTGAAAAATTAAAAATTTAATAAAAGATGAAAGCAAAATATTCAATTCAATAACGTATAGTTTCTAAAATCAATTTTGTTGGATTAGATTCAATTCGACTATATTTGCTTGATCTTTTGAACAACTATAATTAAATTAATAAATATCATTTTGTTTTGTGCTTTGTCCTAATTTCTTTAAAGATTCGCTATATGTGTATGTGTGTATTATTCAAACGTTGGTTGTCGTATAAAGAAAAAAAAACCATTCAAGAGACTACTTTGTTTCCTTTTTTTTTTCTTTTCATTGAGGTTGAGAAATTTACTCTCGAACTCTTACAAAAAATCAAATAGAGTATAGATAGAATATTGTTAAAGAACAATGAATTCAAGTAAAGTGGAAACAAGTTACAAACATTCATAAGTTCACGTTCTGTTCGCCATTGTCCAATCTCAAAGTTTGTGGTGCAGGTAAAATATTCAATTACTCAACTTGATGATTATTTCTTCTTCTTTGAATGCATAAATATATTATCACCATTGGAAAAAGGTTGAATGGCTGAATTACCATTTCATCATGAAGTATTTTGCATGTTTTCTAACTTTTATGGTTGGAAAAAAGCCTCCTGATTACATAAGAAAAGCTGAAATATATAACTAAAATTTTGATAATCCTTAACAAGATGAAGCATATATAACTTTGAAGTTACAACTATCATTTTATTAAGTGAGGATAATTCATCTATTAATTATTTGGCTTTGCATTTTGCGACAGTCCTTACTGATACATTGCTACAAATATGAATAGATGCAAGTTATGGAGACTTGAAGTTTTTGTAGTTGCAATGAATGTACCGGCATTCATTCAAGCAGACTTGCCTTCTCGCTTTATCTGTACATTAAACGCACTTAAAAAGTTGGTAAATTGATAAACATTTATGAAAAGATTTCATAGGTTCATTATTGGGTTTACCCATATTTGGACCATATACTTGTTTTTTTTTTTTTCTTTCTGGTTGATTGAGACCCATCTATTTTTTGAGATTTGTTATTTCAAATTTTCTATTATAATGCCATTAATCAATAACTGATACATAGCATTATAAAATAAGAAATCTCGATGATTTATTGGTGGTGTTAACAAATCTTAAAAAACAGAGAGTCTCAATCAAGTAAAAAAAGAATTATAAAATGTTCAATAAAAAAATTCAAAAAATACAAGATCCAAATATAGAAATAATATGTTTATTGTTTAGATTTATTCAAAACGAAAAAGAAGAAGAAGAAGTCAATGCTACTCTTTGGGATGGTAGAAAAACTTGAATTTAAAATCTCATCTATCCATGGTTTATTATTAGCACTATAGCATTAATTAAGTCTCTAATAGAATAGGGTATTTTGAATCAAATTGCAGTTGTTTAGGCAAAAAGAAGAAGGGGTTAGGGTTACCATCCATAAGTTTGATGCAGTTTCGAAGGGAACAACCAATGTTACAGTCGGGAATCGCATCTAATTCGCTGGGGCACACGTCCATGCAATGGGATGAACACTGCCAAGGGATATTGCCTTGATCAACACAACTTCTAAAGCATTTATCATAGCATTTCTTATCATATTCTGTAGAATATGCTGTTGTTTTCTCCAAAATCATCAACATCAACATCAACATCACCAGAAAACCTATCTTCAACCCTTTGATCGACTCCATCATTGTGAATTTTCTTTTGATTAATTGTACTTTGGCCCCGTCCAAACAAGCAACTTATATATTTTAATCTATTAGCCAAATTAACACGTTATTTTATTGGCAGTTGCAAGATAAATAGCACAAAATCAGCGGGTGTTGCTGCAAAAATGCGGTTTGCATGCATGAAGAAATGTTGTCAAATTCAATAGCGTACGAAAACTTCTTTGGAAGTAGGCTTCAAATATATATGGGCAATTTATCTACTTGTTTTCAATTGTAACGTTGAATATATCCAGTGAATTTATTTAATTAAGTTTTGATCAAGGAATTAGTGAAATGCACAACAAACAAATTTTGGTTCGGTAACCTTACAATATTTATAATCTATCAAATTGTATTAATGAACTAAATTGTGCAATTCAATTGACCTATTTCTTGGATTTATTCAACTTTCCTTTCCATAAAAATGAATTTTTTCCACATTTAAATCTTTTACTCTTCGAATTTTTTGTTGAGATCATCTATTTTTTGAAAAATTTTTTAAATCTTTTGTTATAACGTCATCAATAAATAATTGATGCATAACATTGTAAAGTAAAAAATTTCAAATAAGTGTCGATCATTGATCGATAGCCTTATAAAAAAAGTCTGAAGCAAAAAATAATAAAAAAAATAGAAGACTTCAATTAAGCCAAAAAAAAAATAATAATAATAAATAAAATAAAAGATCTCAATAAAAAAAAAATTTCAAAGAATATAAGGTTCAGATGTAAGGAAAACTCATAAAAATATACAATATTTATAACGTCTTTATAAGGATTTTGCTAGCATACTCGTATTTTTAAAATAGATTAGCTTTGTTTCTTTTTATTTTATTTGACAAGAATACCTTTAAATTATCTTTACCCAAATACTTTAAATAATCAACATATAAAATCAAATGAGATAAACTAATTAGAAAGAGAATTGCATCTATGCATGTTGGATGCAACTATGGAATGTATATATGTATGTATGTATGTGTGTGCAAGTGTGCTAGGGCTATTTTCAGTTTTTCCCTTGATTATTTCAATATTGTTCAAGAGTATCTATTTCAAGAAATTTCCGTTATCGGTAATGAATTCAAATTAAATTAATGATAAAAATATTATTAATAATAAATAGTACTGGAAAAATTAATAAAATATTTAACAAGTCCACATCCGTACAACAAGTTCAATGTTATGAAAAACAGTATTAATAGAATATTCGACTATTTTGCAGTGCATTTTGCGTAAACGTTTTAGATGGATAGTTAGAGTCTCAGAGAGAGCAACGAAAGCGCAAACATATCTCAGAGCTGGGAAAGGTTGAATGATTGAGTTTACCATCTTATTTGAAGCATTTTATGTGTGATCGATTTTGGTGCTTGAAGTGCTTGGGATTGTAGTTAATTTTTGAACACTCTTCCAAACATTTATTTATTTATTTTCATTGTATCTTGTGCTGAAAAAGTTAGTAAACTTGTATGCATGTTGAATTCATTAGTATGGGGGGAAATTAATTCTCCAAACCTGCTTGTGTGTTTTGTATCAATTCGATAAATAAGTTGATATGAAAAAGATTTGGTCAGTTTTTGGGAAATTTAGTCAATTCAATTCAATTGGACAAAATCGAAGTAGAACAAACAATTAAAACTTCAACATATGTTTGAGAAACAAAGAATTTAATTTGTAATAAATAAGAAAATGGAAAATGCTTAGCTATTTATTTTTTTATTTTTGAAAAAAAAAACAATTTTTAACAAGTGAGTAATGTCATAATTTTTCTTATTTCTTAAAATTTTGGAAATTTTTATTTTTTTTCCAAAAAAAGAAAATTATTTTTTTATTCCATAGAATATTTTATGTTTTGAGAAAAGTATTTCTGAAAACATTATTATTTTTTTTTATTGATGTTCATTGTATGTTTTAATATAATTTTGTTCAATTGGATTGAATTGCTTAATTTTATAAATATAGGGTAAAATTTTTCCAAACCTATTCACAAAGACTTATTTCTTGAACTGATACAAACACATGGAGCTTGGTGGGGTTCTTGATATGTATTTTGTAAACATACATCTATGTATATCTAGTACTCAAATATGCATGTTTGAATTAGAAGGAGCATTTTTTTTTTTTTTTTTTAGCGAAACCAAAAAGGAGTAATTATTTTTATAAAAAAGGGAGTAATTATTAGCATGACCTAGCATGTATAAATAGATTTTGTTTTACTATTTAGTAATTTTTTTACAGAGAAAACTACAATTTGAATGTTAAACTTTTAATTTTTATTATGTTTGAATGTCAAATTTGTAATTTATTTATTTAAGTGTGCGAATTAAATTTTTTTTTTTTTTCTGTTTGAATTCCTTCAGTCACGGAGACTAAAAAAGACTCATATATCCGAAATGAATTGTTACCTAGCGATTTTTAACATACACGTGGCAGAAAAAAGTCCTATTTGGATTATTAAAAAAATCAATTTTTTAGCGAAAATTATAATTTGAGTGCTTGATTTTTTATTATTCTTTGGTTGAGTGCCCAACATTTGGTGTTTGATTATTTTATTTTATTTTATTTAAGTCCCTTCAGTCATATAAGACTCGAAAATACTTATGTGTTCGGGATCCACTAACTTGTGATAGTCTTTAAATAACACATGATAAATAATATTCAGAAAAAAATAAAAATTTTATAAAAGAAAATTCCAGCAAGAAAAAAAAATTTATTTGCCATTAATTTGTTGGAGAGAACTTTTCATTTAAATGCTCACAAATAATGAATCTTTTTAATGAAAAATCTCGTGTTTGAGTTTTTCTTTAATTTTCTTGGATAAACTTAACTAAGTTGAGTTTGAGATTTTATAATTAAAAAATAATATATATATTTTTTAAGTCTCTATCAAATTTTGAAATGTTAAAATAATTTGAGAGAAAATTCCCTCTAAAAAAAAGAGAGCAAATTTTTATTTTGATATTCTAAGAGTAAGAGACACTTTATTATTTGACGAAAAAATTAAAAAAAGTACTTGAGTAATAGCTTTGAAAAAATAGATGTACTCAAATAAAAACAGTTAAAATCTATGTATTCAATTGATAAAAAGAAAGATAAAATTATAATTTGATATTTTAAGAGAAATAAATATATTATTTAATATTAAAATCAATGAAACTACTTGGTTAATAATTTTAAAGAAGTTGATATATTGAAATGAAAAGAATTAAAATTCACACATATTCGATTGAAAAAAAAAGGTGTATTTATAGCGTAATTATCACTGTTTTTGCCGGCAGGGGAAGTGGCGGTGCTTTGGTCAGTGGTTTGCGTTTTTGGTCATTTTAGTTCCTGCCGATAAAGAGCGTAAAAAATCAGTGTGCGTTAAAAAGTATGGGCTTCTAGCTCATATGTATGAAGCCCGTATGTCTGTCCAGTTTCGGCTCACTAACAAAACCCAGAAAATCAACCCAACAAAACTTTAAACCCCACCAGCGTCCATCGCTAGTTCACACTCTCAGGGTTTTTGCATCTTCTTCCTCCCCAACTGTCAAACGAAGGAACCGTAATTTTCTTTCTTTTGAGCTGCGTTGCTTTTGTCTATTTGTGAAATTCAGTGTAAACTGATTAATTCGTATGTCGGCCTATGTTGCAGGTGTTGTTTTTGTTGGGTTAATCAAGCCATGGCAAAGAAAGGAAGGAATCAAAAGAATGACAGTAGCAGCAGAAGCAGCAAGAGAAAAACCCGTGTTGAATATGTTGAACCACAAGACATGGATGATGATATTGATGCCTGTATGTTACTTCTTGTTTATCATCTTTAAATTTACGTTTTCTGGGTTATGGGATTATGGGGTCTTTTCTTTTTCTGAGTTAATGGTTTTAATGTAGCTTTTGGTTTGTTTATTGACTTTAATTTATGTTTGTGGCAAAAAAAGTTTGAATATTTATTCGTTTTGATGGGTGCATAGGCCTTAGTTGAGGAAGATATTATGGGTTTTGATTTATTTTTGTTGTCGTCGTCGTCGTCGTTGTTGTTGTTTTGAATGCTTGCAGTTCACAAACAGAGGGATATTATTCCGCTGGATGTCAATGATGATGTTGGGGAATTAAGTGACGATGAGGAAGAACCTATTTTTGATGATGAGGTTTTGGTTACTTTTAATCATTGAATTATCAGTTTTTGTGTAACTGTTATTTGTGTTTGTTAGAATGATATAGTTATTGTAATGTGTAGAAGGAATCTTACTTGCTGAATTGTTGAAGGAAATTAAAAATGTGAAAGAATTTACCTTATTTTATTGTGGAATGAAGACTGGTGATGACTTTCTATAGCTTTGTGCTAGGGAGTTTATTTGAAAAAAGAAAAAATTGGAATTGTGCTTTTAACTTTGTTTCCTCATCTGGTGTGTTAAAAGATTAATAAACTGTCATCCACCTTTTGTGCTTTGTGCTTCCATTTTTCTCTTGTCCCATTCTTATTGATACTGCTAACAGGCTATTAATGCTGCTGATGATGAAGACGATGAGGAGGATGAGGATGATGACTCCCAAGATACTGGGTTAGCTGCTAAAAGTAAGAAAGGCATCTTGACTTCATTTATATATATATATATATATATATTTTGTGAGTGCTGAGAAAGTTTCTAATGTAAAAGTAAAAGCGAGCCTTTGTTTGACTAGTTAATCTCTCTGAAAATCTGATATTTCATTTGTTCGAACTGCGGTGCATGCTTTCTTTATAACTCTCTTATTTTCTTCTTACAAACGGATTGTAAATATTAGGGGAGGGCAAAACTTAAACTATAAGTTACAACATCAGCATGGGATATATTGCTCCAACAAATATATTGGCTCCTTGGTTTAAAACAGTAAAATTTTATGTTTGTTTAGTAATAGCATCTATTGCAAAGATAACAGTTTTATGGTTGATTAAATTATTTATTTAACTAGTAAATTTAGAAGATCACTCTGCATATTGCTTTTACACTTCTTGGAAGTGGTTGGAGAGTAAACTAGTTTCATGTTATTGATTTTGTTACCTATTGCATGTTATCTGCAGTTGTAAAGCAGCAAAAGTTTTTAAGAGCAAAGTTTGGAGATTTTGATGATGAATTGCACGATGAAGAAGATGATGAGGAAGCAGCACAAAATATTGTATGGAGTGGGAACAGGAGCCATGATTATCATGGTGGTGATAATCGTGATATCGAGGTGAGAATTAAAAATCAACAGCCATGGTTCTTATTCCCACCCCCTTTTAAATTTCTTTAACTCTTACTGTTTTCTTAGTTAAGCTAACTAATGTCAGGTGGAACTACATTTTTACATGTTTGTGTGTGCTATATGTTTTTTTTTCCTTTCTTGTTTTGATGCTTTGATGTTCTCTTTGGAATATCCTGAACATTTTGATGTTTGATGTTTAACAGTTAGATTCAAGTGATGAGGCACTAAAAGAAGAGGAGGATGAGGTATTGAAATTACAGAGGGAAAGAGCAAAAAATTTATCAGTGGAAGACTTTGGCCTTAAAGATGGTGAAGATGAAAGTGACAAGGAGCAAACATTAGGGGTAAGCTTAACCATGGTCTTTATTATCTGTTTGGCAGGGTAACAGTGATGTGAATTTAGTTCTTAAAGTTTTAGTATCTCAAAAGGGATCAATGAATAGATCTTTTTAAAGACATTGTATGAGTGTGATTATTTGCTCAGGAAATCTCAGTTCAAGGAAAAGGTACAAAGAAAGCTCATTTGAGCAAAGAGGCTGTTGATGACTTGGGTACAACTTTTGAGCTAAAAAAAGATTGGAATGCATTGTCAAGGAAGGAGCAAATGGAAATTATCTCTAGGTAAAACCTCTTAGCTTTATTTTTCTGTTTACTTTCTGCGGATTCAATGGTTCTATACACTTCCATGTTACTGGAGTTGCAAAGAAATGACTTTTCTTTGTTGAGTTGTTTTTATTGAAACAAAGGCATTATAATAAGGGAGAGGAAAATAATTTGTAAGGGGAAAGCATATTCAGTGCCTCAAAGGGAAGAACTGATTATTTTGTAAACTATAAAGGTAAAGATGTAAGATGTAAATAGAGTAATGGAGACAATAATTAGTGATCTGACAAGGTAACACGAAACTAGTGGTGAAATTCTACTGTTCTAATATGTAACTCTAGGTACATAATGAAGTTGAGATAGCTGCAAGTGTTTGATGAAATGTTATGATGTGAATGGGAAGCAAAATGACAGTGTATGATATGAATGGGAAAGAAACCTCTATTAGAGGAATTTGCACAAAATGATAGGACCAGCAGTGGATTGGCCCATGTAGAGATGTGTTTGGAAAAACTTGTGCTCGCATATAGGGATGTGGTCGTTGATATGGGGTCATGATAAGCCCCGTTGTTACATGTTAATATTATTTGAAAATCTATGGCTGGTCTTCAGTGCGAGGAAGGATTCATGGTATTTTTTTCATGCCTGTTGTTGTAGTAGGTTGTGTTTTTGTCACTTGTTCTCTAGGTATGAAATCTTCTTTGTTACTGTTAGACACAAATGTGCTGCACGAACTCTCATAAGTTTGTTGGTACCACTTTTCAGATTTTCCCATGGTTTTAAATCCATATTTTCAAATATGCTTTTGTGTTTTACTTAATTACAAGGTTCCTTATTTCTAAGTTAATATTTCTTGCTGCAGTTCTGCTCCAGAATTAGGTGGTTTGCTATCTGAGCTCAATAACACACTTGAAGAGCTTGGAAACAAAGTTAATCCACTTTTAAAGGAGGTACGTTTTCTTCCTCTATGGCTGTTTTCTTTCGCTTTTCTGCAGCTTGTACTGGAGCTACAATTGCAAGTTCAATTTGCTTCTGCATCATACTAGGTTTTTAGCAACTGATTTTCTAAACTGCAGTCCTATTTCTTTACTCATCACATGTGTCTGGATCTTGCAATTTTACTATCGAAGGCATATGTGGTCAGGATGTTAAATGCTTTTATATTTTCTGTAGGTTAAAGTGGGTGGAATCGTGCGGGAAGGTGGAATGCGCTATTTGGAGGTGAAGCAGCTTCTTTTGCTGTCATATTGCCAAACTATTACATTCTATCTTCTTCTCAAGTCTGAAGGGCAGCCAGTTATTAATCACCCTGTTATAGCTCGACTTGTAGAGATCAAGGGCTTATTGGATAAGGTTTTCTGCTTTACTTGCTTTAATTTTGCATTTTTTGATACTTTTATTTGTGAAACTTTGTGTGTGTGTGTGTGCGTGCGTGCGTGCACGCCTCATTAAGAAGTCTCACTTGCTTGGTGGGAGCAAGGTAGCTTGTGTTTCCTCATAAGGAATGTTAAGTTTCCCTCAAACTCTAAATCAGTGGGGGTGGTGTAATGCATCTGTGCTATTAGTCTGACAGATCATGTGGATAGAGTAGTGGTATTGTATGCTGGTAAATTAATTAAAAGATATCAGCTAGTGAATGCTCATCTCTTCACTGGCACTTTTAACTAAATTTATTTTCTCGAGATTTCTTTAAAAGATGGTTTGCTATTGGTTTTAACGAAAACAAGTGTTTCAGTGAGTGCAAATATCTTGCATGACGTAAAGAAATAAAGGACCATTTATTACTGTTTTTACAATATGAGGTGTGGCCTGCTTCTTTCTATCCAAGAGGTGTGTACCTTACAGCTCACAATTTTCTAACTGCATGTTACTCTTGATAGATGAAGCAACTCGATGAGAATCTCCCATCAGAACTTGAGGATTTTGTGGAGAAAAACACTGGGATGCAGACAGTTGACAGCTTAGATAGAGAGAGTGATGCACCTGCTTTGGCATCTGAGTCTATCACTACAGACCACACCTTGTCTCGTCCCTCGGCTGATACATGTGAACCAGCAGAGGTAGTTACGAATTCAATTCATTAATGTCTTGACCTGCACTGTCTTTTCAATATTAATCTTTTAAATTGACTTTCATTTTTCGTTGATTATGTAGCTTTGCGATGCAATTGAGCTGCTGAAAACAGAGTCTTTAGCAGGTAGCATTAGCAAAGAAGGGAAACGCAAGCATAAGGTATTAAAAAAAAGTCATAAGTTTCAAATTTCCCAATCATTTCTTCCCCTTTGTATTCTGTGGCATTTTCTTTTTCCTTTCATATCCTTGTTTGCTATTTTTCTGCTTAAGTGGGTAGGCAATGTCGCTAAATTAGAATCCCAAAACTGGCAGAGTGACGAAGTTGGTGCACAAAGTATGGAAATGTTGAAAGTAAGAGCTGCCCTGGAGGAAAAATTGAAGCAGAAGGGAGCTTTTTGTTCCTTTGCAAAGCCTGATAAAGCGCTGAAGCATCCAAGACCAGTAAATGGGTATTTTTATTGCTTCTATCCTCCCTAATTTATGCTGCTTATGACTTGTGGTGACGAACTTGTTCCATGGAATGGAACAGGCGACTTGAAAGCCATGGAGACTATGATGATGATGCTGTAGATGATGAGAAGGGCAATCGTAGATTGAGTCCTGGAGACACGAGCTTGTTGGGATCAAAGAAACTTTCCAAACTTGTTATGTCCAAACAGAATAAGCCAAAGGTATTCTTTACATCCTGTTTCATGTGACTTAGCCTTCCCTTTCTTTTCATTGTTTTTTCAATTAATCACACCCTGGATATGTGTCAAGTGAAACCATTATTGTTTATAAGGAAATTTATCCCCCAGCAGCCACATAACCTTTCATCTGATATTAACCCCCAAGTAGCTCAAGTGGATGAGAAGAAATTGCATCAGATGATTGCACTTCAAATTTAACCTTTTTGAAATGGATCTTCACAAGTTACACGTAAAATCAATTGTTTGACTTGAAACACACTGCTGGGTTTTTTGAATCCTAATTACTTGTATCTGAAATTGATGTGGGAGCTGGAATCCGAGAAACTGCTGCTTTCTGTAATCATTATTTCAATGATTGAAGGATCAACAGCTTTCATTCCAACAAGCAATGCCTAACCTGATTCTTCAACATCTCTTAAGGATTTTTTTAGAATCATTGTAACTTTTTATCTTGATTTTGGAGTAACTCTGACTATGTAGTAAATATGTTTTTGTTGATTTTAGATTACATTTTGATGTGATTTTTTTCTTTTTGCTCATGAGTAGGTTGTTTCCGGTGACGATGATTTACCTATGAGAGACGATATTGGAGAGAGGAGGAGGAAGCATGAGCTTAGAGTTTTGGCAGATGCTGGAATTAAGACCGAGGATGATGCTGGAGTTAGGATGGAGGATGATGCTGGAATTATGTCTGAGGATGAACTTGCAATGGAGGCTGACGAAAATGATGACATGGATGAGGATGCTGATTCCTCAGAAGACGATTTATACAAACAAGTGAGGCAAAAGCGAGCTGCCAAACTTGCTGCCAAAGCCGAGATTTACACTAGGTTCGTTTTGCATGTTCTGCTTAAATTCTACCATTTTTTAACAGTAATCAAACCATGCTCTTGTACCTGCACTGGCTAGAAAGTGCAAATATCTTTCTGCGAGCTGGACTTGCAGCAGTTGCTTTGTACTTGAATTGTCAAATTGTATGTGCCCAAGAGAACTCAAATTAATTGATGCAGTTAAACTTTCAAATAATCATTCATTACATGTACTTTTACAGGACTTCGGCTCCCCCATCCTTGCCTGAAACTGTTGATGGAAAACGTCATATCAATTATCAGGTAAGAATGCCTCATCTTCACCATTTTTTGTTAACCTTCATCATTCCCTGTTGTTATTGACTTACAAACATATGCACTCTTTTTTTTTTTTTTAATCACACCAGATTGAGAAGAACAGAGGTCTAACACGTCCGCGCAACAAGCTGACCAAAAATCCAAGAAAGAAATACCGGGTATTTTAGTTGATTTTGCTGCATGATAAATTACTTAACGTTTTTCTGTTTTTTTCACAATTGGGAATTGCCCTTGAATCATCAATTCACTTCTATGTTTCCTCCTCTTTGCCCAGACAAAGCACGATAAAGCACAGAAGCGACGACAAGGGCAAGTGCGCCAGATCAAGAAACCTTCTGGTCCTTATGGTGGAGAAAGCTCCGGCATCAACGCAAGAATTAGTCGAAGCGTCAGGCTCTGAAACTAAGCATCATGTTCCTTTGTTTTGTGAAAGTTTTGAGTTGAAATTTTTGATCTAAAGACATTTTTCCTAATGGAAATGTAAAAGTTATGGTTTTTGACATTCCCCTCTTATATGGGAATTGGGAACCCTCCAATCACGCAAGGCAACATCTGAAACCTGGGCTTGAATTGAGGACTCAAATTCTAGCCATTTGTATGAAATCCAAAATTTTGCAGAACATAAAATCTTAAACCTCTTATTGTCTCCCGTGAAAACATGATATCGCTAATACAGAACTAAAGGATTGCTGTTGATTTTGTTTCAAACTGATAGGAAAAAAAAAAGAAAAAAAAATCATAAAAATCCTGAGAAAACGAGAAAATTGTGATGCTCGAAATAATCTGCTTGGTACCTTTTGATCGTTATTTTATTTTTTCTCTTTTCTTATTTTAATTTGAACACTCCTGGTCTCCAACCAATCAAATAATTAGAATTTCCTTTGGGTATGAGAGAAGAGGATGGATCGTTAACAAATTTTGACACAAGACTTGTAAAGATAAATTGATAGACTCTCAATTTGAATACATCAGTCTAATAGAAAGCATATAAAATACTTAATACTCGGTGAAGATACACAGCAACATAAAAACCACAAAAACTAGAAGCCCAACCAGGATAGGGTTTATTTCACATGACCCAGCTAGGGTTTTTTTCGTCAAACGCAGCGAGCCACTTGATATTTCAGGTAAAAGGGCTTGCTGATATCTTGGTATCTTCTTATTCAGCCGTAGCTTGCTTCACCTGAAAAACCCACTTGAAACCATCTAAAAACAAAGGTAAAACAACAAGCCAAAGAGCTGAAGCCATAGAAATCACCGATAAATACCCAAAAAACCAAGTAATCTTAGATTTGTTGTTAATCATCAACGAACAGAAAGAACCCGTGAAAGCAAAGATGACAGCAATCACAAAAGCACGAAATATTGAAGGGTGACCTTTAAAGATCACGGTAGGAACTGGCTTCCCATCTATGTTTTCTTGAGGGAGTAAGTTCAGAGACATACCGATTGTGAAAGCAATTATCAAGATAATCTTTAATAGAAATTCTGTCGGACGCGGATCTGGTGAGATCTGTTGATGGGTTTTCGTCGCCATGTTTCTTCTGGATTCTTCAAAAAATTGTTCTGCAGCAAACCAGTGAGAATAGCACCGAATGGTTGCGGTCGGCTACCCTTGGAGAAAAATTTATGTGGGCCCACAAAAGGAAAATATTAAAAAAGAAAAAAGAAAAAGTTATTCCATTTCCAATGGGCCAGAGCCAAAAAGTTGTTAGAGCGAATAGTTTGCTTTTTTTTTAAAAAAAAAAATAGTTAAATTAATTTTATTTACAGAAATATTTTTAAATTTAATCTCGATATTAATGTTTTTAAGTTCTTTAAAAAAATCCTCGAGAATATAAAATACAAATTTATAATTTAAGTTAAAAGAAAACGAGCCTTCCAACTTAAGCCCAAGCCTCAAAGTAGTGTTTTTACGTTTGGGCTTAATCCAAAAAATCATGTCTATTTTTAAAATCGAATCATATTTAGGCCTGATTGTTAAACTGAGGCTTATTTTCCTTTACCTAACCACACTAAATTCCACGTGGGTTCATTTATTTTTATTTTTTAAATTGAGGTTGTAAGTTCCAATATATATATATATATATAGTAGTTCTGGTGAGGGATGACAATAAATAAGTATCCGACCTATTAATTTGATTTTTTATTTTATTTATAAAAAAATCCTATCATTATTCATTAAAAAATTATTATGTACATACCTGACTCACATTAGTTTCTTCGCTCATTTAATACATACAAGAAAAAATTATCATAAATATTCATTTCTGGTCCTTAAAATTTAATTTGTTTGGATGTTAGTCATTTATTTATAAGTATTTTTTATTCTTAAAGTTTTTGAAAAAAATATTTTTAGTTCTTAATTTTTAAATTTTATGCAATTAAATCCTTATATGTTTATAAAAAAATCAAAATAAATTTGTAAGTATTATTAGAGTAAAGAGTAGGTACTATATCTTGAAACCATATTAATGGATAAATATTTTTTTTAGCTTTATCCACTTTATTACCTATTGCACATTTTTAATAAGTATTTATTGAGTCGAGTAAAATAGATATCCATTTTGTAATCGGTCCATTGCCATCCCTAGTAGAGGCTTCACTCACATCCTTCTTTGGTGAAAAAGAAAAAAAATGTTATTTCTCTTATATCAAAGGTATAAAATTTATGCCAATATACAAATTTAAGTCAATTTTTTCTTAACAGCAATGCTTTATTTATCTTCTTCAAAATAAGATGTATAATTTCATGCAATGTTTTGACGAAGTTTTTGTTTCTATTTAATTCTTCAGATATTTTGAAGTGTTAAAATTCAAAACCTTTTAAGAAAAAAGAATGCAAGTATTAGTTGAATTATAAGTTCGTGAAGAAGTATTATTCTATTTTTGATACTCAATTACCAGCATCTAAATCAATTAGAAATTGACACTTGTCATAAAGTTCATGTATAATGTTTTAATTTTTTTCTTTCCCTCTTAACAATTAATTATTGATTCGTGGACACAGTACTGATTGATTTACCATTAGGGCGTACATACAAATTAATAAAGAAATGGAATTCTAGAAACCAAGAAATTTCATTGATATTACACCATAAAGGCCTAGTCTCCTCCTATGGGACAGAAGAAGACCAAGAAAATTAAGACTAGAAGGTAATGAATGCATGTTTTCTTCGTAATATTGGCCCAAGCAACTACCAATTTTTGTAAAAGAGAAGCAATGTTTTCGTTGTCATAAGTTTCAATAGGCACTTGAAAACGGAGATCCTACACTCATGTCCTGTGATAGTTTGCTCTGTTTACGAACCCCACCTGAAGCAAGTTACAAAGATGGCATTAAAAAGTAGAGCTATAGCTGATGCTATGGATACCAAAGAGTAGCATCTGCAAAATTTCACAAACTTAGGCTTCTTATGGATGAACAATGAGTTAAGAGCACCCGTAAAGGAGAAGATGAGAAATACTATGAAGGCATGGAATATAGATGGAAGGCCCTTGAAGATGACATTTGGGACAGGATTTCCACCTATTTATTCAAAGGGAAGCAGCAAGAGAATTGTCCCTGTTGTGTTGGAAACATAGACTATAGACTCCATGATTGTGGTTTGGATGTCTTCTGTTAAAGGGAGCTCTGGAAGGATTTTAGAAGGATAAACTACATGTATAGAAACCATCTTTTCTCTATCAAGGTACATCAGGAGCTACTTGTGGAAATTTTGAGCTGCCAATTCTTTGAACTGCTTATACATATACGCAATAAATTATGCTGTTTCTTGAATGGATTAATAAGAGAAAGGCTGATCAACTGACCAATCTTATGCTACTAAATTGGTTGGAAATTTTGTCATTGTTTGATGGTTGAGGAAGGTACAATCAAGACAAGTCTTCATAACATAGCCCATTCGAATTTCCCTAGGCAATTCTTGTAACATTATGCATGCAGGGCATCATATGCTATCTGCGTTCTTCTTTTTTGGATTCATAATGAAAGAGATGTAGGTTGAAAAGAAGGTTCAAGGAACTTGTTCAAATAACACCATCAAGAGCTAATTTCAAGAATGGTAAGTTTTGATAAACAATATGAGACAGAAACTGACGCTGCCGGCGCCCCAGTTCGTTTCACTAAGCAGTCTATATATATTAATATTAATCTTCAAAAGATGTGGACCCTTTCAGATTTCCCAAAAGTATGAAACTTCTGTGAATTACATCCAAATGGAAAGGAAGTGCTAAGCTTCACATTGAGTGAGTCCGTTTGGAATTCCACTTGGCTAACAGTGGCTGAACGTAACATCCTGTTGGTGTGTATAATGAGCAGGAGATAAATTGTAGGACAATGAAGGTTGGTTGTGACATTTCATCAAACATCTGTGTTGCGCCATTCCTCTACGTTTTTCCACCATTCATTTGAATGTGCCAAACCTCTCGTGATATCCAATCAATGCAATTCAACATAACCATGAGCAATGCCACAATCGAATCCAACAATAATACAAAGCACAACCACGTTGAGGGCATTGTTTAAAATTATCAATAAGAAAACCAACACCAACGATCCCAACAGAAAATTCAATGTGATGATCATTTCTTACAACCTGAATAACACCAACCCATACAAAAAACAACTTCACACTAAGCAACCCGCAATCTTTAAAGTTTCCCTTTTGATATATAACCACTGATTTCAAGAGAAAAATCCGTAACCACCAATGAGGAATACAGATAATTTACCTATTGTTGCATCAAGAGAATAGGCAAGAACTCCTTCAGGAAGCAGTCTTGTAGTAAAGCTGCATCAAGGTGAGGACATCCATGGCTCGGGAAAAAAAAAAGGAACAATGATTAAATAAGAGAAGGAAGGGGGAAAATAAGGTAGACATCATAAGAAGAAAAATAAATTGAAAAATATAACAAAAGAGAGCGAAGAGGCTGACCTGGAAACTGTGGGAAACAGAGGAAGAGGAGGTCAAAAGAAGCTGGAGAGAAGGAAATTGAAATTGAAGGGAAGAAAAGCACTAAGAATGAGAGGAAAGGAAAGAGTTGCTCTTATCAGAAGGAATTGTGAAGTTGATTGAGTGAATTTACTCATGGGTTTATGGATTGGGACATCGGGGTGGGAAATTGGGTAAGAAATTGTAATTTTGATCTTCTTTGTTTTTGGTGTTAGAAGGAGGGATAAGAAGAAAGGGGAAAGCTTGGTTGTAACGTATTGCTTTTTACTAATGGGTTTTTGAGTTGGGACATGGGGATGGGAAATTGGGTAAGAAACTGTAATTTTGATCTTCTTCGTTTTTGGGGGTTAGAAGAGAAGGAAGCATGAAAGGAGATGAGAGGCCAGAATCGGGGCAAACCCCTATAATTATTTCAAGAAATACTATAATAAAGAAAAGAAAGTGGAGGTTAATTAAGAAATTTAATTAATTCTTAACAAGTGTCCTACAGACACCCATCAGCAAGACTCTTAAAATTTATTTATTTATTTATATGAGACAAGCCCCTGTGATTATGGAACTTTAACTTCCACAAGTTAAAAATGGAACGAAAAGCCCTTGTTCTATAGTAAGAGGGAAGTGCAAAGACAAGCTGTCCAACGAAAATAACTGCATTCCTTGCTGTCTTAACAGAATGATGGCAACGCAGACAGAGATGAAGTTGATGAGTGGAAGAATTGAGAGCATTTAAATAAGACAGGCTGTTTGAGGGTGCAGAAAAACTAGTACTCAAACAACCTCAAATAGTGTTTGACGGTAGAGACAATCACCCACCGTTTTTTGGGTATTCTTGCTGGATTAACAAACTCCTGAAAGAAAGAAAGAAACAACATCAGATGGGCTGGAAAGTTTGTTAAGGTTTCCCCAAAATTAGTTCACGTTTTCTTTTTGCTATTTTCATGTTACTATAACATGGTCAGCAGTAGGGAGATACAGATAATTCTTGATCCGCATTTCTAGTCTACAACATGAACAGCTTGTTTTGTTAGAAACAAAAATTGATCGAACAGCCAAAACCACTGAGGACCTGAAGCCGCGAACACAAATAAAAGAAACAGAACAATAAGAAAGAAGGTGTCAATTGAAGCGAGAAAAAAGGATTGTGACATGAAGCAGCAAAAAGCTTTAAACAGGAAGGGGGAGGGGGAATAGAACACAGAGACGGAGCAGAGAAGGAAGAGGAAGAGATGGAGAATGTTGTCATTGCTAAGAATTCATCTCCTTTGGATGACGATATCACTTCTGCTCCTCCTTCCTCTCTTCTTCCTCCGCCTCCGCATAAAAGGGCAGCTGGGGGATGGAGATCTGTAAAATACATTCTTGGTAATCCATGGATTTGATTAGAATCCTGTTTTCTTCTGTGTTTTGTTTTCTTATTGTCCACACTTGTTTTGACTTAATTGTATTAATTGTTTCATTTCAAAGGGAACGAGTCATTCGAGAAATTGGCTTCGATGGGTCTCATAGCCAATTTAACGGTGTATCTACAAACAAGATTCAACATGGATGGTATTCAGTTGGTTAATGTGTTCAATATTTGGTCTGGTTCCACCAATGTTACGCCCTTGTTTGGTGCTTTCTTATCTGATGCATATCTGGGAAGGTTCCGAACTCTTCTCTTCGGCTCAATGTCCTCTTTCCTGGTAAAATCATCTATCTCCATGCACGTGTCTGTTAACTCACACATAATAATAAATTAAGATGTTCTGCGAAATCTTTAATCTTCTAGCTGCTTCCTTCCGTTCGAATGAACAAACTATAAGGTTGAATGTCTCTTAGGTTACAGTTGAAGATTTGGGATCATTCTGTGGAAAATTCAATTATTTACGCTGAATGTGGCCATTATATAAGTTCTTCTATATTTCAACAGGGCATGGTGATCCTGGCCCTAACTGCAGGCATACCAAAGTTAAGACCCCCCGACTGTTATGGAGAATCCAATTGCCAAAATCCTCAGGATTGGCAGCTTGCCGTCCTCTATTTTGGCCTGGGATTGCTTGCCATTGGAGCTGGAGGTGTTAGGCCTTGCAACATTGCCTTCGGAGCTGATCAGTTCGACACCACAACTGAAAAGGGACGAGCCCAGCTAGAGAGTTTCTTCAACTGGTGGTATTTCTCTTTCACTATGGCTCTCGTGGTAGCTCTCACTGCAGTGGTCTACGTTCAGACCAATGTTAGTTGGGTTATAGGTTATGCTATACCAGCTGTCTGCCTGTTCTGCTCTATTGTCGTCTTCTTGATCGGCAAACACACCTATATAATCACAAAGCCCCAAGGAACTGTTTTTATCGATATGGCCAAAGTGATTGTAGCTGCCTGTAAGAAGCGTGCGGTGAGTCTTGAATCGTCTTTTGGTCATTCCTTTTACGATCCCCCCTTGGTTGAATCAGACCACCATGTAGCAAAGCTTACTCGCACAGATATGCTTAAGTTCTTCGACAAGGCTGCTCTAATTGCTGATCCAAGTGAGTTGGATGACAACGGCTTGCCCAAGAGTTCTTGGAGGTTATGTAGTGTTCAACAAGTAGAACAACTGAAACTAATAGTGGGACTTGTGCCGGTTTGGTTTACAGGAATCGGTTGCTTCATTACCATGGACCAAATGAATACTTTTGGCTTGATGCAAGCAATTCAGTCGAACAACGAAGTCCACAAGTTTAAAATCCCACCAGGCTGGATGGGCCTCATGTCGATGATTTGCCTTTCGGTATGGATATTCATTTACGAGCAAATTTACCTGCCTCAAGCAAAGAAAAGGTCAAAAAAGAATATTAGATTGACAATGAGACAGAGAATCAACGTTGGTATTGTAATGGCAATCCTATGCATGGTGGTGGCTGCAATTGTTGAGAAGAACCGCCGGGAAGCAGCTTTGAAACGAGGAACCTTAGTGTCACCTCAAAGTATTCTGCTGCTGTTGCCACAGTTTGCCCTTTCGGGTCTGAACGAAGCATTTGCTGCTGTTGCTATCATGGAATACTATAACAACCATTTGCCGGAAACCATGAGGACTCTTGCTGGGGCCATCTTCTTTCTCAGCTTCTCCGCATCCAGCTACTTCAACACGGCTATTGTCAATCTAGTTCACCATGCGACTTCAAACCATGGGACAAAACACCCCTGGTTGGGTGGCCGTGACCTCAATAAAGTTAAGCTCGACAACTTCTACTACCTTATTGCTGGTTTAGCGTCATTGAATCTCCTATATTTCAATCTCTTTTCACACCGCTATTTGGAAAAGCATATTGATAAAAGATCTGAAGCAAGGCATGAGGACAAAGAGTTGGAGATGAATGAAACTGCTTAATAACTCATGAACTTGGTGGTTTTTTAGAAAGTCTCGATTCCGTCCTGGTACCGTGTACCTCTTTCTAGTCAGCGTCTTGTACTGTAGGTATCTGTAGAGTGCTCTGTTGCAAACAACCCCACCACAAGGTTTGTAAAGTCTCAGATTTGCTATGTTTTATACATTGGAAATTTGGGACTCAACCATGATCTTCAGGGCTGAATGGATTACTGTAACTAACTCCATTAATTGATATTACCATTGAATGTTGCATCCTCAGAATTCCTGCTTCTACTCTTTAATCTTTATTCCTTTTCAGCTGAATGTTTTTTAAGGATCATGAAGTTGCTAAGTATAAAGAAAGATTTGGGGCGGTTTTACAAACCTGTCTCATATTTGTTTTTATATAATGCAGATCAAGTAAAAAACCATTAAATTTTCTAAACCGCCTCAATCATATCGCCTCTGTACCTTTATTTTGTTGTGGTGTTTTGGAGCTCGTAAGTGTAAGATGATGAGTTATAATATGGAACTTACAGGTGAGGGCTCTGAAGCACCAGATCATATGGTTATTCAGGTGAATAATTACAACCTCACTCAGGCATTGACTGCAAATTACAATACACACCGGCGTCGAAAATCTCCTAGTCTGGCAAGAATATTCCTCGGTGCCACTGCACAAGTAGCTGTTTCTCTCATGGCATATACTTCCAATTTGCAACCAACGGCGCAGAACTCTTTTACGATGCGTCCACTGTCTCTGTATTTCGTTGTCGGAGCAAATGCAGTTGGCTTTGTTAGTTGTCTGGCAAGCATATTACTACAACATAGAAAGCCAGACATCGCTCGTATGATGGAAGGAATCGGTTCTGTTGCCGCTACTCTCGGATTCTTAGGAATGATGGGCATGTTCTTCTGCAAGGCTAGCGTTTGGATTACTGGCCTGGCTTCCAATTTACGTCATATATTCCATGAAAGTTGTTTTTTTTTTTTTTTTAACAAAAATGCAACTTGAAGCCTTTGAGGAAGAGAGAGTCTACGAATTTCTCTGAGGTAAATTCCTTTGAGGACGAGACTATATTATATATATGACGTAAACTTAAGCCATACATTTCCTCAAAGTTGTTTTCTAAACAACTCTGGGCATTTGAGGGAGAGAGAGCCTGCAAATTCCTCTGAGGTAAAATCCTTCGAGGAAAGATTTGAGAAAGAGACTATATTCATGACGTAAACTTATGCCATTTATTTCCTCGAAGTTGTTTAAAACACAACTTTGAGCCGTTGAGGGAGAGACAGTCTATAAATTTGTAAATTCCTTTGAGGAAGAGACTACAAATTTCTAGACAGAAAAATAAAAGGTTTGCACAGTTTATAATTGAAGAGTCAAGTTACAAGGCCATGTTCAAAGTAAAATCGTATTAATTTTATTCTGAGCAAATAAGTAGGCAAGCCATATGTATCCTTAGAAAGTGTAGAAAATGATTAAACATATTGATAATGTAATAATAAGATTATCATTATTATTATTATTATTTTATCAGAAATGGCTCTGTAGTCTGTACTTATTACTACCTTGCATCTTGTTCAATTTGACTTCCATTAATCGACGAACCAGCACAAGCCCCCTGACATCCTCACCTGAAGTTCACATGCCTGTTTGGAGTACTTGATTAGTCAATAAAAAGATTTGAGTTTTTTCTTCAACAAAGAAACGACATTTCAGACCAAAAAAATTTGAAATTAGATGATGACAGATTTCAACAAAATCTGTCTCTTTGTGCTCATACGAAGTCCAGTTGGCTAGTTGGAAAAACTTGTTTAGTGTAGAATTTCATGTTTTTGTGAGGAGGAGGATATAAGTATTATGATCACTTTACTCCTAAGTTTATTATCTTGTTCTAATTTAGTGCTTTTTCTCTTTGGTGAAACTCCATTGAATTTGGAAGTGTTTCTGTATGCTTGAGTTTATCCCTTTGCTCATGACTTTTCTGTATATTTGCACCACTCCAATACTCCATAATTCTGCATCAAATTCAAAAGTCAAAACCTATTTTATTCACAATGTCAGATATTAGTGATTAGTAATTGCTTGAAGGATTGTTCTCCCAGTACTAATTAATGATTTATCATAGAAAAAGGAGTTTCAATCGTTGCATAAGGCTGCATTAACTGACTAATAATTCATGGTTAACTTAATTATATATCTACATGAAAGAAGTAATGCAAGTAACAATTTTGAAGCAATCCTATACTTTCTCAAAAATATCCCTTTTAATATTTTAACAATGAATTCTCACTCTAAATTCTCATACACTCATAATGGAAGACAGAGGCATGTTCTGATGTTCATAAGGATCCCACATACGGGACAGAAACCATTATATTTTGAGGGGAATAGTACAAGTACTGAAGTTTAGACATTTACATGTGTGGGTTTACTGCCCAAAATGGAAGTTCTTTTGTTGGCAAAACAAGAAATTAAGCTGCAGCTTCCATAAAAATTTGGATTGAATATAAACAGTTGCTTTGTATAGTTTTCTTAATCCCCACAACGTTAATTATTACCGCAGTTCTCAAGTTTGAGTCTAGTGTTAGTTTAACACTAGCCAATTTTTCTCTTACATATTCCCAGATTAAGCTATAGTCTGATAGACACGTTGAACAATTCGTTGACATAACTTTTCAGTTTTGTCTCCCTCCAAATATGTCTTTCTTGAGAACCATTAAATTAGCTACTGTTCTAGCGGGACAGAAACCAAACAATAATAAGAGGTATAAGGTTCCAACGTCCAGACCAGCAGGTAAGCTCCAAACCTATCAGAAAATCTTACCGATTTCCTGAAGTTGTTTTCCTGATGTTGGTTTACTGGCTCCACTAACTAGTAACTACCACCCTTGGAATAACCGTTATATATTTGATAGATTTTGGATGGCAGCCTTCTACAACAACTAAATCTTGCCTACCCTGCTGGATTCAACAAGATCGGATGACGATGAACACACCAATCTCCTCCCTATCAATCGGCATGCTGCACCTAGTTGTTGATTGCACCACCTCGAGGGACATACGTCAAGTTCTAGAGCGTGCAATAGCCTCTCTATCAAATACCCGAATCATGGAGCCTCACATGGTTCTTTAGGAGATGATGACTCCGTCTCAGCCTATATACAACTTGGAAAGTCATATAGTGACGAGCTTTCGGCAGCAGGTAGATCTTTATCTCTTACCGATTTTAATATTTACCGATTCAAAGGCTTGCGGAGCGTGTTTGAGATATAGTTACTACTCTGAATGCTAGACCAGAACCAGTCCCATACTCCCATATACCGAACTTCATATTTTTCTGCTGGGCCTTGACATTCTTCACATAGATTTTCTTCGCTCTCCGCTTGGCCTTGCTCCTACTACCCTTGAACCCGTGACTCCTTCAGCCATTCATTCAAATCGGGAAGGTGCTTTTAACGAAAATACCTTCTGAAAAAATAGCAGTCAGACTAATAGGGGCAGATATCGTGATAGAAACAGAGGGAGAAACTCTTGGAATAATGAAACTTGGCAGCCTAATAGTAGCAACATTCTGTGGAATAATGGGGATAATCAGTGGTCTCACAATGGAAATCAGTGGAATAATTCCTATTTAGGGATGGCAATTTAACCCCGCCCTATCCTGTTTCGCCCCGGTCAACGTGGAGATTTTCCGCTTTGACCGAGGAACGGGGCGGGGCTAGGTGGGAACGAGAGATGGAGCAGGGATGGTATTTGCCCCTCCTCGCTCCGTTTGCCCAATTTTATGATTTTCATTGCTAAATTTATAATTATATCCTATATAAAATCTGTAATTAGTGACTTTTAGGGTTTGTTTTCTATATGAATTATCATTTTTTTTTTTGCTATAATTTGAAATTTGGTCGTAAAATAGAATAAAACGAGATGGAAAAAAAATTTGATAATTTTTTTGTCCTGTTTGCCCCGCTAAAGCCCCACAGGGATCCCCATTTTTGTTTGAGATGAGAATGATATGATAAATTTTACCCCGTTTGAGGCATGGGGTGGAGATGGAGCAAAATTTTCAAGGACATAGCGGGGATGGGCCTCGCCCCATTGCCATCCCGACCTATATATGACGAAAGTCATTAGTTGTATTGATTCGAGAATTTTATAATACACAAGGAGTAACTAGTGGCATGTACGGTAGTTACTCCTCGAGTCCACTTCTGAGGAGAGAGATAGACACACAAAAAGAGAGAGAGAAAATAGGAGAGAGAAAATAAAAAAATTTGAGCGGACATGAAAATTTTCTTATCACTTTTGATGGATATAGATGTAATTTCTCTCTTTTTTATGTGTCTGTCTCTCTCTTCAAAATGGATACGAAGTAATTACTCGTACATGTTATTAGTTAGTCGTTGTGTATTATAAAATTTTCCATATTGATTCTAAATACCTAACTCCCCTGTTTCCTTCTCTGTTTTATTATTGTTTGTATCTTGGGAACTAAAAAACAACCCAAAGTTAGGTCCATCGGTGGATTAGATTGTGATCTCATCTCTAAAACATCGACTAATGAGTACTGACCCATTTAGTATTTCTGTACATGCGTTCAATTACAGAAACTTTTCAAGGTTTTTGCCACTTGTACATCAAACTTCAATCTCTCTAATTTCAAGCCGTGTGCACTGACTTGGTGGATTCAATAAGCAAGTTGGCCTAGTCATTGACCATACAGCACAGACCATTAATGCCTTTTGACAAATGCTGTAGAATTACTTCATCCACCTCTCAAAATATAGAAAGGAAGAGACACACTAATTGCAGATTTATTTTTCCTTCATTTTTTGTGTTTGCTTGATGCGTTATCTTCGTCGTAATGTTTGAAAAATCCACTGCTCAAACCAGTGTCTTGTTGCAGAGATGAAGATCTCTCTCGTCATCATTTCCAAATCTTTATTTCGGTAATATTTCCAACGAAACTCGAGTTTTTCAGAAGTTGCAAGAGCGGGTGACCACGTTGCTGCCCAACCCGAGCCACGCAACGGAGAGCGATTTGTTTTTTCAAATAAAAAAAGGCCGGCCATGTGGGCCTGCTTCTGGAGCCCAAACGTGCATGGCTACTTTTGTAGATCCAAGTACGCAAGCTTACTTCTTCAAGCCCAAACAGCCAGCTTGCCTTTTTTCCTTTTTTTTTTCCAGAATTTTTTAAAAATATTTTTACTATTAAATTGGGTGTGAAAATTATTAAAAAAAAAAAAATCATTATTTCTTTTACATAGACTGATGGTGATAAAATTATTCTATGAGAACATTAAATATAATTGTCAGCATGCATAAACTTTCTCTGAAAGTCGAAATCGAAATGTTTGCCATTTTGGATACCTTGCAATGGAAATACATTGGCAGAAGGATCATTGGTAAAATTCAACTTAATTCTTAATTTTTTTTTTAATTTTGGTATTTCCAGCTATCATATCCAAGCAATTGACCGATTCCATCAGATTTTACGTCCTTACAGTTTGAGGTATCAAAATAAATAAAATAAAAAATAAAAAGGAAAAAGTTAAAGTTGAATTTAATAAAAGAAAAAATGAGGAGCTCGTTTTACTAAATAGCATTGACAAGTGCATTCATGTAACCTTTGGAGTCTGTACTTCTTTTCAACAGAGATGGCTTGCATTACGGCCTGACACATCCCACTAGAATTTTGCTAAATTCATAGGACTCCAACCTAGCTTGAACATGCAAATGTAAAAATTCTTGCCTTTAATTAGGGCGTTTGATCTCCAGAGCCTATTTTGCGTTAATGTTAATCCAACATTTGGTGAATTCTGTTTCACAATTATAGGAAAAGCTGACATCGAAGGATCAAAGCAATGTCGTTATGAACGCTTAGTTGCCATAAGCCGGTTATTCCTATGGTAACTTTTCTGACATCTTTAGCTTCAAATTCCAAAAGTCTAAAGAATCGATAGACTATGCTTTCATAGTTCGTATTCGTATTGAAAATCAAAATCAAACGAGCTTTTATCCTTTTGTTCCACATGAGATTTATGTTCTCATTGAGCTCATCTTAGGACATTTGCGTTATCTTTTAACAAAAGTGCCCCCCAGCCAAACTCCCCACCTACCAATGTCTTTCATCCGGATCAGCCAGTTGAAGCAGTCTTGGGTCAAAAAAGATGGGTTGCGCCCTGCCTGTGATTCACGGAGTAAGTAAAATAACGTTAAAAGTAGTAGTATTTTACCTTCATTGAAGCTTTCACTTATCCTACACCTGTCAAGTCATATTCAAATCCAAGTTTTTCAGTCCTGGTGACTTTGCCTTGTTTAAAAATTTCATTAAAAGATAATAGTCCAATTTGGGATTCTTTGAACAACTCTATCTGGCAAAAACTTGCCTTCGTTTTAAGTTAACCATGCTGAGATGCAGTGAAACCTGGAAATACAGAATGGGCTCCCAGCAGAAACTCCTTCGTTTCCGATGAACAGAAAATCTCTTCTCTAATTTGGAGTCGCATTTTACCAAACAATATTTTCCACACTACGTCCTCCTAAAAGATTAATGCCCTCTTCACTCCCAAAAATCATATAATTATTGTGCGGCAATCTACAATCTTAACTTCATGAGTACGATCATGACACATAGATATAGATATAGAACTCATTTGAACGTGATGATTTTTCCTTTTTCTTAAAAGAAGGAAAATCATGACCTAAGACTTAAATCCGAATTTAATCATTAATCAAATGATTTTTTTAATATATTTTTTGAGTTAAAATTGGGTTTATGAACTGACTTGTTCGTTTTCATCATTGAATGAAGTGATTTTGACTCTACACTCGTTCGTTATTACCGTGCGAGTACCGAAATTCTTTGAACTTTTGCATCTAGAAAGAAAAAACATTGGTAGACTTCTTTTTTGTTATTATTCATCAATATTCCACCTATTCCTATAGTTTAAAAAACTTATTATCTTACCTTTACGACCTTCTAAATTTTTCAACATTAAACTTGATTATATATATATATTTCTCATAAATTTTGCTTTTGCCTTTTTTTTTTTTTTTTTTCTTGACATAGATTGGACTTTACAGGTTACGATATGTGAAAAAACAGGAGGGAATTCTAACATTCTTTTGTAATGGAATATTTTTAAAAAACTTAAATACTGAAGAAGGAAATTTTAAATTTGTAATCTCGTGTAAATTTTAAAAGTTTACTGTCACTATACTAAAATCATGCTTACACATTTTTTTTATTTTTCTATTGCTTTATTCATTTAAATGATTAGAATTATGGTAGTATCGCACAAACTAATAACGTAAGAAAGTAATAATTAAAAAAAAAAATCGGACGTAGGCTCATCCCTAGAATTCATTAGCTATTTACTGATTAGGGGTAAAATTGTAACGTTTAAAAACATATAGGAGTGACATTAGAAAATTGTAGACCATAAGGATAGAAGTGAAACATTAAAACCTATAGGGGTAAAAATATAGTTTTTCTAATCAGCCCTGCCACCGAAACCCGCAAAACCTCGCTAAGCTACGCTCTGTTCCTTCTTCTTCACAAAACCCTTGAAACCCCAACAAGAAGAACAGCTTTAGCTTAAGGTCAGTTTCTCTCAAAACTTCATTTTCGCGTCCCTTTCTTTACCAACCTTATAGCTCTCTTTGGATTTATGGGTTTTCTGAAATTGGGTTTTATAGTATTCTTCTTGTGCAAAAAGAGCAAAAGATCTGATTTTTTTTTGCTTTATTTACTGGGTTTTATTAATTGAACGTGAGAAACTCGAGAAAAAAAATTATCCTTTTTAATTCGATGGTAATGTTGGGTTTTTAGTGGTTTTCTGTTTGTTTATTCATTGATAGATTGTGTTTTTAACAGACCCTTTTGCTGGTTTTGCTGCATATGTGATTGTGTAGTGTAAACTAATGAAAGTATAAGGTGACTGTAATGATTTTGAAGAGACCATTTTCTTTTTCTTTCATTTGAAGATTAGTATTTAAAGATGAGAACTTTGGAGTGTGAAAGTGTAGAACTGTCATTTTTCATGTGGATTGTTTGGTTTTTAGTTGATTATGGATTCGAGTGGCTTAGGAATTTGTGATTGCTCCAATGGGAAGTAATCACGTTACTTGCTTATTTGCTTTTGTTTTTGTGAGTTTGGATGCTTATAAAGATAGAGATTTTTCATTTGTTAATGATTTTGAAGAGACCCTTTTCTTTTTCTTTCATTTTTGTTGTGCAAGAATTGTTAGCTCATTGTTTCAAATGTCAGATGGCTTTGAGAGGTATATGGCAACTGAAAAGGCTGATTGTGAGCTACTGTGACTGGGGAGGTAGTAGCAGGGGGATCAGGTATGAGTTTTGGCCTCTCTATCATATATGTTTTATCGACTGTGATGAGTTTTTTATCTATGAAAGGATTAGAAGGATATTAGAAGCATGTTAAGCTTCGACTTATTGGATGTCTTCAAAATAAATCCATGGGTGAACTTGGGAGCAAGCGTATAGATCAGATTGAAGTAGGAGTTGGGAAGTGGGGAATTAGTCCAAAAGATTTGCCAATTGAAGTAGTAAAAAAATTAATAGACATCAATTTGCAGGAGGTTTGGTTGAACATAGAACTTAATAGAGGGAAAGGATCCATTAAGTCAACCCAAACTAGTAAAAAATTTAGCAGGGGATGTGTTTTAACCACCCAACCAGCTTTTAGTTGGCAATACTTGGATTCTCATCTTATCATCCTAGTTTAACTCAGGAGCATGGCTACTTGGATTAAAAATCATGAAAGTTATCATGTAGGTAAAATATGCTGTTCATCAAACCTTACCCTAATTGCCCCGTTTTTAAATGTCACAGAGATCCATGATCTGTGAACAACTATGCAAATTATGCGGGGAAAAAATCAAAGGATGCTAGGACCAAACTTTTACTGGACTCTATATAGAGGACCTGTATGTTTGTGGCAATCTCATGGGTGGATGTTGATTTTCATTCCCTAAATGCTTCTCCTTCGTGAACAACAAACATCCAAACCATTATAGATCCTCAGTGTTCTAGCACCTTGCTTATTTTCCTGGTCGCTGGCTCATCTATGGTTAGTAGTTAACAATTTAATAATGAATACGGCAGGGCCTTCATAGAGTCAAATCTGCCAGCATTTAAAGAGAGCAATCCACAGCTAGAGGTGATTGCTGAACTCTCTCGTGGTCAGCATCCATGTTTGAAGGCTTTTTACAGTAAGCTTTTTTCTCCCAACGCTCACACACGCACACAATAAATATGAGAACCAGGTTCTATTTCTACTAAATATTAATTCCTCTCCACAACATGAATATGTATCTGTGCTCAATCATTTGGAAAACCGTTTTAATGTTTTATTTTTGTCATGCGCACAGAGAACAAAAATGAGAGGGTGGTATGTGTGAAGAATTTGACTTCAGAAGACGTACTTCTTCATGCTACCAGGCTAAGGAATGCATTGGGAAGAAAAGTGAAAAAACTGCCAACAAGACATGTGACCAAACACCCAAGCGTGCAGGGTACATGGACAACTGATGTTAGATTTTGAGGCACGAAAAAGGCTCTCTATTATAAATTCTCTTGATGTGTTTATCTTCATGAAGCTTGGTGATTACATGCTAGCATATGGGACCAAGTGAAAGCAATCTGTAATGTATTACTTTGGTTTAGCAGGAGCTTCCGTTCATAATTTAGCGATTCCAAAATTTTTTGCTCTAGACTCGGCCCCTGTTTGTTTTGTTCTAAAAGGCGCAAAACATTTGCATGTTTATCCTATTCGCTTGCAATTCAGTTGTCTTCTTATTCATCAGCCTATTGTTTTGTCACAACTAATGCGTTATTAGGAATTTTGATGTAAATTCAAACGTTAATTGAGCAAGGTTTTCAATGGTGTGTTCTCATCTGATGGTTATTTCTATTTATTTCTCCATCTTCGTCCAAGTTGGAATCCCAGGTTCCACTCTTTTTTATTATTTTTTTCCCTACTTTCTCCCACAGTTCTGGCTGGTGTTGCTGCTTGTCGCTATGCAGCGAGCTAAAAAGGCTATTATTTGAGGGAATGCCTATTTCTTGTTCCAGCAATTTTCTGAAAAGAAATTGTGTTTCTCCGAGTCACAAAGAAAATTGAACGGACATTATACAGTTCCAAAAATTTACTAAACGACTTGGTATTCATAAATATGGAGATTTAAACCCATGGGGGCAATCCATTATAGGTATAAAAGAAAAATGCAGACAATAATCTGTGATAAGAATGCTGGGTTTGCTAGTCTTTTTCACATTTATTTAGATGATGGTTAATCCTCCCGGCTGTGTAGAAATAGATGAGACTTTCCTCTTGGTAAGATAGATATTAACGAAAATTTTCAAATTCTCAGGTTAATTACTGCAGACAGCTACAAACACTCTCAACTCGAGGACTGATGAAGTGTATCACCAACTTCACAGCATTGGCGAAGATCATTGATCTGCCAAAGAACCCAAGGAATTCAAATTGCCACCTATCTGGGTGCTTATATTTTCCAAATTTTGTCTCCGACAATGCCTTCCTGGATTGTCACTTTGAAAATTCAGAATCTTGAACACACATCAATCTCATGCATAAAAATGTAAATTGTCAATGACAATGATGATAATGCCAAACGCAACTGCCTCTGAACATGTTCCAAAACATCCATCTGACTAGCGACCACATAGTACATTGTCATGCCATCATAATGTTACAAATCTCAACGAACAGCTCAAAACCTTTTGCATTAATACATAAAATCGTCCAACAAAATTTCACATACAAAAGCATATGCTCACATGTGTATGCTTCTATTTGACCACCTCAGATTCTTTCATAAGCCTAAATTCCTTGTTAAGAACAACACTGCGCTTAAATGTGGTTCTGAGTCAATTTTGTAGAAATCCACATCCAATTCTCAGAACTTGAGTTTAAGGAAGGCCCTACAGCTATCTTATATTCTATCATGAACCCCCACCAGCCTTCTTCTCCTTTTGTTTCTCTCTTTTTTTCTTGTTCTTCAGTGCATTCTTGCTCATTTGTCTGTATTAACATGACATATTGATGAGTATTAACTTAGTCAAAATTCAAAACATTGTTTCTGTAAGCATGGAAACTTATGTACTTACTCAGTGGAGCTTCCTCCAAACAACTGTCATTGCAAAACAAGAAAACCATCAGAACAAAAATAATCAACTAATTAAACCCAAGCAAGCAACATTTTTATTTTAAAATTGCCAAAAAAAAAAAAAAAGATTAGTTAAAATTTGAGCTGGGTATGAAGGAATGTTTGGAAGTTTGCCATCAGTTTGCCGAAGCAAAGGAAAAGATGAGCCAAAATTATTTGTATACTTGGGATCGTTCAATTGCCAATCTACTTCCTCCACTGAATAAAATCTTTGAAATCTGGTAGTCAAAGAAAGCAACAGCCGGAAATATACTGCGTGTATGGTTTCAGAACAATGGTTATCATGGAGAGAAGTTCCCTCTCTCAAAGGGGCAGGAATCTGGATGCTGTGAGTTGCTTATATAATATGTTTTTTTTTCCCCAGAGTACAATGGATAATTCCCCGAAACAACAAATCAAAAGCATGAGCAATTGAAGCCAGCTATTCTTCCATCAATACCAAAGTGGCATTAAATATTTTTCTTTAAGCATGCATACAGAGGATCTTTTTAAATGGGTAATCAAAACACTCATATTTCAATGCGCTTAATTTCCCAAGACCAAAGGATAAAATAATGCTTCAACAACAGGTAAAATATGGACAAGTGCAGAACCAATAGTGGAGATTCCACTCTCAATCGGATGAAATGGGAACCCATACATACAACAGTCAAATTTTACCCTGCTCATGACTCTTTAAGAAATGAACATCTTAATGTAGGTAGGTTTCTATACCTCTGCCTGAACAGCAGCAGCAGCTTTAGCATGTGGAGGGCGATAAGCAGCAGGTTTCTGAGCAGGAGGGTTGGTGAGGGCAGTTTTCTTGGAGGCTGCACCTTGTCCTGACAAATAATTAACGTGTTCAGGACCCCCCAAACATTTATGGGTAAATGTTTCACAATCAAATCAGAGTTTAAAGTACTAAAGAAGAGATAGAACCTTGAGGTTTGGTTTCTCCAACTTTTAATGAATCAACAGATTTGATTAGTTCTGCAATTTCACCAAATCTATCTGGTGATTCTGGTTTCCACTCAGCCTGCATGTATAGTAACCACAGAAAATCAAGATTGAATTAGACAAGTAGGAGTATGATCAACTATAGATAACCTAGAACTTGTTAGAATACCAACCTCATACAATTTGTCAAACATCTTTTTGAAGTACAATGATCCATTGTGGTGGAAAATTTTGATCCTTCAATCACATAATTCAGAAATGAGTTCCTGAATCGTTGGCAAATAAGTTTATACTATGTACGTATGTCCAAGCCTCTGACATGTATAGGAAACAAAAATAGAGTATGCATAGCATATCCTTGATGCCATACATAATAATGAGCTGTTCAAATCTATGGCACCACGAAGCTGTATTAGGTAGGCACTGAGTTATTGAGGAGTTGCACAAATAGTTTAAGCACCACTGATCTACAGATGTGCTTAACCTATTTGATCAAAAACAAAAGATTACTTAAAGTATTTCATCAAGCACACAAGCTTTAAACTAGTGGTTTTTTCACCATCAGTAAGCTGTGGCACTTGAAAAAAATTTGCCTCTGAACAAAAGGATTATTACTCATTGTTGCTGAGCATTTCAATCTTCAACCAAAAATGAATGTGTTTGACAAGCTGTTTAATCAAAAAGGGCGATCTGGCTTGCATGAATTTGGTTTCCACCAGACAAACAATATAGACGTGTACCACCAAGTGTTTTTTAAATCAGGTATAAGAAAATATGTAAGAAAGGATGAAAGCACTTCCTCTTTGACAATAAAATAGCATTACTAATCGGTAGACAAAACTTTAGAGGTACCAATTTATGATCTTTGATTTCCAACTTTTGGGCCAAGATAAACATGCATAAGCGCAGGTTGCTACACTTCTAATTACCAGTAATAGCAAGCATGACTAGAGACTCACTATCCCCAATGCCACAAATCACAACCAATGATCAACATACCCATTGTCAACTTGTAGTCTTGGAGCTGTTGTGGCAGTCATGAAATAGCATCCATCTGGGGACCATTCACTTGTTACAGACCATTCAGCCTTCGTTGTTCCAAGTTTTTTTTTGTCTACATAGTCCCAGAAAACCTGAAATTTTATTCAAGCATAAGACGAGGAATAAGAAAGAACTAGATCTCCTAGTTACATACTCAAGCACAAACAGGTCAAATTATATAGAACTGAAAGAAATATTTTTATTTATTTATTTATATATATATATTTTTTGCAGCTTAAACATTAAATGATTTAAATTTGGGTGGGAAAGACAGGGCAGAGGTCTTGCAAGATTTCAGCCCAACCTAAGGAAAAAACATATAGAGTTACCAAGAGCAGACAAGCACACAAGAAGACAATTGATCACATATTCCTAGCTTCACAATCCATATACAAAACACAGAGCCCTGATATAAAGCAAAGGATATCTCCAGACAATTCTGTAAGGTACATAGAAACACGCAAGCATTCCTCCTTCCAAGAGTACCATAAAGCAAGATGAGGGTAAAAACCTAATGGAAGAAAACAGTAGGTAACATTTTTATGTACTTGTTTAAAATCTTATTATACCAAGAAGATGACAAGAATAGGGAGTGGAAAAACTCTAGAAATCCCAGACCAAGAGCATATGAGTTATGACCTTCCCAAGGCTTTCACTAATTAACTAATGAGCTGATCAACAACTAAAATATCCCAAATGTTGTCCATTAATGAAAGAAGAGACAGTAAGGAACTGGAAAATGATTTAGCAGGAAAAACAACCTTCATCGAGAGGAAGGATTGGTCCAAATAATCTCAACTATGACAGAAAATTGTTAGAGAATAATCAACTTGAACCTACTTACCATATCACCAGGTAAGTTACCAAAACCAGCTAAGCATAGAACTGTAAAGCAAAGAATTAAGGAAACATATATCGATCCAAATATAATGATAAAAATGCTGCTTCAAGTTTTTCAAATCGTAAATATACACCTCAAGAAAAAAAAAACTACTTTTGCCAAGGATACATTTCCCTTTTGGGTTCCATCGGACAGTATTGTAAGGGCCTGTTCCAAGCTCAAGTAGAGGATTGCACTTCTTATCAAACAATGTTGCACATGCAGGCATAACTAAAATAGGTCAAGGAAGCACCATATTTGTGGAAACAATTGCAGACAGAAATATGAACAAGTGCAAAGATGTGTTAAAGACTATTAAACATTTACATCCTTCATTTATAACCTGTTAAAGCCGATTTAAATGTTCAAACTCGACAAAAAGTGAAGGAAAAAAAAACAAATCATTAATACAACCACAGAAATGCAAGATTAACTCTTCAAAAAGAAAACCAGATGCTTTATCCCTGATAAAACCCAACTGCATAAGGCATCATTACCATATGATTTGTCTGTTAAAGGGTAGAGCTCTCGCACCAAAGTTCCTTTACATTTTATATCACTAGTTCAGACAATACCAGATGTCCAAAGTAGATACCTAATATCAGCTCGTGTCTTTTAGTTACAAGCAAACCAGATTTACTAGCAGGGTCCATGTATTCATGTTCCTAGATATCTCCAGATGATTGCTTTACCTTGATAAGAGTGAAAGTGTGGATCTAACACTACAAATCTTTCACTCTGTGCATGGAAACAAGGATACATCCATAAACAACAGCAAACTCTGAACCACAAGATGACCACTGAACATCATGAATTGGCCCCTCTTTACCTGTTCATAGATAAAATAATAAGAAGTCACAGTGCCTGTACACAACTGAAGAAACTGAAACATTAATCTCAAACATACGTAGAGGTACAAGCCCTTCATGGGTCCCATCAGTTGTAAGGTAGTTCAGCTTGGACTCTCCATAATAACTTTGATTGGTCTTGTCAACATCTGATTGTGCCACAACCAGAAGCCCAGTAGAACCACGATTCCATTTCAGTTGCACTGTATTACATCGGAAAAAGCTACGTCGAGCAACAGGCTGACTTTGCATTTCTTTCCCACAAGCAAATATCTGAACACTGGCTGGAATCCCCTACATGATCCATCAATTAATTTAAAAAGTGCATCATAAAGAAAACAGACAATTCAGGACACCCGAATCTGAAAACCAATTAAATATCTACATCCTACTTGTCAAGAACATATTGAAATAACCTGTCCAAATGTACAATGGATCAAATATTGTATTTGCCAAATCCAAAAGGAACTGCATAGATTGACACATTTACCATGAGAGAGTCTTGCTATAAGAATATTTAATCTCATCAACTTAAACCTAAAATTTCTATATTTTGGTGATAGTATAGCATGGGTTTATCCAATCACATTTCCCAGAATTTGGAACTTTTGATCAATTCTTGGGCAACGATCCAAAGTTTAAGAAGATCCATCTTTCAGCATCTCAATCTCTACCATGATTGAAAGAAAAAGTAAATTTTTAAAACAGTAATCAACAATGTCAACATAAAAAGTTGCCAATAGCTTATTCAAGAAACTAACTACTGCAAGCATCCAGCTTGCAGTGCACATGCATGACAAAACATTCTATTTAAGATATGGTTATGCTTGCATGTAAATGTAATGATGTAATCCTAGATTACTTTTACTTAAAATGGATAGAAACTACTGCTTAATTGGCCTGGAAGCATGGAACACACACCTTAGACTCTGGGATAAATGCTGCCACGTGGGACCCTGGCACCATTGAAAGCTCAACAGCAGCCACCCCCGGAACCCTTATACGGTGAACAATTCCTTTAGAGAAATCTCTAGGATCGAAAAACTGTATTTCATTTGTTGCCATCCGACATGCAATAGCTTCATCAGAATTGAATCGGATCGAGGGCCTGAAGGGCAGGCATATAAGCAATTACAAAGTTAAAAACTTAACTATCAAATTGCAGGCAAGCACATAGTAGAAAGAAAGTAGAGAGGGAAAGAGGGAGAGAGTATCAAGAACAAGAGATTCTAACATCCCATTTTCACCATAAGTAAGACAGTATCATTAAATTTGATTCCAGAAATTCAGGGAAACCACTATGATAATCATCAATTCTATATTAAAATGAGTGAAACGTATTCTCAACTCACAGCTTTCAACTAAAACTACAGTCTCGATAAAGAAAAAAAAAAACCTAAAACTACAGTTAGCTAAAAGTATAAAATTACCATGTGGTCTTTGTCATGTTCTTTTGGAATTGCTGATAAACAGAATCACCACTCTCTATCTTCCACAAAACCACATTCTTATCCTGTGGTGTCGACGATTTCTGAAAAGTCTGAAGATAAGTCCCACAAGGCGACAACACAGCAGCAAGAACATTGGGAACTTGAAAAGACTTAATCTCCTTAAAGCTACTGCAATCATATATGCTAATGGCAAAATCACTTTTCATCACCAGAAGTCTAGACCCATCTTCACAAAACTTTGCACTACTACAAGGAACTCTATCAAGCTTAACACTTGGTTCAGCATTCCCAAATGGTGGCCCATTCCAAACAAAAAACCCTTCTGGTCCTCTAACTGAAACAACAGAATTCAAATAAAACATAAGAAAACAAACAAAAACAACTATTTCAATTTCATAAAGAAACAGTATTTTTGGTGTAATAAGTACCTAATATATCCAAAGAAGGTGAAGTATCTGCCATAACTTTTACAACCAACTAGAGACTGCACAGATAAAATCCCACCTGCATAAACCCAAAATCAATAATGGGTTCTCGTTGTTTTTCCAAAAAGAATCAAATTTTAAGTCTTTCTACGATGAAACTAATACAAAAGGAGCTAAGCACTGTACTTTAAATCAATTTGAAATTGAAAGTTTGTATTTTCTACATGAATATAATACTGGGTACACATATTAAATAATCAGAAAAGAATAGGGGCAAAATTGAAGAGCTGTTTTGTGGTATGGAATGTTAATTTTTTGTTCTGTCTTTGTTTTTCCCGCAATTCGAGGGAACCAAACGGAAAGTTGGTACCTTAAATTGCGAAGTGAATGACTGGAAGTGTAGTTTGTTATGGACGATGTCGCCGGCGGCGGGTAATGGTGTTGGATCGCAATATCTATAGCGGCATCGGAGGAAGCGATTTCATGAGAAAGTATATGCTTGTTATAGGGAGTAAGTTATAAATTAGTCCCTCTCGTTTCTAGAAACGAATTAATTAGTCTTTCTTCTTTTAAAAACTAATAATATAGTCTTTATATTTTGAAATTTACTTATAATTTAGTCTTTATTTATCTTTTTAAATTTATTTTGATTTTTTATTTAAATAAATAAAAATTAAAAAATATGAAAAGATTATGAGAAAATAAAATTTTTTATGAAATAGAAATAATATTAAATTAAATATCTTCAACACTAATCAAATGATTAGATAATAATTTTTAAAACGAGAGAGACTAAGTAATTTTTTTCTTAAAACTAAAGGGACTAATTTATAATGTACTCTTGCTATAGGTTAGCCCCTTATTCTCATAAAAAAAAAGCAAATTATACATTAGTTCTTTATTTTTAAGAAGTTACTATGTTAGTCCCTATATTTCAGCTAATATTTAAGTGACTCTTTAGATGTTAATTGAGAAGGTAAGAGAAAGAGATTTGTTTAAAAAAAAAACAGAGAGAGAGAGAGTGTGTGATTTTTAGTCAACGAACAGAGTTGATCAAGGTATTGAATTATAATTTTTGAAACCAGAAGTACTAAATTATTAGTATGTTAAAAATTCAAGACTAGGTACATGTTAATACATGTACTTAATTATTAGCAGTTCGAGGCTTGCATAATTGTTTGTTAAAAAAAAAGAGGCGTAAATTGAAAATAAGTAAATCAAATTTGACTAACCTGTAGCAACACCAGGCCGGCCTGGAAGCCATAATTGACCTTGACTCTAATGGCCGAGGGGAAAGACGCATAAAGCAGAGAATGTCTTCGGTCATTTGGTCCATGCCAACCATTGAAGCCACCTTTGAAATAATTATTTGCTCTCATTGGATTTCACCATGCCTCCTCTTTTCCTTACTGCAGTGATCAGCTTGTTGCTGCTCATCAGCTTCTTGAAGTTCGTACATCAAATCATATGGATCCCACTAAGAATCCAGCACCATTTCAAGAATCAAGGCATTACTGGCCCCAGCTACCGTCCAATATTAGGCAACCTGGCCGAGCTCCGCCGTCTATATGCTGCAGTTCAGTCGTCCAAGAAAATGCCTTTAAGCCATGATATAGTTCACCGGGTGCTTCCATTTTACCAAGAGTGGTCAAAGAAGTATGGCAAGATGTTTCTTTTCTGGTATGGAACCAAGCCTAGGTTGGTCATATCTGACCCGGACATGATCAAGGAAGTTCTGGTGAATAATAATGTTGGAGGGTCTTATGAAAAACTTGCACTTAACCCTCTAGGTAAAGTTCTATTTGGTGAAGGGCTTGTTGTGCTTGAAGGAAAGAAATGGGCTCTTCATAGGAGAATCGCAAACCAGGCTTTTAATTTGGAGCGAGTTAAGGTACTCCATGAATTCAATTTTTATATACATGCCTAATTCTTGAAATTTCTGTAAACTTTCTCTAAAAATTTGAACTTGCATTAATAAAATAACTAAAAAACTCAGATTTTAACCATGGAAATGTCCTTGAAATTAGGGGTATGATCATATCATGGATTGATATGAAGGGTTGCTATAGTGCTAGTAGGAAACTTGGGGTTAGGAAGTGATAAGTTATCCCTTGTTCAAATATTGAATTTACCCCTGATCTATATTGTGTCCTGCTCCTGCATAACAAAAAGAAACAGGCACCCACACAATGATAATCACCCACCCAAGCGAAAAATATGTGCAGCTTGCCTGATGTAAGAATCGCTAGTTACACTTACATCCAGGCATGTAAAAGATCTTTTTCAATCTGTTCTAATGCAAGTTTGATGTAGAAAGTCAGATTGTGTAAAAACTCCTGAACCATTTTCTTTTTCCACAGAGCTGGGTACCAGATATTGTAGCAAGCACCACAGGTATGTTAAGGAAGTGGGAGGAAATGAGAGGAGGGAGAGAGGAGTTTGAGTTGGATGTACATAAAAAACTTCATGACCTTTCAGCTGAGATCATATCCAGAACAGCATTTGGAAGTAGTTATGAAGAAGGGAAGAGTATATTTAGATTACAGGAAAAACAAATGGATCTTGTCCTCCAAGCTTTAAGAAGTATATACATTCCAGGGTTCAGGTAATTATTTGTTCTAACTTTGGTCAGAAGTCAACTTATGTTCATTGAATTCTAATAGGCTAAATTGAAGCGGCAAAGACAAAGAAACCTATTCTTTTTATAGCTTCATTTACACTGTTGTTTTGTGCACAGAAAGCAGTTTTTGTCCCATTCCATATCCGAATTTCTGTCATGGACAGCTTGTTCTGTTTAGTCCTGCCCTGCCAGTTCAATCCCATTTGCCTAAAGGCCTTTTGTGCTAGTATCAGCTGGAAGTGTTTTATTTTGCTAGTTGAATAGTGTTCATATTTACATACATGGAATTTTTGGGGATAATATAGTCTTGATTTTGGAGAAGTGGTTGTGATTTCAGGCTTCTGTTTATACATGCAGGTTCTTGCCTACTAAGAATAACAGAGAGAGATGGAGACTAGATGCGGAAACTCGTCAAGCAATAAAGAAACTGATAGAGACCAACAGCAGAGCAAGAGAAAATTCAAGAAATCTACTGAGTTTGCTTATGTCTTCGTATAAAAATCAGGATGGTAAGGAAGATACATTAGGAGCTGAGGAGGTTATAGATGAATGCAAGACCTTTTACTTTGCTGGAAAGGAAACTACTGCCAACGTTTTGACCTGGGCCCTTATCCTTCTAGCATCGCATCAAGAATGGCAAAACAAAGCACGCGAAGAAATCTGTCATGCCTATGGAGGGAATGAGCTTCTGGGTGCAGAGAATTTAAGTCATCTCAAGATAGTAAGTTCCTTCCTTTCCGTAATCATCTTGTTCTAAAATATCAAGAAGATGAGTTTTCTATGTTTTACATGGGGTATTCTGCTTGTCACTTATTTAATCTTAGTGTTTCGTTTCTAACAGGTGAGCTTGATAATCAACGAAACGCTTCGGCTATATCCTCCAGCTGCGACGTTGGGGAGACAAACATCTGAAAGGATTAAACTGGGGAATCTTGTGCTTCCTGCTGGCACACAGGTGTCTATACCCTTGGCTGCTGTCCACCATGACACCGATCTATGGGGAGATGATGCCAATGAGTTCAATCCCATGAGATTTAATGAGTCTCGCAAACACTTAGCTACATTTTTTCCATTTGGTTTAGGCCCCAGAATCTGTGTTGGTCAAAATTTAGCTATCTTTGAGGCAAAAATTGTCCTAGCCATGATCATCAAAGACTATTCCTTTGTAGTGTCGCCAACGTATGTCCATGCTCCAATGTTTTTTATAAGCTTGCAGCCTCAATACGGTGCACAGATCCTCTTGAGCAAGATTTCAAATTGAAAGTTTGTTAGCAGTTTGGTTTAGCGCTCCTGTAAAGCATTGTAACCCCTGAATCAATTGTCTTTCCCTCGACATTCAACAACTGTATTGCACTGAAGTTGAATAGTGATTATCTCTCTATTTCACTGAAGCTTTCTGCAGGAAGCAATAAATTTCCTCTTTTTTTTTCAGAAAGAGCCAATTAATAGCCAAACAATTAATACTATATTCTTAGGGATAATATTCATCCCAGATTCAAAATATCTGGCAACATAGTAATGCAGCTCACGGCTCCATAATATGGTTAAAAGCAGGAAATACTTTCTAGCTTTCAGAGTTCAGACACTGCAAGAAACTTATGAACTTAATATTTGGGGAAAGAATGGCTGAGAATTCAAGTGGCAAAGAGCTCTCAGCATATGTAAATTCAAAATCAAGCTGCTAGATGCCTATATTCAATTCCACAACATCATTGGTCTAGTTTACATGGATATGATCTTGATTTTTCGGGTGCGATCATACCAACACCGGATCCCATCAGAACTCTGAAGTTCGAAGTTAAACATGTTTAGTACTAGCAGTACCAGGATGGGTGACCTACTGGAAGTCCTTGTGTTGCACTTGTTTTTTTTTAATAAAAAAAAATTTGATTTTTCATATGGAATAATGGTTATATGCTTAATTATTTGGAAGGAACAATGGTTATATGCTTAATTATTTGGAAGGAACAATAGTTATATGCTTAATTATCCTGTGCAGACAGAGAATACTAGTGCTAAAATAACAGATTAAACTTCAAAACACTGATCAATTGTTCTATGCTTTCTTGTTTATGGCCATCAAGTTTTAATAGCATCAAAACAGTAATAATCCTCCAACTCAGCTAACCCCTCCCAGAAAGAAAAAATCTCCAGTCTAATGGAATCCACTTTTTTAAGATATGTGGACTCGTATTTCCCCAGGTAGAAACATTGGATTTAGTTACAATGTATAATTTTTGTAGCTGTTCTGTTCTTAATCTCGCAATAGTGAAACTGTGTTGCATGAGGACGTGGAGGAGCATGTAATCTCTGAGATGATAATTGAGATTCAATCTCATTGTTTCATTGCAGCAGGTAAAAGCAGAACTAATTAGCTGTTAATTTCAAATGTGCAAGTAAAAGCAGAAGCACATTGGGATATGTGTAGCCTCTCTAACGCTAACTATAACAAAAGGAATAGTAAAAGAAGGTGACAATTAACAAAACAAAAGATAATCACCTTGTTTCGTCAACTTCAGGGCTCCTATTGGATAGTCCCTGTCAGGCAAAGTGCTGGTGTCATCAGCAAGTTTGCTTGCTTTGGTAGGCTCATTGCATCCATTATCCTTCTGGCCCCTCCAAGTAGATAGCCACTGATTATACCAATTGCTTAGTAAAACTCAAGCCATTGTCGCATTCAACAGGAATTGAATCGGGTAACTCTGTATTACAATGAATTTCAATATGTCCATACCCAGATTAGCCTTCATCTTGTAAGCTGATTGGCAAATGTGCAGATAATGCCGTTGTGCCTACCAAACTCTCGGACTTTTACCAAGCATCAACTGCACTCTAGCAACTTCCCATGAGTAAACCTCAGTCGATTACGATGATACCTGGAGGCTCAGGCTGGAGCACTCAGTAGTATGGAGCTGCCAAATGGGAAAAAAGAAAAAAATAACCAAAAAATGAGGAAGCATCAGCTTAAACAAGCCTACATATAGAAAGCAATTTGATCTGTTTGATAACCTTCTGCGCCTGTCAGCAACGACAATGTATGCTCGAAACCAAGAAACAGGATGGCGAGGGTAAATATCTGTCAAACCAGCCCAAAGCTTTATGCATCCAGTGTATAACAAGATTAAAAAAAAAAAAATCAGGATTTCTCTTATATACTTTCTTAAATTTTGTGTCTTCATTTTTTCATGAAAACATTATGAGAAGATAACAAGAATATTGCAGAAACAGAAAGCTTGTAATTTCCAGAACACGGTACGGATAACGATCACCCAGGGAAAACATAACAAGTCTTGGAGACACTTGAGCATTAACCTTAATGAAGACTGATTTATGCCCGGGCACGAGGGACAACGTCATCGGTATGAAGTGATGATATTTGCATTGGATAGGGTACTGAACTTGTCAGAAGTCCAAACCGAGGAAGTTGAGCCTCGGATTCTGAAACCCTAGCTTGTGCATCGACTGAGGCATGCTTCTGTCAGATTTATCTTTCCTCCTCCAATGACTTGGCCTCTGCTTTCCAATATTGAGCAGGCTCCTTTAAACGTTTCTCTCTGCGTAGGCTGCCTTAAGCGGCAGCTTCAAACGCTTCGACATTTTGCTTTCCACTAGTCATGATATTTGTTGCTTGCCGTTTGAGCCTTAGGAGGTGGGGATGATAGGTGAGAAGGTGACGAGTTGGAGGGCTAAAGTGAGCATTGTTTAATAGTAGAGGGACGAACGACACCACCGCTACAACTACCACAGCATGGAACCATCATCACCACTGTAACCATTACCGCCGCCACCTCTAAAACCATCATTATCATAACCAATAACGCAATAACCATCAGTACTACTATTATCTTTATTATTTTTACAACTATTATAGTTTGATAAAATTATTTTTTTAATTATTATTTTTATTTATATAAAAAATTAAATATTAAAAAATTTAAATTATATTTTGATTCTTTATTAGTATTTTAAACGCAGTATAAGAATACAAATGTCATGCTCGATTTTTTAATTTTCATTTTAATTTTTACATTCTCATTTTAGACCTTTCATTCTTTATAATCAAAGGATACCTAAATGTTTTGTCTCAAGCAAAAGAAAATGTCCACAAAAAAAAAAAAAAAAAAAAACAAAACAAGCAAATTAATGAAGGGTAAATATGAAATTTCATAATTCTAATAGTGGCATCATAGAAATCAAAAGGAAAATGGAAGGGTTTTTGTGTGCAAAGCAAAAAAAAAAAAAAAGGAAGAAGAAGAAAGAAAGAAAACCCAAAACCTTGATTGAAAATATATATATAATAGGTGAATAGTGGTATTGAGTGTGAAGGAACAAGTATCAAATGAACGGTCACAATGCTTAATCGTTTAGTTTTGTTTAAAACTATAATAGAATTAGAATTTAGAATAGAATAAAATAGTAAGATGCTTGTTTAGTAATCGAGAATGAGTGGTGAGAATAGGAATGAAAATTTTATTCCTACATTAGTAATTGTTTGGTTAAAAGAAATGAAGAGGGAATGGAAATGAAGAATGAAAATGGAAATGAAAATTTACACATAACTTTATTCCTACATAAGATGTGAGAATGAAAAATAAAGAATGAAAATGAATTTTTTTTTCAAAATAATAATATATTTTATTTATTTATTATCTATTAATTATTTTTGTCACCATTACTACCATCACAACAACTACCACCACCACCATCATCTTCGTTACCATCATCACCACCATCACAACCACCATTATCATTGTCATTACCACCACCACCATAATCATCATTATCACAATCACAACCATCATCATTACCTCAATCGCCATCACCATCACCACAACTACAACAATCATACCATCACTTTTATTATTTTTATAACTATTATAGTTTAATAAAATTATTTGTTAATCATTATTTATATTTATATATAAAATCAGATATTAAAAAATTTAAATTATATTTTGATTCCTTATTAATATTTTAAACACAATAGTAAAATATAAATATCATTTCGATTCTTTAATTTTCATTTCGAGTCTTACGTTTATACGCTCCTCACTTTATTCCTTGTTATGAAAGAGAACTTAATAGTAATAAAATGTTCTTGCTTCTTCTTGACTCCCTCCATCTCGCTCTACTGTATTTCTTTTCTGTAAGGAAGAAGAGAGGAGTAGTTGTAACGGTTCTTTTCTTGGTTCTGCTTTCTTCTTGGAATCTTTATCTTTCATTATACTGAAAAAGTAAAATGGCTGCCAGCTTTATAATCCAGCGAATATATGGTAGTAACTTGTTCCTTTGGAACTTCTCCATCTCCTTTTCCGTCCTTTGCAAAAGTATAGATTGAGAGCGTAAGTTATAATCGGATAAAAGTGTTTGCTTGAATGTCTCTTAGAGAATTCCTGCCTATAAAATCGTTCAATTTCTTCTGTTATACCTTTATTTGAGCTTATTCTCATGTCATTAACAAATTACTGCTCTTGTCTTGATCGTGGGATATCATTGAGAAATAGGAATCCGTGTTATCAAAAGATTTCCTGCGATTATTTCTAGTATGGAATGAGTCAATCATCCACTTTGGTATCTTATTGAACAAAAATGGTGATATTGTTCCTCCATTGATCAAAAATATGAATCTATGCTATTGTCATAAACGGATTACTGTTAATGTTTAATGATCTACTGACATGGTAATTCGACTATTAAATTTTGATGGTATTTATATTTGTTGAATTTGCCGTTTTTACCAAATTTCGAATCTTGAGTTGTGTTTGTGAAATGGGTTCTTTTTATTTTCTTCATTTCTCTTAGTTTACCAGAGAATTTGTTTTGGGAGTGTGTGTGTGTGTGTGTGTCTGTAGACATAGGTTGTTAAGATTATTACAACAACTAATGGAGAAGCAAGAACTTCACCTTACTCTCTACCTTTAGTTTTATATGGGAGATGAAATCTTTAGGGCATTATTGACATGTGGATCTGTTTGATTCCCAGTTACTAAGGTTGTTGCTAGCACTTGCACTCACAAATGTATAGATCTGTTCTCCTATGTACAGCTATCATGCATCATGCCTATTCTGTTTCTGTGATTATTGTATTTTATGGGATTGGTAACATGTGGATCTGTTGTCTAGCTACCAGGGAGTGTTGCTAGCCTAAACACATGGTGATGCATGAATCTCTTCTCCGCTGTGTGGTTAAGTTGGTCTGCGAGTTTTACAGTCTATGGTTAATGAGTTTGTTTTACACCTAGTTCTAAAATGGTGGTTCTAGTGTACACCATTAGAATAAATAGTCTTGTTATTTAGGATGCTGTTAAGGATCTTGTGACTCCCATGACTCTCAGCCAAAAAACTCTCTGTTCTGCAAATTTGGCACATGATTTGGTTAGAACCTTGAGGGAAAATTTCCTTGTTAAGGATCCCAAGGAGAATGGTGAAGAAGAATCTATCTTGGGGTTGTTATTACATGGTGATCCTAGAACTACATATGCTTCCATTATGATCTGTACAAGTAAAACAAACTTATAAACTTAATAACTGATTCATGTATTGTTGAGTTTGGAGTGGTACATTTGGCTTAGATCAGAAAAGTTTTATTTTATCACAAAAAAAGAACTAGCAGTCCAAAAATTACACTAGCTAATACAACCACCCACTCAGAAATATTGTAATGCACACTCAAACACAAGCACTCAAAAGACTACTCTCGCACAAAAGAGTAAGTCACTCACTCTATCTGTTCCCATGCTAGGAACTCACTTCTCATTTTCCTGTACTAGGAATGGGAATAGAGCTCTCTCTATATATAGATGATTGAGAGCATGTGCAGACAAATCACAAAAAGGTGTATTTGACCAAATATTCTAATGAAAACGAATTTCTAACCAATGCTTAAATGCTAGCTTTGAAAATTGGCAATGTGATAGTAAATCAGAGATGATAGTTGAAAAGGTTGCATTTGTTGCCATGCAATGTGAAAGTGTTGCAGCATGATAAAATGGTGACAGTTGAAAAAGAATATAAAAAGAAAGGACCAAATTGTGAAGCGTGTGCATAGAAAGAAAGAAAAAGTTTTTTTCATGTTTTGTTTTTGCTACTGCTGACACATGGACATATACAATAAGGGTTTTTTTTTTATTATTATTGCACTGTTATTAAGGATAGTAACAGAAAAAAATGTAGTTTTTCTTTGATTTTGTTGATTTATATAACAAGGAAGCTAAGTATTGACGTTTTCTCTAATATTGATTTTTGAGTATAATAAATGATGAAGTCACACATTGTTACTTTTTGCAGAAACATAGCGATTTTGCACATTTTAGGTTTTTATGATGAGACTGATTTAGCTAAAAAACTTAAATTATTGTATTGCTTTTTTTATTATAGTAGATTATTTCCGTGTTGGTCTGTGATCTTTTCCTCTACTTAAACTTAGTGATTTTGTAATTTTGCTTGTGATTAATTTATTTTATGCTCTTCATTATTACTTGTATGTTTTAATTTATAATTGAATGTATTACTTTTTTTTTTATTATAGTAGATTATTTCAGTGTTGGTCTGTGATTTTTTCCTCTACGTAAACTTAGTGATTTTGTAATTTTGCTTGTGATTAATTTATTTTATGCTCTTCATTATTACTTGTATGTTTTAATTTATAATTATTTACTTATAAAATCTAATTTATACGGAATGAGATTAAATTCTCAACATTATCATTAATAGAGGAAAATGTTTAATCAGGTTCTAGCAATAGACTTTAAATCTCGAGAAGACAAATGGCATCATCTCCTTCAACCAGTTTATTGCCAATTAAGGAGCAGATAGTCCCTGAAAATGAAGTTCAACAGATTGGACTACCTGATGCAGATGAAGATCAGTATAGTGGAGTTACAGTGCATATGAAGGAACTCATGGACTCTGATGTCTATGTTGCTCTGCTAAGAGTCTCGATATCCCAGTGGAGACAACAGGTCTGTAGAGTCTATTTGACATCACTTGTGAAAAGTTTTTTTCCTTTATACCGTAATTCAAAAGTTATTTTTCAGAAATAACTTGAGACAAAAATAATTGAAGTTAGAAGTATTTAGCAACAAAAAGATTGATGCAAAACCAATCCCTTTTTAATAAGGGAGGTGATATGGTGATATGAATTAAAGTGAATTAGTTAAAACTTCTAACTTTTGATTAAATGGAAATTCTGACTCAATTTTGAAAACTTTTGTATTTAAATCAAAAGCTATTCCTCATCAATCATATTTTTTATGTTTCTTTTAATTGAAAAAAAAAAAAAAACAATGTAAATCAATTCACAAAATTCATACTAAACAGAACCTTTATAAAACTAAGCACCACCTTTTTGGAAATGTTGTTTCTAGCAGTTACACTATGCCTCAGTCATGGTTTAGCAACTAGAAATCTCCTAATTAAGTCTTAGCTTCTCCATATTTAACTTTTTACATATTCTCATCAGGGGAAGAAGGGTATTTGGATCAAATTGCCTATTCAACTTGCCGATCTCGTTGTACCTACGATTAAGGTAAATGCAAACTAACAAGCCCGTGAAAGGCATTGACTTGATCTTTCCAACCAGAAACAAAAATTTGGAATTGGTTCATTGTGTTTATTATGGACTTTGGAATTGAATACTTTGGACTAATTAATTCTACAGGAAGGATTTAAGTATCATCATGCAGAACCAGATTACCTGATGTTGGTCCATTGGATTCCTGAAACTCCTAATACTCTTCCTGCAAATGCTTCACACTATGCTGGTATTGGTGCCTTTGTCATGAACATTAACAGAGAGGTATTTCTTCTACATTGTATTTTTAGCACATTTATGCTTTTCTGTGACAATGAAGTTAGTGATAGGCTATTTAGGAGCAAAAATTCTATTTTCTTCTTATGTGATCTTTCTTGTATGGGCTAAAAAAGTCAATATTAACATACACTAGCCAAAAAGAAAAAATAGATAAAATGTGGAAAACAATAATTCTGTTAAAGACTTTAGTTGACTGTTTGTCATCGTTCAAGTCTCAATTTAAGATCAAATTGTTCCACTTTGCAGGTACTGGTCGTTAAGGAGAAACATGGTGAATTCGAACAAGAAGATGTGTGGAAGTTACCTACAGGAGTTGTTAATCAGGTGATCATTATTGGAGAGTAGAATATGTTTTCCACAGTTTGTTGACAGTGAAATTTTCCACCGACAGGGTGAGGATATTTGTGCTGGGGCAATTCGAGAAGTGAGAGAAGAGACAGCCGTAAGTTAATTCCAGTTTTTCAAACAACATTAAAATTGGTGGTGTTTTACGTCCTTTGAAGTCTTACTTTCTAACATCTTTTGCTTCGTTTTGTTTCAGATTCACACAGAATTTGCAGAAATCTTAGCATTTCAGTAAGATGATTTCTTCACTTTGATCACTTCTATTATCCATTCCTTTCTTGGTGCAATGTCACACGGGTAGACTTTTATGGACTATTTTGAGACTTTAAACTGGTTAACATACAATATACCTTATCAAAACTGCCTCGTTGTATGTGTATGAAAAGAATGTTCTCTCTAGTTCCATCTGCCTAGTCTATCTCCCTTTCGTAATTTGTAGATTCTTAGTTGAAGCCTATCTTGAATAGCTAACTAAATAATAAAGTATGTCTTTGAATGTCTTATGTGCCCCCAGACTCCAGGCTTAGGATCTCTTATTTCCTTCCATGCACTCTTCACAAAAAACTTCCCCCTAGTAGGGAGCTTCCAATAAACAGTCTCTTTAGAGGCATTAAGATAGATAGTGTTGCAAAGGCCCTTGGTGAAAAAATTTAAGATCGTTAGATCTTGTTGGTAGCCACCTCCATTGCTTCCTATGATCAATGATTTCTGCAACTTGAGGGGTTCCTTCCTAATTGGTATCAGGGCAAAGATGTTCGTTTTATTTTTTTCAAACTAAAACTACAGAGTCAGGCATCTATCTTCTTGGAGTGTTCATGCAGTGTCCATAATTGTGAAGGATACAGTCGTTACGTATTTCATAAGATGAAAATGTTGAAGTATTAAGGTTTACCTGTTTCTGTTAATTGATTTCTCCTTTTTGTTGTTTATACACAGGCAATTCCACCAGCAATTGCATGGAAAGTCGAATTTATTTTTTGTTTGCATGTTACGACCACTCTCCTTCAAAATCAAGAAACAGGATTCAGAGATTGAGGCAGCCCAGGTACTCCTCAACTTCTAGATAGTTTTCTGTTTTCTTGAATGAGAACTGGACATCAAAATGATTCTCAGATTTGTGTCAGCTTATGATACTTGACTTTGGGTCAACCTTTTAGCTTGAAGATTTTGAGTCCTTGTAGTTATATATGACTTGAAATGTATCCCTTTCAAGACAAAAAAAAAATCCAATTCGATAAGAGTATTGGGAACTTTCAATATTACTTTATTGTGATTTTGGAATTCATGAAATTATGTTAGATCTATGAATGCAAAGCATGAGACCACAGTTGTGGTAGGAATTTATTGCCTGGATGAAAATAAATGACAAAAAGTAAAAAGGGCCTTAGACAAAATCTAGAATATTAATCCATAGAAGATCTCCATAATACTGATTATACTGATAATCTCTCTTTTTACAGTGGATGCCAATTGAGGAGTATGTGAACCAACCTTACCACCAGAAACACAAGTCATTCGATTATATTGCCAATATATGCTTAAAAAAGTCACAGAATGACTACAGCGGATTTTCATCAGTGCCTACGTCAACATCATCCAGTACAAAGCCCAACTTGTACTTCAATGGGCAAGATTTCAAAATGTACTAACAGAGACAAAGCATCCAAGCTGGTATCATGGTAATGATTCTGTTTGCTTCTTTCATGAGTATAGTATCTTGGTAAATCTACTTCCTGGTGAATACACAGATTGGAATCCAGTTCACAGAGTCATCTTAATCGACGTCCTCCCATCAACGTTTCGTGCCTTTGTAATCTCCATCTTCTTTGCCTTTACTGGTGCATTTAGCTCGTTGTTGACTCGTGGCCAGGTCAGGTATGCAACATATGAAAAAATTTGAAGTTGTTGCTCTCTGATTTCTATGCTATTGACTCTAGCAATTCTGGTTCATGAAGTTGCCTCGAGATGTGTGAGATATGCTAATCAACAAATGCGAATTATCCCAGCTTGAGAAATGAATTGCGTTTTTGTATCTGCCACAATTCAAGATTCGCTGCTGTTTAACTCAGGAAGGCTATAAAAAATGGCGATGTAATTATGTAGGACGAAACTTATAACCGCTTAAAGATATCGTGTTTGTCTTCCTTCTACTTGTTAGACAACGTACACATGGCAATGCAGCTCGAGGTTCCATGATTGGTTAAATAAGCGTGGCTTTCTTATGGAGAGGACAATGGATATATGGTTATCATCTGTAGATAGAGGATGCGAGTACTAATATAAACAGAATGAACTTCAAAAATACGAGTCAGAAGCTCAGTATTTTCTTGTTTATTCCCATCGAGTTTTAATAGGACCAAGTAGTGGTAATCTTCCAATCTAACAACTTCAACAATCAATGGTCAAAATGCTTGAATTTTGATTGTTCATTTGGTCAATTTTTCTTTTGTTCTTTTTGTCATCAGGAAATTCATCACTTCTTGAACTACACCAAGGAGTTAGTCATCCTCTTTCCTGAAACCTTCGTTCTCACGGGAATTCGGTTTCAAAACGATTTAAATAATGCGTCTTGCTTCAGCTTGATGGTTTCTTTTACTCCAGAGACTCTCTAAACAATCAAACAGAAAAAATGATCAATTATCTGAGACAAACATGCCTGTAACCATAAGAAATCCCATTTAGTTCCAGCAATTCCTGCCGTTCATCATTCAGAAAATCACAAGGGTCTCTATTTAGCTTCTCGGTTCACCGTTCAAAAGGGTGTCTGTGCTGAATAATAATAATTCCTCCTCAAAAGAAACCCATTTTTTCGCCTTTAAGGCTTCAATCCCAATAAACACTGTCCGGACTCGAGAGGTAACAAGGCGATCTTGAAATCTAGACTAAACTCATGTAATAAAAAGATGAAGCCCAGATCCATAAAATATAGCAGGTCCAGCCCACAAATCTCTAATTTACGGGTTTGTGAAATGCAAAATATTTTACATGTAAAACATTTTATATGGAACAACTTTTACCTTGATAAATAATGATGTGAAATATATGATGGTAATGATGATAAATACAAACATTTTATATCAAATTAAAATATAGGAGTGGTAGAAATGGTGATGGTGATAGTAATAATAATATCATATTACAATGATTGAAATATCGCATTGGTGTTAGGAGATGGTTAAAGTAGATAAATGATACTATGAATTGATTATCGTCTATAAAATATTTTTATAGAATTTTATGAATTGAAAATATATTTCAACAAACTAAATAAATTTATTCATTAATTGTTAGTTATTTTATGCTACTAGTTTTTCTATAAAATATTTTATGCAAAACTAATATAAAAAAATCAGTTTGTAAAATATTTTATATAAAAAAAAACCGCATAATGGAATGATTTATTCTTTCTGGAGACTTGATAAACAATTTGATCGGTATAATAGGATCACAAAAACCAAGGAATGTGTCCTAGCCCTGAAAGAGCTATCTTAATTTACTTAAGATAAAGATTTAATTCTCACTATCTATAAATAATTGATCATAATTAATCTTTAATGGTTCTACACTTAGACTCATTTAGTTTAAGAAGAAGTCTAGTGATCAATCAAAAGTTAAGCATATCGTTAACTTAGTTCAAGAAGTAATGGATTTAATTTCAATTGATGAAAAAACTAATCCAAGAATACCCACTGCCTATAAAAATATATATAAAAAAAATAGGATCACAAAATGCAATTGGTTGAGAATATACTCTGTAAACCAATCTAAGAATCTCTTCAACTAAAATTTTTTTAAAGAAATATATATATATTATTTCTTTTAGAGTGGACTTCATTCAAATAATTGATTAGATATAAACTAAAATAATTTTATTGGTTTAATTTAAATAAACCAATTTCTGCAACAATTATTTATTACAGGGAGGCAGGTTCAAGTTGGGTTTAATTGGAACTAAAAAAGACCCAGCCGAACCCACTTTGCTGGCTAAAGAAAAGGTCTTAAGGTATTGTCAAGCTGGAAATGGACCTTCCACTATGCCAAAAAAAAAAAAAAAACAAATTAACAATTTCCACCTTACACTATTCCTTTATTTTAATTTTTGTTGCAGAGAAGGCCAGGTGTTAATGTATACAGTCATACCGATTCCGGATTAATAACCTTAAATGTTTTTATATAATGGTTTAAGCTTCTAATCTATCATCGTATCTTAAAACAATCTTATTATGATTATGTTTTTTTATCTAGTTTTAAATTTATCTTTTTAATCAATTTTTATTGTCAAATCATCAAAAATTGACCACCGGACTTGTACATGACATTTTTTTTACACAAAAATACTCCTCATAATTACATCTATGGTGTAACTTGATTTGTACACGAGGGCTTTTTTTGTCAAAAAAATTATGTTACGTGCAAGCCCCGTGGATAATTTCAAGTGATTTGGTTGGAAAAACTGACCAAAAAAATATATTAAATGCTCGTTAAAATAACAAGGACATGATAGAATCATATTAAAATATAAAACTAGATAACCACAAGATTATAATCTACTAATAAATAAACGTAAGTCAGATTCAAGATTCGTTCTTTGTGGCCAGCACTCTTAATAATTTATTTTCAGAATATCCAAAATAATACGTTAGAAAGTGCTTTTTAGTCATGTCTAGAAAAAAATTAATCTTGAGATGCGTGATTAGTCTCGAGACATATAAAATCTGGTATGTAACATTCTTTTTGCTGAACTTAATATATATATATATATATATAATGAAAACTTTAACCACTATATAAAAACAACAGATGTGATGATTAACCCTAAAATGTGCATAAGGTGTGGATTTGCGTTCATAAATATGTTAATGATGAAAAAAGAGAGCAGACATTATTTGGTTTCCTTATCCAACTTGTCTCTCCATATCCTTAGTACAATTACGTCCCCACTTTGATAATGCCTTCCCCTCAACGTTAGTTTTGTCATCATCATAAACCTCTCCTCTTCCACTTCCAGCAATGCAAACACAAATGCAAACCTAAAATCATTTCTATATCTCGATCTCGATCTCGATCTCGAGCGTTGACAAGCCAAAATAACTTTATTTGTTTTTGAACTACTCCTATAAAAAAAAAGAACAACCCCACCCAACTCAATTTGCTGTAGTCGTATTTCCAACTTTGTCCCTCTATGTAACATTGAAAAATCCTTCCTTTGTGGAATGTGGAGTATCACAAGGTTGCTGGAACGAGAGAACTATTTATCGTAAAAATGAGAAATTATTACATATTAATTTAAGTTAATGGTTACGTATAGGAATCAACTCCATCAAAGAGCCGAGTTTGATCATTTTCAAAATGCATTCATTTGAAAAACATCAAATCGATGACTTTTCAAATGTCTTTAATTGAACAATGCTAGAAGCACTAAATTTCATGCTTGCTAAAGGACTTGTCATATACGGAAGAATTCTGAATCATGTAGACCTTATCACATTCAATGAAAAAAATTATAATTGTGAAATTAACTGATTAATAAAGAATTTAGTCAAAAAAAAAAAAAATTAAGTATCTTTAGTATTTATCGCTTTAATTTGATGGCTTTGATACAGTTGATTTCAAAACCATCAAAAATATTTCAAACACACTTTTGTAAAAATACTAACATTACATTATTTTTAGACTCAGCAATAAGGATGTAATCTATCTAATTTTTGCATTTTTCTAAATTAATTCGTTATTAGACGTGATTAAATAGCATTTTTCAACACATAAATTCGAATATTCTGAAAATAAATTCTTAAAAATGTTAATCACAAGAATAGAATCCTAAATCCTAAATCTAACCTACAAGTTGACGTTTGTTTACCAACAATTGTTATCTTGTGATTACTTACATTACCTTATCAAACGTAATTTATGATTACTAAATTAACCAATCAAACAGTTGCAACACTTGAAAAATTCGAGACGTAACTAATCAACTCGAATAATTATTAAAATAGATTAATTTCTTACTATACGATTAAAGAGTATTTTTCAATAAACGGATTCTAATATTTTGAGAATAAATTTTCAAAAATATTAATCACAATAATCAAATTCGAAACCATACCTATAACAACTCGCTATCTTGTGATTACTTACATTACATTATCAAATGTAATTTATAATTGCTAAATTAACCAATCAAACAGTTGCAACACTTGTAATGATTTTTTGAATTAAGAAGTTAAACGGACAATTAAAAGAAAAATACAAAAACAGTTTGAAATCACAATGAGATGTAACCAATCAACTGAATAATTATTAAAACGGGATGAGCTTTTAAGCACTATAATCATCATACGTAACTCCCCTAACAAATGGTGGGAAATTAGTATGCAATAATAATAATAATAATAAATAGTTGAATGTATGGACCACGAAACATTAATGGAAGTATCCCACGTAGACACTAATTTGAGTTGAAGGTTTAACCACCAGTAATGCCCACTAAACTGATATCACTTGGCAGAAAAACAAAATGCTTTAAAGTCCAAATAGCAGCAATTAATCGATTACTTGCCGTACATCGCTGATTTGATAGAATAAAATCATTTAAAAAAATTTTAATTATATTTTTTATTTAATTAAAATTTTTAATTTTTTTATAAATTTTCTGTTATAAAAAAAAACATAAATCATTCTTTTTTATTAATTAGTTTTAAAATTGTAATAATTTTAACAAAAATATTAATTAAAAATTTAAAAAACTTTAAATATATTTTTCATAATGTTGTATTCTAAAAAATAAAGTTATAATTAATAAACAAACTTTTATAAAAAAAATAATAAATAAATAAAATTCTTATTTAATGTGGATGAGAAAATTAATTTTTGAAATTATTCACGCAACGTTGCAAGTAGATAAAACAAAATCATTTCAAAATTTTATAATTTTTTCGTTAATTTTTTAACTTTTTATTATATTTTTTTTCTTTTTCACAAAATATCTGTTTTTCATAAAATCTCTTCTTAATGGGAGTATCCCACGCAGACACTAATTTGAGTTGAAGTTTTAAGCACCAGTAATGCCCACTAAACTGATATTATTCGGCAGAAAAGCAAAATGATTTAAAGTCCAAATAGCAACAACGCTACCTGCCAAGAGTAAATTATAAATTAGTCCCTTTAGTCACAAAATCAAGTAAATAATTCTTTTTGTTTTAAAAACTAATTAACTAGTCTCTTAATTGATATTAACCATGATTAATTTAATATTATTTTTTTGGGTTTTTTTTTTTACATTTAGATTATATGCTCTTTGAATTTTTTTTTTAATTGAGATTCTCTATTCTTTTTAGCTTGATTGATACTTCTTAATTAAGATTCTCTATTCTTTTTAGCTTGATTTTTTTTATTTCAAATTCTAGTTTACAATGCTATAAATCAATGATCGATACTTTGTTAAGATTTTTTACTTTATAATATCACGTGTCGATTATTATTTGATGAAGTTATAATAAAAGATTTGAAACAAAAACATTCGAAAAACAAAAGATGTCAATCAATCCAAAAAAAAAATCTTAATAAAAAAATTCAAAAAATATAAGGTCCAAATGTGACAAAAACCTATTATTCTTTTAAAAGAATATCTTCTTTTCTCGTAATCTTTTTTATATTATTTATTTATTCTTTTCTTTTTATATTTCTTAAACCCAAAAAAAAAAAAAAACAAAAGGAATTAAGTTACAAATTGATTTAAAAATATAAGGACTAATTAATTAATCTTAAAAACTAAAAAGACTATTTAATTCGTTTCAAAAAGAAGAGAGACTGGTTTATAATTTACTCTACCTCACTCCCCAGATATGGATAGGATAGGGACAAGCACCGGGAAAAATGTGCACGTATTGAAACAGATGGTACGCCAAACCATATAAAGTATAAACCATCTATATTTTTCGTTTAGTTAATGATGGTCTGAGACTTCTTGGGATTTTTTTTTTTTTTTTTTTCAAATCATTAAAATAAACGATTGGCGTATGAAATCTTTTAAAAGTAGGGAAAGGTCTTGTTCAACCAATTTTTTTAGGGATTCGATATCGGTGTTGATGATCCAACCTGAGCCTGCATTAAAATATGCTAATCTACATCAAAACAGCCTGTAGAAAATAAGCATTAATATGGGTTTTAAAAATTTAACGGTAAAAAAAATTAAATTTTGGTATTTTAGAGGCACGAAGCTCAAATTCCAAAGAAGACGGAGCTATTGTCTAGAATAGTACAAGGCATAAATGACCTCTTGATGAAAAAAAAATAATAATAATAAAATTGATATGGTATTCTAACATAGTAAATTATAAATTAATCTCTCTCGAAAAATAAATAAATTAATTTTTTTGTTTTAAAAATTAAAAATTTAGTTCTTTATTGTTAAATTTTTTGCTAGATCTAAGAAGTGAAGATTTAAAGCGAAAAGTCTTTTTTTTAAAAAAACAATGATTTGTTTTATACTTAAAGAAAGAGAAAATAATGATATTTATGCGAATGAAAGAAATAATGCATAAAAAATAATTTAGAAACAAAAAATATTGTAATAAAGATATTGGCGAAATTAAAACGTAATATATTAAATTATTTTAAAAAAAACGATCAATTTATTTTTCGAAATTAGATAAACTAATTTACAATTTACTCTATTCTAACATCTAGCATACTAAAACCAAATCGTTTTAAATTAGACATATTATTTATACCTAAAATACTGTATTTATGGGAAATTTGTTTTGACAAAGTTTTTCTTAGATTTAAACGTAATTATTAAAATGATAGTTCAACTTAAATCGATTGAAATAATTCAAGCCATTAATAACCTAATTAAGCTAACGGTTCAAAAGCGATGAGCCATCGTATTGAATTGCTATATCTATCAAATAAGCATCGTCCCCTTTTGTCTTCTAATCTTTTATTTTTTGGTTACTTTCATAAACCAGGCACGACAATGGTGAGAGCCGAATATGAGCATGTGATATTGTTGCATTGCCTTTGTCTTTGCCTTTCTGCTTTTCCTAATTCTCTCCAAACATTGCTTAGTTTTAGGGTTTGGTATCCTCCTTGTTATTTACCGGAAAGGATTAAGAAAATAATGGATGCGTGATCATCTTGAAGTCTTGTCATCTTGAAGCTCACGAGGGCACTCCTAAGAAGAAATTTTCCTTGAAGAGAGATCCAAAATCCAATAAAAAAGCACAAGATTGATTTGAGAATTCATGTGATCGAATGGATTATAGGCTTTTCGTTCTTTTTTTGTTTTATATATATAAAAACATATTGTAAACGTGAAATTAACTATATGTTCTATTCACCCCTTACATGCAATCCATACATTGAGTTGGAATTGAATTGGGTCTATATCATTTGCAATCAAAGATTTACAAGAAGATTAATATATTTATAAAATTGTTAGGTATTTCGTGATGAAACTGCAACAATCATTGCCTGCGATATTAAGTAATCAAGTTTATAAATAACAATAGGATGGAAACAAATTGGTGAATTTTAGGTTTTTTTTTTTTCATTCGGTCACACTTGATCGAATGTTAGGCAACGTTCAGTCTAATGTGATTACATATGGTTATTAATGACTAATTATTCAGTCAAATAAAGGCAAAAACATCTTATTGTCCCTTCACCCATATTCAATTCCCGGGTCTTATATATGTTAATAAAAAAAGGAAAAAAACATTCATTATCATAGAATATTTGAGACCGATATATAACTAATTTCGGTGGATTCAGATTAATCTTGAAATTAAAAATTGAATAATTGATGATTAATTTTGATGAGTACAGATTAATTTTAAAATTAAAGGTTTCAAGTCTTTCACATTCTTGAAATGAGAGAAACAGAGATAAGCCTTGCGGCACAAGAAAACACGTAAAGTGAGATTTGAACCTAAAATCTCTTTTTAGAAATTCAAATCTCCTATCACTAAATCACTCTTTATGATTTTATTATATTCAAATTGATATATTTATTGATGTGATAATTAATATACTATAATAGATTAAATATCATGTATATTGATATGGTAATCAATAAATTAATCTTAACATATCTATTAACATAGAAAAATATATGTTAATATGTTGATTACTTCACCAACAAAATCGACAACATTAAATCATTAATATTTTTAATATTAGTATTGTATTTTCGAGAGTCTGTTTATGTGATTATGTCTAACTTCTAAACATTAAATTAATTTTATTTATCATAAAAAATAAACTATCTAAATCAGTCCTAAATATTAATAAAAAATAATTAGTGTTCTTTAACTTGTTATTTACATTGGAGGATATTTTCTCTCTCTCAATTCCCATTAACAAATTCTTTTTTTTATTTTTTGGTCGTAGTGCAGTCAAAATCAGTAACGCACTTCCCAGGTCACGTCAGGCTAGCAGCAGTCAGTTACCTGAACAATTTTGTCAGGCAAAAAATGTAATTAAACCCCACGACCAGGTCCACTTAAGTCCAGAAATTAAAAGACCGGGTCTATTTCGTAAATTCCGCCCCCGCTAACCTCAACCTTTTCAAAGCCCCACTCTCTCGTCTCCAGTCCTCACTTACGCTCTCTCTCTTACTATGATCCTCCACTTCTAGAGAGAGAACTTTAAAAAACACACACACGCATTATAGAGAGAGATGGTTGATGATTTCATGGTGTGTGTAGACAGAATCATAATGGCCTCAACTTGTTTTGAGTCAGTTAATAATGGAGAGAGAGACAGAAGTAGTAGTAATGTTGTTGGTGTTGAAGCAACTAGTAAGGATGGTAACGTGAATGAGAGTGTTTTTTATGTGAAAGGAAACGAAGAAGGATCATGTTCTTTGAAGAAAGTGGAGATGGTTGAATGTAGGATATGTCAAGAGGAAGATGAGATTCTTGATATGGAAGCTCCTTGTGGTTGCAATGGCACCCTCAAGGTCTTTACTTTTCTCTTCTGGGTTTTTCAATTTTTTTTTTTTTTACCTCTATTTTTTTCGTTGTTGTGGTTTTGCTTGTTATTTATTGATATTTGGTTGTGGGTTTTAAATTATTTTGTGGGTTTTGATTTTGGAATGATTTTTTCTATTTTCCCCTTCTTTTTAAGCTATAAGTTGTGTTCCTTTTGTTTTGTGGTGAGGCTGTTGTATTATGCTTTTGGGATGTTGGTTTCTTGGGTTCTGAGATTTTTATTGATTCTTCTGGAGTGTCTTTTGGTTTTACATTGAAATCTCTCTCTCTCTCTCTCTCTCTCTCTCTCTCTCTTTCTCTTTCACTCTGTGGTTCACAAGCCTCCGAAATGGAGGTTTTTCCGTCACTTTGTTTTTATTGTGATACACAACCCTCAAGGTCTTTGCCTATCTGGGTTTTGTATAATTTTAGTTTCCAAATTTGAACTTCAATTTTGTGAACATGATGGTGCTTTGAAAATCGGTTATGTTTAAGTTTGGTTTTTTTTTTTTTTTTATGCATATTATTATCTACTTGTACCTTTGTGTATTGGATATTTAGGTGCTGGTGGGTGTGTGCATTTAATGAGTGTCCCTGTTTTGGTTTGTGTTTGTTGGACAGTTGACCTTCTCTTTTTATGTGCAATTTGATTTTCTAATCACTGTTTGATTTACGGGGAAGACAAGTGGAAGAAATGTTTTGATAATGAACTGATAAAGAGGTTCTAAACTAAGTCTATGTCCTGTAATTCGGTTCAAATAGGTGAGAATTATTCACATTTTCCAGTTGGTCGTAGGGAATCTTTTCTCCAGTACAAATAAATGTGAATATTAAGATATATTTTACATGAATTTCCTTATCAGCTTGGAAGCTTAAAGAGATTGTTGAGAAAGGACTTAATTTTTTGGCATGAAAAAATTTATCAAGGGACTAGTACTTTTCAATGTGTACACAAGTTGTATTTTCTTCATCTTATCCTCTGTCATTCCCTTTTTTTCAGTAGGTTTTCTAATAAGTTTACTAAACTTGTGCCACCTGTTCCATTTTTCATAGAAATTGTATTTACTTTTCTTTTTGTCTGCAGTTAACCAACCCTACGTAAGAAAGGAATGCATTTTTCACATTAATATGCAGTAGGAAGAATGAATGGAAATTTATCATAAATTTCTTCGTCTGATTGTGATTAACACAGATGCATTAGAATTTGTTTCAGTTGATGCATTTTGAATATACTAGAATTTTGATATTATAATATGCTTCTAGATGTTGGTTGCTCATAATGTGTTATCTTTGTTTGTAAATATATCCAATTGACGGATGGTTTTTGGCTTGGAAGGGTATATGATCAAGTTTAGATAAAAGATGCTTTCTTTTCTTATGCCCTCTAGAAGCATTTTGGCAGCATGCTGGAGAAAAATGGGAAAGATGTTGAGCTAGAGGAGTTGTCTTGTATTTCTATATAGACTGCAACTTGCTTCTGGTTTAGAGAACAGAATTCTAGTTTTTTTTTTCGTAAATGGGTTTCATCCTAACTTTTGTTCGTTTAAATGGATGTATGTAGTTTCCCTTATGCTAATCATCATCCTCAAGATTCAAGATATTCCATGCCAAAAATGCACATCTAAGAATTGTCTGCTGTAGCTTTTTGGTGGTCTTTGCTGGTGTCCCGTGTATGCTATTTCCACTGATGTTTTATCAGTTTCACATACAGTTTGCTCATAGGAAGTGCATTCAGAAGTGGTGCAACAAAAAAGGTGACATTACCTGTGAAATCTGCAATCAGGTAAAAAGGTTCTGCAAGTTATTGCTACATTTTTGTACATGTGATACATTTCTAGAAGATATTGTAATGCATTACTTTGTATAAAATGCGCTTTCTGGTTGGCAGGTTTTCTCACCAAATTATTCCCTTCCACCCGCCCGCAGCAATGCTGATGTTATGACAATTGATATAAGGTAACTACCAAATACTGGATTCTCCATCTTGCATATGTGATAGACAGAACGAAAAAGGGGAAAAGATAATAGGATATTTTTAGGAAAACCTAAATGATCACATAGGTTCTACCATCAATCAAAAATGCATTGCCGTCTTACAGCCACCGCACCAACTCTCCTTTGGTTTTATCTGAAATGGCTGATTAGCTCTACTTCAAACCACTCTTTGCTGGATATGATTTTTATTTTTATTGAATTAACAGTGAAATTAACATGGGAATTTAGCAAGTCATGGCAAATTTAATGCCTCCTGAAGTAAGTAGGGTTTTAACAATTGCATTGACTCGGGAAAATGGTAAGAAGGAAAGAATTCATTTCATTGAATCAGCTAATTGAAATCGAAAGAAGAAGATTGGGGTTCACTTTGCTTATGTTGACAAGGGTTTACTCGACACTCTGAAGCAATAACCATTGACACCATCAAGATCAATTTTTTTTTCTTAACTCACACATCTAAAACTCTTAGTAGAACTAGTCTGTTAAGATTTGAACCTGTGATCTCTTGCAAGAGACCACTACCATTGGGGTACAAGGTCTTTTGGTCATCAAGATCAATTGGATAGTGATGATTGTGACCTATGATAGCATTGCAATCCCTCCCCTGCCTGCGGCTTTTATAAAATGAAAATATAGTTTCAGTTGCTGAATTGAGGATCTCACACGAGACATCCAACAACGCAGTATGTGTAGCAATTTCCTGAATATGGTGAATACATGTGAAGCTCTCTTCCAGACTATTCTTAGAATAATAGTGGTTGGCTGTTTCATAATAGGATGTGACTTGGTCTAACGCTGTTCTAATTAGGAATAGAACTTGATTCTAATTTATGCATAATATGCTTTGAGTTTCTATATGCTGATGCAGCTTTTCAAAATTTCTCCTTTTTTTTTTAAAAAAAAATTCTGTTAATATCTTTTCAGCAGATATTCTGCATCTTACTAAACTCTCTTCTTAAGTCTTGTTTATGTTTTTCTACATTGCTAAACAGGCAAGCATGGAGCCATCACATTGATCTGCATGATTCCCATCTTCTAGCTCTTGAGCATCAATTGCTGCAATCAGAGTATGAGGATTATGCTGTCGCTAATACGAGCAGCATTGCTTGTCTTCGATCTGTTGCTCTCATTGTAAGCAAACTGTTTTTTACAGTATTCTTATATATCGATGCTTTTTATGTGCTTACAACCTAATTCAATTATATTATGTGCAGTTGCTTATAATTTTGCTACTCCGCCAAGCTCTAATGGTCACAAGGGATTCGGGGATGGTGCAAGAGTCATCAACATTCTTCAGTGTAAGTCTGTGGTGCTCATAATGAGTCATACACTTGGGAACATACATTTTTATGCACTACACAACCTTTCCTTTCCATAAAAAGTCAGGTGGATTAGTGGTATCAACTCGCCCCCAATATAAAACCTGAACTTATATATTGGAATTTCAGTTTCAGGTTTCGCTTCTTCAATTTGCTGGTTTTCTATTGCCATGCTATGTGATGGCCCGTTCCTGGTACATTGTGCAAAGCCGGAGGAGGAGACATGTACATCTTTTGATCATTTACTCTACTAGGCTTGCTCATTAACTGTTTGATTTGTTTAATTTATTCCTTGTTTTTTCTTATACAGGGTTAAGAGAGACATCATTGATGTGAGCTACATTCGCTCCAAAGAGATGTGGTTTTTGTGTTTTTGCCTGTCTTCTTGCTCCTGACAGGCAAGCTCTTTTGCCCATAGCAATTTGTCAATTTGTATTTAAAGTAACAGCTACCAAATTGGCTGAAAATCAGCATTGGAAAAGCATTTTAAGTATTAGGGTTTTCGTTAAGCTATGCTAAGAACTCAAAACAAAATGTAAATGTGAAAAAATGAGTTCATTAGGTTTTCATATTTCTTGTCTGTCTTAGATGCCATCAATCTTATCAAGCTTCTTGTCGCATATTCTGGGATGCACTGATTAGTTTGCATTGAGTGTGTTCGGAAGAAATGATTACATGTCTAGAAGAGGTTGATTATGGTAACATCTTATTCAATGCTCATAGTTTCATTGAAAAAACTCAAGTTTGATGAATTAATAAAGTAGCAGCAAAACATAACCTAATCCAACATTCCTTGGTCTCTTTTCTCCATGAGGCATCAACATTGCATTTGAATCCCTTTTGCTTGACAAAACACAAATGTAAATTTCTTAATTTAGTATACTGGAAGTTGTAGTCCTCTTCCTCACATAACGATGGGATTCATGAATAATTTTCACGGTAGGTCTCATGTTTATGCTTTAGCATATCTAATAATTTCTCCATTTTTAGAAGTTATTGCTTTGAAATTGCATCTCAAAAAATATTGGAACGGAACGTGTAATGGGAGTCCATTAAATTTTGGAAATGGAAAATGTAACAAAAGTAATGGGTTAATATGGGCCGGTTATCTAGGAAAGACACATGGAAGAGTCGTTGCAACCTTTAAACAGCTCAGGTTGTTGACTTGACATCTAACCCACAATAACAGTTTCAATTTCAAGTCATTGTTAAATTTTAGGGTTAATATCCTCGGCTGTTTTTAATTGATAGGTCAATTTTTCAATCTATTTTTTTTTAAAAAAAAAAAAACTTTAATATGTCTTTATGTTTTGAATTGGTTTTTAATATATTCTTTTATTCAATTTTTGGTTAATTTATAAAAATTAAGAATGTGATTTGCATGTAATTTGATAAAATTGTTCTTTTTTATTAGACACAAATGATATATATCTACTAATATAAAAATTAAATTTTGAAGCAAAAAATAGTCGATGTATGATTCTTCAACCAAGTATTGAACCTTTTTCTTTAAGGTTCGAAAATGAAAATGATTTTGAACCAAGAAAAAGTAAAAAAGTAAGATTTAAAAAAGATTTTGGTTCTAATTACTATTTATATAATATACAAGATGATCATATTTCTTTAGAACAAGCCTTATCTTCTTATAATGTAGATTTTTGAAGAGAAACTATTAATGATGAAATGGATTCTCTAATTTCAAATGATACTTGAAAAATAGTTGAATTACCTATGGGTTGGAAGATAATTGGATGTAAGTGAGTACTTAAAAAGAATTTGAATCCTCATGGGTCTATAGAAAAATTCAAAGTTAGACTAGTAGCCAAAGGTTTAAAAAAAAAAAAAAGATATTGATTTTTTTGGTACTTTTCTCTAGTAACTAAGGTAACATCTATTAGATTGCTTATTTCTAGATCTCGTTATTCATAACTTCTTTATATATCATATGGATGTAAAGATAACTTTTCTAAATGGAGATTTAGAAGACGAAATATATATAAATCAACTCGAAAGTTTTATAGCACAAGGTGATGAAAATAAGGTAAGCAAGTTACAAAAGTCTTTATATGATTTAAAACAAGCACCTAAACAATGGCATGAAAAAAATGATGCTTGTTTACTTAATAATGGTTTGAGAGCAAAAGAAAGTGAAAAGTGCATATATTATAAATCCTTTGAAAATTTTCATGTGATTATATGCGTATATGAAGATAATCTTTTAATTTTTTGGTTTAAACATGAACATTATTAATAATACTAAATTATTACTTTAAAATAATTTTGATATGAAAGATTTAAGTGAAGCAAATATGATTCGAGCATGAGAGTCTCTAGAGTTTCAAGTGGAATTTTTTTTATCAATCTCATTATGTTGAAAAGATTTTGAAAAATGTGATTTTTTAGATAGCAAACCTATGGGAACTCCTTTAGTACTATTATGCATATGCTCTCTATAAAAAACGATAATGATATTTACCATAAAAAAGAGTATGCTAGTATTATTAGAAGTCTTAGACATGCTACAAACTATATAAGACATGATATTACTTATATTGTTGGTGTACTAGCAAGATTTACTAGTAAACCCAATGGTCAATAGTTGAATGTAATAGCTCATCGAATGAGATACTTGAAAGGTATTATCAACGTGGGCTCGTGGGGAAATGTGCAAAAAATAAGAGTCACCACTTAGCTAATCACAATAGCTAAGAAATCTTAAATAACTCGATCTCGCATAGATATTTAGGTAAGGAGTCGATTACGTATGATGAAGATATAACATCACTCTTTTTTTAGGTAAGTTCGCATTGTTTTCATGTGAAAATAAAAAAAAAAAATTAGTTTTACTATATTATGCTTCTATGCCTATTTGAATAGATTTATTTTATCAAGATGAAATAACAAAGTAATTTAGGGTTTAGGCTAGCCCAAAGTCAATGCCCATACTCAAAGGAGAAATGTGAGAAAAGTTTGACTTCCAACTAATCTTTAGTGAACATAACCTATATCGACATGTATGTGAGTTTCTAAAGATAGATATTCTTTTACTCACATGAGTAGTGAGTTGTTAACAACAACACTCACACAAGTGAAAAGCTACCGATGACTTTGAGTCATGAATTTAGAAAGTTATCGATGGCTTTGTCACATAAGTGGAAAGTTACCCATAACTTCATTTCACTCACGCAAAGAGCAAATAACTAATTTGAAAACCAATGAAAAATTCACCACATAAGTGAGAAATCATCGATAACTTTATTTTAGACAAGTAAAAAGGTAAGTCAAATGATTCGAGTGTTGTAGATTGCTTCATCCATATAAGTAGAAAGTCACCGGCACCTTCATTTTAGACAAACAACAAGGTATGTAAATTGATTTGAAAGCCATAAGTAGCTTCATCTATATAGGTGAAAAGCCATCGATAACTTATTTTTTGACAAACAAAAAGACAGATAAGATGATTTGAAAGTCACATATAACATCATTCACATAGGTGAAAAGCCACCAACAACTTCATTTTTGACAAACAAAAGGCAGGTAAGATGACTTGAAAGTTGCAAAAAGCTTCATCCACATAGGTGAAAAGTCATCAATAGCTTTATTTATGAAAAATAAAAAGACGAGTAAGAAGATATAGAAGTCACATGTAGCTTTATCCACATAAGTGGAAAATCACTAACAACTTGATTTCTGCAAACAAAAAGGCAGGTAAGATGATTTGGAAGCCATAAGCGAGTTTCTTACATATAAGTGAAAAGCCATCAATAGCTTTATTTTTTATAAAGAAAAGGCAAGTAAGGTGATTTGGAAACCACAGGTAGCTTCATCTACATAAGTGAAAAGCCATTGACAACTTCATTTCTAACAAATAAAAAGGAAGGTAAGATGATTTAGAAACCACAAGCGACTTCTACCATATAGTTGAGAAGCCATCTATAATTTTATTTCGACAAACAAAAAGGAATGTAAGATGATTAAGAAGTCACATACGAGCTTCATCCACATAAGTAGGAAACTACCTACGACTTTATTTTTAACAAAAAAAAGTAAAAAATAATTAATTAGAAGCTCGTAGGTAGCTTTGACCATATAAGTAGAAAGCCATTGATAGTTTCATTTCAACAAATAAACAACGGACACACAAATCTCAAGCATAATCGGACAGAGTAATTGACGAGCATAATCATTCATAACATAGCATTTCCACCATCGGTTCATCATTTTAAAAAATTCAAATGAGTTCAAGAATCATCCAAACATTATGAGAATGTTAGAAGTTTTTTTCCGGATTAATTTTACTTCCTTCAATCTTGATGAAGACTAATTATTTCAATCAACCAAGAAAGAGCAAGCAATTGTTTATAGATATCAAAGACAACTGCTATAAAGTTACTAAAATGCCATTAGTAATTTATGAAATGACCAAAATATCTATACATATAAAATTATCGAGATACCCTTATATTATAAAATTACCAAAATGCCTTTGAAAGATGAACAACCACTACAAACTATCCAATCACCGTCCAAGTCCTTTTGATGTGTGAACCACCCTACATTATAAAAGAGGTCATCACAAACTCAACAATGGTGGTGGTAGTTGTTGTCGACGTTGAAAGAAGGAGATCAATGTCTCTAAAGTTTTAGCTAGACCTCTTCCTCTTCCCAATGACATTTACAACAATGTTAATGGATTTTGATGATACTAATTGACTCATGAGGCTAAGGGGAGTATTTTTATGATAGTTAAGGGGTCTAATCTAACCTTGGTCGACCAATTTTTTCATGTTGCATAAAATGGGTCGGGAAACGAGCCGTCATCGATTAGTTTATTTTTTTTTATGACATATGGTTGCCTTTCCAAAGAAAAATTACTCGAGGTAGTTGGATGCCATGTTTATGATGGTATTAATCGGTGGCTTGGCCAGAATCCTAAGATATGATTAGATTACCAAACAAAATGGGTCACGATGGTTCTTCTTCAATGTCCTTTTGCTCCTCTAACCAATGGGAATGGATTGACATAGAGATGGGATATCCATTGGTGGTAGTGATTGAAGTTAAAATTAAGTAGAAGGTAGTTGATGGAAGAGAAGAAGTTTGGTAGGTTTGGTGCACAACTCGATTAATTATCCTAGTTTGAGATTTTTACCTAAGATAGAGCCAAAGTCATGGCCTAATTATTGAAGAGCATTCAATCCATAAGTAGTTTTGGCCACGAAAATGCTCGTCGATTAATTATCCTTGAAGAGAAGAAGTTGATTAAA